ATATATATATATATATATATATATTCCAAACTTACCTCAAGCTGGGAATAAAAAAAAACGTTGCGCAGCGAAATTTATTTTTATTAATTTTTGCTCAAAACTGTTTTTGACGTTTTCCAAATGATTTCCTGGTGAATCGACATACGGAGAATTAAACAATTTATTATTTATAATCGAATTTAATGCATTTAACAATTTAATTATTTAATGTTTTCACGTTTGAAGCTGTACGAAAATTGTATTCATTTTCTTGTTGCTCACATGCTGCTTATAAATACATATATATATATATATATATATATGTATATGTATATCGACGTAATTATGCATTTAATTATAAACATATTTTTGCACGCGCAATTTAACAAATTTTAGTTGAAATTGTGCAAAATTTTGCTACATTTCTGGAGTGTGTGTGTGCATGTATCTATGTGTGTGTGTGCGTGGGTGTGTGTGTATTGTTGTTTTCTTGCAATTGGTAGCTGAGATAACATTTTGAGCAGAGGTAGCAAGGCGTGGCGAGGGCGTTGCACACAGGCAAACGTCTTCAATTTAATTAAAGCAAAACAAGTCGGAATGCGACAGAAACGAGTGTACGACGAGTTGATACCCTGTAGTTGAAGGTCTCAAGTATGGTTAGAATGTTGTTTATAGTAAGTAGGCCTTAAATATATTCAAAAGAAGGAAGTTGCTGAGGAGTACATAGTCCTATATAGCTAGCATCTATCATGCCCAAAATTTCTCAGTTATTATATAAATATATTTCATACTATTTTAAATTTATATATATTATTATTCAGATATACATATAAGACAGAACATGTGTTAAACAAATATTTATTCTTATATATTTATATAAATATTTTATTTTATATTTTATAAATAATTTTAATTTGGAGTTTTTGCAATCCAATCGATTTGCCATACAACTAAAGGGTATAGAAATATTGCAAATATTTAGGTGGCAATTGGGCATGCAGGCCGTGTATCTGACAGATACTTTTCACAACTAAGTACTACGCGGCAAAGTTGTCGCGAATTCACAATGCGAATTCAAATTGGAAGCGAAACATTTGCGTTTGCGTTTCATTCATAAAATGCAAAAAATACATTTTGTGTGGCTCACTAATGTCGACTGTGCACCAGTTTAAATGGGTCCACGTGCCGGACTTTTGGGCCAGGTTAGTTGAGGCGGGTATTGGCTCGAGCCCAGCCGTGTGTTTGCGTGAGTGTGTGCCTGTGTGTGTGCGTGTGCGGTAATGAGCGCCGTTAAAATGCGTTAAATGATTTTTCTTCGCCTTTTTTATATTTTTCATTTCTTTGCTGATTTGTTTTGCACCTTTTTAACTTGTTTTGTGCTTGGTTCGTTTGCTATTTTTGCAGCTACTTGCCAATTTTTGCTTTTCTTTCTTTCATTTTTTTTCTCTCTCTCATATTTGCCTATGAATGAAGTTTATTTATTGTGGGTAACGGCTATTTGTTTGGAATTCGTTTTGCTTTGACTTTTCGTTTGCTTTGCTGCTGCTGCTGCTTCTTGTTGAAGTCGAAACGCATTTTTGCTTTTTGGTACGCAGGAAGTTTTATGGCCCGGCAGACAGCAGACGTTACAGAAATTTGCAAGCCACTTTTGGCGCTGGCTCTGGCTCTGGCCTAGCCATTGGCCAACAAATTGTTGGCGGCAACTGAAGTGGAAAAGCGGCTACACGCAGATTTTAGCTAGGTGAGAACTCAAGAGCAGTCAACACAATAAAGACAAAGATTTCAGCCTTGTGGCTTTCGAGCTAAAAACAAAAGTGCAAATAGAGCTTAGCCAGAAAATATTCTTATGAAAAAATACTTTGACTTTTTGACTGGCATTGGGAATTTCCTTTTCAGTCGAGATTCGGTAGAAACTGAAAGACTTGATTTAAGCTAAATTTAATCGTCTTTCATTTAGTTGGCATTGTTTATTACAGTACATTAATCTTATATTTTATTATATTAATTAAATCCAACTTAAAGTTTTACAAAATTTATTTAACGATTTTTAAAGACTTTAGATATTAAATACTTCAAATTTACTTAAGAATTTGTAATTGATATATAATGTATATCAATCTCTCAATAATATTCCTAAGCAGTTTCTTAAGAAACTTTCATAATGAAGACCAAAGTTAGTTCTGTTTAAAAGCCGCCGAATATCTAAGTTGCTTCCCGATTCTAATGGTTCTTAAGATATCTAAGCTTATTTACGTGCAATACATACCTTCATTATCTGACACTTAGCACTTAGCACTCCTTGCCTTATAAATAAAAATGTATATTATATCAACAATTCAAATCAGTTTTATGAAGCCTTTTTAGGCAACTTTGAACTAAGCAGATTTTGTTTTCAACTGGCTGCTAATCTCAGCTCCTACTTTGGCTTAGCTCTATATATATCAAGCCACAAAACTCTTGAAATTCATCGCGCTATCCAGCTATATCTGCCCTATATAAGCTAGCATATCACACGCTCTCGCTCTATGCGCTATCGCGGGGAGCGTCTCTTTCTCCACATCTCACATGGAACACGTGAAAGATATTTAAATATGTATAAGTATCACATAAAATATATAAAACAGCCAGCCAGTTGGTCAAGCATTTCGGTTAATCTCACGTAACAGAAATAATTATAAAGCGCCACACACATCGTTCCACATCGTTCTATGCGTCCGGCACAAAAGACAGCCAAACACAAGACCAGCAAATTATCTAAAACTCCATCCTACTTAACCTTGAACTCAGCCATTAGCGCGAAAAAAAACAACTTAATAATTTACAATGAAAACAGCAACAGAAAAAAATAGAAAAAAAAGAAAAGAAAAGCAAAAGCAGCTGACCGAGTTGCCCATCAATAACAAGGTGCAAAATTTCATAATACTCTCAAGTTCAGAATGTCTTGAGGAATTGAGTAATCAGAGAAGCTTCAAACCATATCCGATTTTTAGCACATTTCTTTGATCAAACAAATGAGTTAGCGTGGGAGTGTACGACTTGGAAATACCTCATAAATGGCTTTAAGTATATTAAATTTAAATTGTGTTAAATGATTTGTTAATTTGAATATAAAGCAAAGTTGAAAGTATGTCAGCAAGCAGCCCTATCTCTGTTGTAGCTTACAATTAATTAGTTAAATTAAAGTTAAGTGCGAGCAATCGATATATTTTGTTAATGAACATTAGGCATTACGTGACTTTTCAAACAAAAGTGAATTTCTGCCTTGGTTTTAGGCTATGAAATGGAAGTTTCTAAACTACTCTATATTTAGGAGAGTTCATTTTATGGGTACAGGGTATGCAAACACAAATGTATCAATGTAATGGTTGGCTTGCGCTGCTGTACACAAATACAAGTTGAAATTAACACGCCTGTTATCAAAAAAAAAAAAAATATATACAAGCCATGGCTAAAAGGCGGAGACAGCGATGGTGACACGCGCGGCGTTGGCGGCTTCGTGTGTCAATTTGGCATGACATTTGCTGTTGTTGTTGCAATGCCAGCAATGCCATTAAGCTCAAAGTTTTATTATCTATACAAACGGCCTACATGACACAAAGACAAAAAGAGGCGGCTAGAAAAGAAACGAACTGAGATTTGTGACAAGTAGCAATGAACCTTGTAAGGTCTCGGCTGCTGTACATAGGTGCACATAATAAATCTCATAAATTTTTAATATATTTCATACTCTCGCTGACAGTTCGCCATTAGAGGCCGGCAGTCAGCAAACCCATCAATTTATTTTTCAAATTTCAGATAATAATTGCACAGACACTCGTTAGTTTCAAGTGCTTTTCAAGTGTGTCAAATGCGAAAAAAAAAAACAAATAAATAAAAAATAAATAAATAGATATTAAGAAGTCTGTATAATGGAAATTGTTATTTGTTCAGTGACCCCACGTTGGGTCCCAACATTAATTCTCAATTGTTGCATTCAATATTATGTTGTAGTATGAATTTAATATTTTTCTGCACAAATTTATAAATAAAATGAATTTTTACACAAATATATTTATAGCTGAATCATGAATTAAAAAAGGATATAGTATTTTCAAATAATATTAATCAATATTTATAGTTTAATAAATTTTTAAAAATATTTTTCATTTATTTTTAATAATAATAAATTTTTTATGCAATGTTTCGATGTTTAACACATATATTTTTTAATTCTAGCTATTTCATATATCTCATATCAAATTATATCAATTAAATCGAACTGTCAACGTTAAGTGCTTAGCAATTTATTTTTATAATTACTCTCGAGCAACAGATCAAAATCTGAATATATATTATTAAACTAGCCTTTAATGTTAATTGTATGCATTAAGAAATTAATATTGGAATTTAAAATTAAAATTATATTTAGAATTATATTTAAAAAATCAAAAAATTAATTGAATTAATGTTAAAAAGTTACACTGAAAATTTGAAATAGCAAGCAAACATCCTGTATAAATTTAAAAAAAAAAATATTATGTATATTCTGAAATATTTTTAGTTTTTCTTTTAAATATATTTTTATTTTATTATTTTTTGTTGTCAAGTCATAAATGAAAATTTGAAACTCAATTAATGACATGAAATGTAGTCTTAAGCTCATCATTGTTATATGAATATGCATATATATTTGCATATATTTTAAATACACCTGTATTTATTTTTTGCCCCATCTAACCCCACAGCCCTTATTTGCACACAACCCTAAAAATTTATTGTTCAATAATTTCACTCTTGGCAACCGAAATCAACAATAACCAACTTTGCATTAGTTTTGTAGCTACTTTTGTCGCTGTTGTTGTTGTTATTGTTGCAATGCATAATATCTGTCGTGTTGTTTGTTGTTACTAACACACACACATGCAGAGACACAGCTTATGCAGACACACACACACATACACACTACTATGGGGGCAACAAAATATTTCGCGCTTTTTCGTATGTGGCGCGCAATGGGCTAAAATATTTTCTGATTAACGTACTTTGTTGTTGTTGTTGTTGTTGTTACTATTATAGCTTCTTGTTGTTGTTGTTGCAGCTACTGGTCGTTGCTTTGCTCATTGGCTTCAACACGTTTCTTTGCGTTTTCTTTAGCGTTTTTTGTTTTTTATTTTTTTTTAGTGCTTTTCCAATTTCTTATTCACTTCATGTCTGCACAACGCGCTCCAACACTCAAACACGCACAGAAACACATTTAATACACACGCTCAGTGGTATCAACTTAGCGAGTACGCACTGTGGCTAAGCTTTTGATTTTGATTTTGATTTTGATTTTGATTTTTCAACCGCGCCGCCAACGTTGAGCGCTCGAAATCTCGTTACTAACTAAAATAAACGACGCGCGGCGCGCAACCAAACTGAATACATCAACAACAACAATAGCAACAACAGTTAAATAAAATCAGCGTTGTCGCAGCGACGTCGACGTCAGGTGTTTGACTGTATGCGTGTATGTTTGCTATCGGTAACTAAAACAGACACTACTCACTCACACTCACTCACACCGACTTAGTAAGCGCGCTCTCAACCAGACACACACACACACTTAAGCCTTCGCAAGAGCGCGACTTTGGTTCGAGCGCAAGTTCAAGTCGCAATGTTAGCTTGAGCCGGCTGCGACGCTAATAACTGCAGAGAGAGGGAGAGAAAGCGTATGTGAAGAGAGCGCGCCAAAGAGAGTATTCGCATTTTTGTGCAATGTTTGCAACATCGAATGTCGCATAAGAATAGCAACTGGTAACATAAATTTACTTGTAGCTAAAAATTGTTTTGTTTTTAGACACTTGGATCTATTTTGTTATAAACTTGTACAATTTAATGGCAACGTGTTCAGGTGTTTCATATTACTCAATGTTGCAGCTGTATTTCAAACATTTGTTGCCAAACGCAACAAGGTTAAAGTTTATTGGAAACTTAAAACATATTTCTAACATGTGAGAGTATGTTCATTTCGGTATTTCGCTGTTCAATTTTTGGCTTGTCGACAAGTTCGAAGCGAACTTCAAGCGAAGCTCACGCTAAGCCGGCTGTTGGGTGACTGCTGCTCCACTTGTTGTTGTTACTGAAAAGACAGAAGAATTGGCAATGTTGCTGGTTGCGCTGGCAACATGTTGCTTCCGCTCTGTGGCCGCAACAAATTCGTTCGTTCAATTTACATTTTTTCTCAGTCTGCTGCGTCTCGCGGCTTTTCGCAAATATTTCACTGTTGCTTTTGAGAATTAAAAATTCCATTTTCCTTTGCTGTGGCATTGTCAAAGCGTCTGGCTTTATGCATATTTAAAGTGTGTAGCTTATTGTTGTTGTGGTGTCTGCCTCTCTTGCAACTTTGTTGTTTTGTTACCCAGCGGCCTCTGCCGCTGCCGCTGCTGCTGCTGCTGTTGATGACGTCTAATTTTTAACCGAACTCGTTTGCTTACTCACACACGAAATTATGTCAGGAATGTTGGAAGGCGGCGGCGGCTGTTGTCTCACGCAGTTGTTGTTGCTGGGCTGCGTTGAAAGTCTGCGTTTAATGCTGTGAGAGCAAAAGCCGGTTAGCTTTTTGGTTGTCCAGACGCGTGCCAAAGTCGAATTCTTTGCTGTTGTTTTTCTCATCTCAGTGGCTGTTGTTGTTGCACGCTTTAAGCTCAGAACATTAGATACTGCATTTACGTAAGAGGGCGCAGCAACTTGATTAATTGGAACTAAGTTCGATTTATTATCATTTTTATTTGGAATTCTGAAAAACAGCTCACGCGATTGGGGTTTTTTGAACCCCCGTTTCGAAAGCCATTGACATTTGCCTGAGACATTCATTTTTTTTGTCTTTTCATTTCTGTTCCAACTGCACTTTTAATTGACTTTCTGCGAGCTCAGCGTGTTTTTTTATATGGCTAAACATGTCATTAGCACCGAATCGAATGCTAAGCAATATGTCGAACGAAGCTCGCAGACTAGCAATATTTCTTTCGAGCTACTCCACAATCTGCACAATCTTCAAGCCACGCGACTCTATATAAATTTCAACAGAATTGACCAATTTTCAGCAAGAAAATGCAACTTTATGGGTTTGCAGCAAAAGGTCAGTGCATGCTAAAGACATTTAATACCGATGTTACGATACTTTTGACTGCATTGAAAAAGTGCTTTACATATGAAATGTGAGCAGGGTGCAGTCAAAGTCATATAAGGTGGCTTGAACAAATGATGCAATCAACTTGGGTGCAAATATAATAAGATGGATAGATAGATAGATAGAGGTAATAGCTCAGACTGGTCTTTTAACTATCTCTGAGTTTTCCGTCAATTGCTCTAAATAGTATTATACTAAAAATTTAAATTCCAGTAATAATTAAAAGTAAAATTAAAAACATAAAATAAAAAATTATTTAAATTCTATTTTTAATATTTCAAAACTATAAATTTAGGCGGACCAATCAATAGAGACACTTTTTATAATATTCAGCTGCTGTTGAAATTATCAAAAACATTTCGCTTGAGAAATAATATAAACTATTTGCCATTTAATTATCATTTTTTTTACATCTGCTAAACATTTGGAAATAATTTAAAAATTGTAATTAAATTATGACTAATCGTGGCTTATCTTTCAAAATGCTATTTCATACACAATTGCATTGATTAAGCCTCAAAGTAAAACCAAAAACAGTGAAATATCTTAAGCTATTTCGAATTGTAGCCTACTTTTTATACCTATTTCTTCCATTTCACCAAAGATTTGTTATTTATAAAGAAACAAATTGAAGCTTTTCTTAAAAAAGAAAGCCTTTTCGACCCATTTCAATATATTTGTGCAAATACAGATTTTGTTTACTTATCTTCCGTCTGCTGGTGACATATGACAAAACTGAGTGGTCGCGCCTGCATGAACGTGAAATATGAGTAGACATTGAGAGATGTGCACTGCAGTAAACCAAATGTCAATCAGCAGTCAAACCGCGACTGTTCAATAAAACTCCAATTTCAGATTTACAAAAAAGAAAATAAAAAAAAGAGGGAAAATAATAATAAACGAAGAAAGTTCTTCAAACAAAAACAAGAACCAATTGGAAGCCAAGCAAAGCGCGCAAAATTCAATTCCAACATTGAAATCAGATACGAGACTAGGAATGGATTAGAGACGAACCCGAAACCCAACTAAGGTAGCGGTAGCCATAGTGCGAGATGTGACGATAGAGTCCAACTAGAACCGCTAACAAAGCTATTGACTTTGCCGTAGCTGTTGCTGCTGTTGCCGTTGCTTTGAAATCCAAATCCTAACCGCAGAGCCAACAGACAGATTGACTAACAGTCGCTAACAGCCAATGGAATGTTGGCGCAGCGGCAAGTTGGGTACTGTTCACATATATACAGTGTATATATTTTGCTATGAAATAAAAAAGTGAATCCAATGTCAACAAAAGGCGGAAGATGGTTAAGGTAAAATAATATGATTTGGTTTTCAATTTAGCCACTGATAGAATTGAGCGTAGTATGAATAATATATCCTGCTCATGAGGGGACTTATCGAAGCTGTTTACATTAATTATAATAAAAGTAAAATTAAGATTTTGAATATATAGCTCATTTTAGTCAAAAGCAAGTCAGTATTTGTGGCTCTTTTGGGGGCATAACTAGAAAGGTATCAAATCTAAGACATTTCTAATCAGAAACTTTTATACATTTTTGCTGAAATCTCAGTAATATTTACTTTGTTAATAACAATTATATTAATGACAATAAATTATTATTTAATTCAGGAATTTATCATTTATATTGCATATTTAATTCCCAAGTAAATAATACAAAGGTTTCAGTTGCAACTGCTAACCGCATAATGCTATGTTCGTAATCAAGCCATACACAGACACCTAAACGCTCTCAGAGTCCTCGAACAACTTTCCCAACTCAGCAGCAGATACTTAGGTTAATTAAAAAATTATCAAAATTACTTGGCTGTCAACCTAGCAGAAGACAGCGGTAGGCACATGCGTAGTCTATTAGGATTGTAGCCCCCAGGCCTTCCCTTTAAAGCAATCTAACATTAAATTTCATACACGTATAATTTATGCTTATTATAATTAGTATAAGCAAATATATAACCATAAATTGAAGAAATACTAAAAAATAATTTTAAAAAGAATTGATTCTCTATCCATTCAAAACAAATTTCTTCAGTTGGTGACTTTCCGTCTTAGTACTTACCACAACTTAGCAGTTGATTTGACTCGAAGCTTTTTCCTCATTTTCTAGCATTACGTTAACTTTGCTCGATGAAAATATTTCATTACATTTTATTTTATAAATTGCATTTCATGCACAATTTAGCATCTGCGAGCGAAATCCGTTCAATCAACTCGCCAATGCCAATGCCAATTCCAATTCAAATAAGCCTCTTAGCCAATGTCAACTGCAACATTTTATAGCATCGCCAGATGCTTTGCAGCGTGTTTTTTGTTATTTTGGCTTTGACTGCGGTAAAATTAAATTTGCATTGAAATTGTAAATTTGATGAAAGTCCTAATCACCAAGAGATGACAACAGCGAATTGTATTATTCGATTTGATTTATTGAAATATATATATATTTATATTTAAACATTTAGATTTTTAAATTTTGATTTGTTTGTACATAAAGTCGAGACAATTAATAAACTTTGATATTTATTTTTGGTAGTGAACAAAGCGTAAACTTTCAATTGCAATATTTAACTAAGGGAAATAACAATTGCAATAATAATACTTTGCATATTTTCTTCGTTATATTTTCTTTAGCTATAGTTGCGATAAGATTTATTTGACGAAGCTTAAACAGATAATTGGGCAAACGGTGGGCAATTTAGATAGAAATAAGGACATAAATCAAACTGTGACATTTGTCAATCTTTTATTTGAGTTTCGTTTCAAAAGAAAACAAGCTTCATTGGATGCGCAACAGAGACAAAACTACATTTTGTATTCATATTTAAATAATTGTGCTTTGCATTCATTAATTTTTGGAATAATCATAAATATTTTGATCACTTTGGACTGTTGAATCGTAAGCTTTAAGACTGTGGGTTCGGGCAAGTGTCAAAGTGCAACGAATTCCTTGCCGCCGTAAGGTTGAGCTGCAACGACAGTTATCCTTACTATGGCTGCGATGCCATGCGAATCCTTGCGGTCGCACGTGACTTTGTGTGTATCTCGGCGGTGCGCAGCGTAATACCAAAGATATCCTCGTGGTAGCGATTCTCGTCCTGTGTTTGCGAAAGAAATCAAATGGAGTATAGAGTTAAGGGCTCTCAATAGAAGTGTAAACCTCATCATATTTGTGGCTGTCGAGAGAGCCAAGCAGCAAAATGCCAAAACAAAGTAAGTGCTAAAAAAAACTACTACCATAAAGAACAACTCGCATATACCCTGCATTGTTAACAAAAAAATTACTTTTTAATATTGAAAAGAAACAAAATATTAGGGAAAACTACATTTTTTTTTTTAAAAGAATAAAATATTTTAAATCTAAATTTATATTTTTGAAATTTAAATATATTTTACTTTTTATTTTTATTAAACTCCAACATTTCCAAAGCTAAAAATTCAATGAAATATTTTTATAAGCTAAAAATAAACATCAACTCAATAATAACGTATCTACCCCATGCTAAAAATTCAATGAAATATTTTTATAAGCTAAAAATAAACATCAACTCAATAATAACGTATCTACCCCATGCTCTCTGCGCAACAGGGTGTCTAGCAGCAAAGCAGCTGTAACTGGCAACAAAACGCTTGCATTTTTTACAGCTGCACAGAAATATTGTATTTATGCAGCTGAAGGAACTGCAAACAGCTAGCAAAGTTTTGCCAGCGGCGGGCTGCCTGCTTTTCCGCTCTTAGCAGCTAAGGTCACATAAAATGCGCATACGCCCCATGTGACGACGGAAGTGAAGTGTCTCACACTCGTTCTCACTTGCTTTATGTTATTTATACGTGCCGCTTAAGTTGCTTTAGTTGAAGGATACTTACGCGCAATGTGAGCAAAAATGTCTCAACTTCTGCCTCGGTCTTTTGCTCCTTACCGGCAATGCATTTTCTGTCGGGAAAAAAAACGGAAGAAATATTTTAGTATATATATATATATATGCATGAAAATAAAGCACTTTGCAGTATTAAAGTTAGACCTTTGTCTGGTGAACAAATTTCATTAGTTGACTCTAATTAACAGCATTAGCAGGAGGTAACAAAGTAGTGGAAAAATCATTTGTGTGAGCGCTGAAGCTCGACTGCCACTTGGAAAAATGTTGAAAATGAATATAAAAAAAGAAAAATTTTTTATAATTAAGTAATTAAAATACATAATGTAAAATAAAATAAAACTGCTGAAAAAAATATTAAAACGCAAAATTTATATTTAAAAAATGTCAACTTTGTTAATTCAAACTTTGCTTAAAATTATATAAATAAGTTTAAATAGAAATATTAATTATAATCTGTAAATTTTATTATATAAATAAATAAAAATAAAAAAAAATATTTTCCAAAGATTTTAAGAAAATAAAATTTATATTGATTTTATTTTTTTTTTTTTTTAATTTTAAAAATTGCATAAAAATTTTCCTAGATAGTTTTCAGGGCTAATAAATATTAAAATTACACTTCAAAAGTATTTTTTAATAACTAAAATTTTATTGATTAGGTTATAATATTGCCAAGACAAAAGATATATTTACTAATCCAAATTAACAATTTCAGGTATTGAGCTCTCCGGCATAATTTCCGCACGAAATTTCAATTAACATAAACCGCTTAGGATTAAGACGCAAAGTCAAAGACATCGTCAAACAAAGTAGCTCAGTGCGATTGAATAGATATGAAAATATCAAATTGTGTTCACCACATGCCGTCTTTCAATACATCTGTGTGTGTGTCTGCTAGGACACTGCTTCTACACCCACCACAGCTGCTATAGTTGGAGCAGCATATGTCACAATAATGCACGTAATCAAGAGTTCGCATGGAAATAAAAGTCAAACAGCACAAAAAATAATAGAAGAAACAGAGAAACGATGGCAAAGCGACCGCAAACCATTTGAAAATAAATTCCCTGCAGAGCAACGCCCCATTGCCGCCCAGGCGGGCGCACAAAGGCAATCAAGCTAAACAGAAAACTATGAACTAAAGTCGGCTCACTCGTAACTCACCTGATGGTCTGATAAACATGCTCGGCCATTGTGACATCGCCGCAAACGTACACATGTCCCCGCTCCAGCACAATCAACTTGTACAACGAATCAAATTCCTGTTCAATCAGATCCTGTACATATGTCTGCAAGCAAAGAAAGGAACTGAGAAAAACTAGCATCAAATGACGAGCCAGGCAAAGAGCGCTCTGCTCGACGCATTGTGGGCAACTGAAACAAATGTTTGTTTAGGCTAAAAAATGGCAAATGCGAACATTTTCTGCTGCAACGCAGCAAAGTGACAGCTATTTTAGTTACCCAAGTTGAGGCCCAAAGGCATTGATAAAATGCAAAACTTATATTTGTAGCAAATAGTTGTTCCAAAATAGCTTACTCTCTGTTAAAAGGAGATTCAATTTGTCTTTGAGTTGTAAATCATTTAGTTACCTTTAAACTGAGTCTCTTTAATCAAATAAGCATTTGTGTAAGCCTCAACAGAAAGTTGTTTCGAGCTGATTTGACCTAATATATATATATATATGTATATTGATTTATTATATTTTTTATTTCATTTATTATATTTTATTTAATAAGCTTATAAGAAGTATCTATCTAGCATTGAAAAATTATTTTAGAAAAGGCAGACCCAGAAGGCTGAATCTTCGTAGATTAAAATCTCATCCTGTTACCCCTAAGAGACTTGAAGATCCTTTAGACATACTTCAATCCAACTATTTATTAAATCTTATATACCCAAAGCCCACTTTAATACTTAGAAATAAATTGAAATATGCTCTGATTATTACTCTAGATACATCTCATCTAGAAGTTGTGCTGCATAACTGATACACTTTCAAGTTCTCAGCTCAAGCTGTATCTCAAGCTTACCTTGGGTATATCTGGTTCCCTGGATAGTGCCAGGAAAACACGATCCATGATTTGGTCTTGCAGCAGTTGAGCTTTCTCCTCGGCATAGAGATCCACATCGCGATTACGACAACCAAAGAAGAGCCAGAGCTTTGGTAACGACGCTGTGGTGTCTACCTCGCGCAGCACCTGGAACTCCTGCCAAAAGGAGCGGAAGGGCGCAATGCCAGTTCCAGGTCCAATCAGCACCACTGGGCGACTGCGATCCGCTGGCAAATGGAAGCCCAGCGCGCTGCGCACAAACATGAACAGCTCGTCGTTGGCTTTCAATCCGGCCAAGTAGTTGGAGCAGACGCCGAAGCGCTCGTCGCCGTGGCCGTCCTCGCAGCGGTATTTGACAATGGCCACGGTCAGATGGATCTCATCGCTGACGCGACGCGGCGATGATGAGATCGAGTAGAAACGTGGCTGCAGAGGAGTCAGATGAGCCAACACCAGGGAGGCCGGCGGTCGACACGAGGGAAACTCCTCCAGCACATCCAACAGATGCGGCAGGCGCCAATGACGCCAGTCCTCATACGCCGAGGAATCGGTAACCAACAGCTGCAGCCGCTCCGTGTCTGCATTGTCATCGCAGAAGCCGGAGAGCAGTGTGAGCAGCTGCCTCGACGGCGGAGTTGTCAGATCGAAGAAGCGAGCCAGCAGATTGCGCAGCGTATCCGCGGGTATTTTGTCATGTTGCTCCCAGCACTTGAAGATGCCGTTCGAGGTCTGCTTCTCCTTGAGTAGCTGCAGCTGCAGCACCTCATTCGGATTCTCCACACCCACCAGGCGCTCCAGCAGCCCGTCCACCAGCTGTGTGCGATTCGCCGGAAAGATACCCACATGATCGCCCGGCTCATACTCCAGGCCAGGCGCACAAATCTCCAAGAGCATCGTAGTCTTGGCACCCTCGCTCAGCTTGGTCAGATTGTGTGGCTGCTCCTTAATCTTGCAGCAATGCACCTTCTTGTTGTGATACTTGGACAGCGCCGTGTCCAGCGAGACTTTGCTGACCGATGGCACCAGGCGCACGTTGTTCACGGTTAGCGACTCGTTTTGTAGCGCCAGCGATGCATCCGACAGACTTTGATCGGGATCCAAGCAAAAGGTCTCACAGGCTAGCTGCAGCCAGATAGATAGAGTTAGAGATGGATACAAATTTCATAATTAAAGCTGGGATTTGCTTGAGCTCAAGTATTCATAGTTTATTTTAAGGACTTACCTTGAACACCTCCGGCGCCCACTTGCGGAAGGACTGCTCCTGGCCGCACATCTCGTCGCCGTAGGCAATCTTCAGCAAGCGCTCGCCGCCCAACTCGCCCAGAATGTTGTCCACGTACTGGCCGAAGGCGCAGAAGTTCGGATAGGCCGAGGAGCCGAGCGCAAAGACGGCGAAGCGTACATTGGAGAGCGGACCAAAGGTCTCGTCCGTAAAGGTGTCCGAGGTGGAGCCGCGCAGGGAGTCCCAGCGGTCGATCTTCTTGACTTGTTGCAGCGGCAATTTCATAAAGTCCTGCCGTGAGTTGGCCTTCATGAAGGACTTGGATGAGCTGACACCCATGCTAATCGCATGGCAAAGATAGAGACAGAGAAAGAGCGAGAGAGAGAGCGAGAGAGCAAGCTAGTTAGAAATTGAAATGTTGCGTTTTTTTGCGTGCTCAGCTCATAATAAATTTCACAAAAGGCGGCTAAACAAAAGGCGTGGGCGTGAGCCAAGCGCCTCTTGTTACCCAATGACAAAGGCAAAGGACACGGCAAAAAGATGGCAACAATAAAGGCAACAAGCATAGATACACAGACACACACACACACATAACTGACAGCACAACATTTATTACGCTTGTCATTTGATGTAGCCAAAGTGGGCAGAAAAAAACAAAACGAAAATAAAGAACCCAAGCAAAATGAGCACAAGAAGAAGGAGGCCTCGCCTTGGACTGGGCTACGAAATGTGGAGCTCGGTTATTGGGCTGGAATTTAGACAGAACGCAAGGCAAGGCAAGGCAATTGCTAAAAAGCGTAATCATCCGCTCGTCAGCAGCTCGTCAGAAGCAGCAGCAGCAGCAGCAGCCGCAGAATAACACACAGCATGGGGCGTCTGCCTGCAGCTAACTGAAGATGAACCATGCCGCTTCTGCCGCACGATGCGTCCACACGTTGAGTGATGATTCAACAATGAACAGTGGCAGTTTTTAAAGAAGACGGCACAGAGAAATGGACCAACTCCCTGCCAGCTGCAGCTGGCTTTGCCTTATCCTCGCCTCAGCAGCCCAGGTCCTGGCGCCCTCGTCTGTTGGCAAATGCGTTTAAAACTATTTGAGCTGCTGCTCAGCTTAGCTTTGGGTCAAAAGTTTATGGCTTTGGCGCGTCGTAAAAACCTGTTGGCTGCCCCATAATCAGCTGCCAAGTGTTGCCCATCCTCCTGATGCCGCACAGCAGAGCTTACACGCTGTAAGAACTTGTTAACAGCGTGCTGCACACAGCTGGCTGATGGCCTTAAGCCAGGCTAAAGATAAAGAACTGCATTTGTGTCTGCCAGCGCATTCGAAATATGTCAATAGATTTTAATAAAAGCAGCACACTTTCCTGTAGTTCTTGAACACAATATTAAGCAATAAAAAATGTTTTAAAATTATAAATTGAATATAAACTCTTAAGCTTTAACAACAAAACAATTTGTGACATGAAAAAACCATTTCCTGCTCAGAATAATAAATAATAATAAATACATAAATATATAAAAAAATATAAATAATATATTTGTGTAACATCTATTCGAGTTATTTATATTTTACAATAGAAATTTAAGAATTAATATTTTTTGAAGGTCTTTAGTTTTTACAGCGTCTTAATGTATTTTCCAAATTAGGAAAATCTCAAATATTTTTTATGACGTTTCGAAACGAAGGAAATTTAACCGGAAAGCCTTAAGATTTTCTATTAAGCTTAAGTCATTATAAACCACAATCTAAAGTAAATTCATAAGTTTAGCTAGTCAAAAACTAAATTAACTATAAATGAAAGCAAATTAAAAAATACAAAATAATTTAAACATAAAAAATAATTAAAATTTTAAAATAAAATAAGTAAAATAAACAAAAATATTATAAAAACTAGTAATAACAAAATCAAATTTTTAACAATGAATGCTATTAATTAAATTATATTTAAATTTTAATTTAATTACTAAACAAATATCGAAGTATATATTTTAATTTATTAACTTGAATACGATTTCATTGGCGAAAAGCTGAGCTTAGAAATATATAAAAAATATGTTTAATGAGTTGGAGCTTTTCTTATGAAAGGCAGAGCTACTGACATTTCGATTCACTCAGCAGTCACTTTTATTTCTAAGACTCATCAACTTAAAAAATAATTTGATTTGTTGTTTATTCAGTCAAGAAAATTCCAAGAAAATTAATTTTATTTTCGTTTTTATTGCACATTCATAAGATAAAATTTCCTGGAAATTCAAATTCTGTTATTTTAAGCAAAGCGTTTGCTTAATATTGCAATTACTTTCAAATTGCCTGCGACAATAAATTATTTCATAATTGTAAAGCTCAGCGTGGCTCTTATACAAAAATTGTATGTGGTTTTGAAGCTACCAATAAATTAAAATTTATACAGAATTGTAGCTCTAGAGGTCAGCTTAGCAGCTGGTAATAAATTCTTGAACTGAAGCCAATTTTTATTCCCTCATTTTGTATTTTGATTAGCTGATTCGACTGTGAGTTCCACTGTGTCAGAGCTAAGCATGTGCAATTCATCAAGGTAGCAAAGCGTTGAGTTGCCAAGCTGCGTGCTGCCTATCAACTTAATCGCAACAGCAACAGTAACAGTAAAAGCAACAAGAATAAAAGCAATGGAATCAGCACACAGACAAATAAACAGACAGACGCAAACAACGCAGAGTTATCCTTGATACATCTCGAATATCGCTGGAGCACAGGATGAAGCTTAAGCTTCATGTGCATTCGGGAACCCAAAAGTGCAGCTTGGCGTGAAAAGAGTGTCGTAATTTACAGCCGTGCAACAGCTAAGGCCGGTGGCAGGTGGCAGGTGGCAAGTGGCACAAACGCAGCTACAACAAAACAAGCGAAAAGGTAAACAAGGCGAGAGCTAAAAATTTAAGTGCTAGCTGAGCTGAGATGGCAGGCGAGAAAGAGAAAGACAAAGAGAGAGAGCGAGTGAGAGAGACAGAGTCTGGCATAATTAAAACGCTGGCAAACTCTACTCTAAATTGGCTGTTTCTTTTTCCGGACACGCCATCATAAATTCGCCTAGTGCCCAAAAGCTGGCAACACTATTTTTTCTTTCCTTTGCCACGCCGCTTGGGCCAAGTGCCCCGGACGAGTTGCGTTTGTAATTATTTTGTGCACTCGAAATGCTGTTGAAAAGTGTTGAAGCGTTTACTATTTGAATTAAAGATATGCGCTGCGAGGTTTAAGCACTTAGCTGACCTATTGAAATTTAGCTGAAAACATGGATTATTTAACAAAACAGCTTAAGTAAGTGTGATATTTACTATTTAATATTTCATTATATTGAAAGTATTCAAAGTTGCATTTGATAAATATAAGATATATAAATACAAGATATAATACGATTCACATGTGATTATTCTTATATATGGAAGATATGGGAGATAGACAATATTATTATATATTTATATAAAACAAAGTTACTAGACTTGTTCAAGCTTCAACATTTATTGACAGCGGAAGGGCATTGAGGAATTTTCAAACATTCCCAATGTCTACTCGGTTAGATAAAGATATAGGTATATAGTATAGACAAAGTATTAGATAAGAGTAATAAAAGGATTCGCTCTTCGAAGATCTTTATAGACAAACAGTAGAGCAAAAAGTTTTGCAGCTCATCTGAGTAAAACATAAACTGTTTTAACTCAAACAATACTCTGCTGATAATTTAGTCAAAGTGAAGTGATGAATTTATTTTAAGACTTTTTTATAATAAGAAATCAGAAATGAGAAATGAGAGTATGGTTGAATTGTAGTGGAAATATAGAGATAGTATTTAAGACCAAAAGGTAGTCAAGTGGGCATTTATGATTATATCAGCCTGGCCTACTTTATAGATAGATGTAATAGAAAAAGTTTATTTTTAATTGCACTTTTTCAAATACATTCAATAAATTCTACAATTATGTTACGAGCCTAATGAAGTCATCTGCTTGAGTTGATATTGTTTGACTTATATTTTATACTCAATAAGAATGTTGAAAATGCAATTTGAGTTACTTCAGTGGCGCATTATGCAAAGTAAAGTAATTGTGAGTTGATAGGTAGCATCATCGTAAAAAACTATGATGACAGCAAATGGGCGATCCCAGAGCAGCAATGATGCTGCTAATAATGATGATGATTATGTCTAACTGGCTAAGTGGCACTTGTGTGCTCAAGCAGCGGCAGTTGCAGCTTGCAGGATGCGGATGCTGCTTGCCAGTGTCGCACTGTCATACTGGGACGGCGCACGCTCATACACACATAGATAAGCAACCTGCCCTGCTTGGCACTTGAAAGGACACTTACAAGCGTTGATGGCATAATAGACAGCAATTAAGTGAGTCACTTGAGCTGACAAACACAGGAGCTGCGACAGCGACAAGGATCAAGACAAGGCCAAAGGCCACAGGCCACTCCGATGACTGTGCACTTTTGAGCCATGCCCGACCGATGATTACGTGAAATGTTTATTTAATGTGATACGCACACACACAATCAAATTAACAGGCCGCCACTTATAAATGAAATGCAATTAATATCAGTGCACTGAAAGCCGAGTGTGCCGAAGCTGACATTAAATTAAAGTTGGCCAAAATGCAATTTGGGTGCAGCTGCCTGCTGGCGGCACTTAAACTATTTGTAAACTATTAAGCAAGTAGCTTGTAAATTTTTAATGCCACTCAAAATCTTGCCACATGGCGTACAACAAGCTGCAACAGAAACTGGCTGGCAAAACTTTTCGCATTCCCGACTTTAAGCATGAAATCAATTGAGGCAAACAATTAACAGGCCAAGCTCAGATTCCGGAACGACAGGCCATCCAATGAACCGGAAGAGCAGCTGAAAAGAAGAAGCCAAGTTAGCTCAGTAATTCGCCGCGGGCTTTCAAATCTGTTCAGCTGTTGCCGCCCCAGGCAAAAGAGATTCGAACGCTGCTAAGTGGATGATAGCTCATCTCAGCGCCGACATATCGAAACATATTCAATTGCCTAGCTAATGAGCAGCCACTTATCAGTTATTAAATCGCAAATTGCCAGCTAATTAACGTCAGCCACTTTGATTTATTTGCATTAGCCAAAAAGGAAAGCCCGACGCGTGGCTAATACAATATGCGGCTCTCATATCAAAGTGCAATAATAAATCATATTAATTGATTTATGCTGAGTGCTTAGCACAATGAAAACAGCCAAAGGAACTTTTTGCCAATGTTAACATTGGGTACAAGGAAAAAAATGTATAAACATGGCTCAGCACACAACAAATTATGCGCGTATTAATTTTATTTCGCTTATATTGAGTAAAAAATTAAAAAATAAAAAAAATAAAAACTGGGGTAGCATTAGAAGTCGCAAAAGTTGCTGCTATTCAAAACGGCCGCAGGACATTTTCTTAACTGCTGATGCTTATCAGACTTTATTGAATTGCCAAATACACATACATATGCACGTATACATATATATATATATATATGTGTGTATGTGTGTGTGTATGGCTGTCAATATGTTTTAACAGTCTGCGCTGCTTTCATATGAATTTTCAATTTCGTCTTCAAGAACAGCAGCGTTTTCTGCGTATAAATTTAGACACATGTGAGCAATGGTATATGGGTATGATTGCGTGTGTGTGCTTATGTATGTGTGCCTGCGTGTTTGCACAGCAAGTTGTCAAAGCTGTCAAGCGGAAATCCCCTTTACATCCTAAAAAAAAAATAAACAAAACGTTTTTTGGTAAAGCAGCTAAAAAAATACCCTAAGAAACAAAATGGAATTAGAAAAAATATGAAATTTAAAGACACAATTTAAGACCTAAATACAGCAAAGAAAATTGTGATAAGAAACTAGTTACAGTTGAAGTTAACAAGCAAAACTGTTCTCTCTGCCATTGCCTACCCCTAATTCATCAAGCTTTATAGACATTTTCACAGAGTATAGCTTACTCATGTCATATGTAATACCTACACACTCACTCACACACTGCTCGGAAATATCGAAATAACAAAATTATTGTTATTGTTTGGGCTTCGGTGCGGTGGGCAAAGGGAAATTGCGCGGATTTGGCTGCGTTCCCAAGCGGCACGCTCTTAATGGTCGCGTGTGTGCGAGTGTATGCATGTGTGTGTGTGTGCTTTAAAGCATCTGGCGGCATGGTTACCAAAATTTATAAAAAAAAAGAAAACGAATTACGGCAATAGCCAGCAATGCCAATTAATAATATGGGCATGAAATATGTGTCATCAAAATTGCGACCCAAATTCAACCCAAATACCTATTGAAGAAATTAATTTAGCAAAGCCTAGGGCACAATGTAATTAATTCTTTTTTTTTTCAATAAATAAAACAATAAATAAAACAATAAATATTGTAGAATATAATTGAAAAAAAATAAATAATATAGTAAATAATAAATATTAGGCAAAGAAAATATATTTAATAACATTTGATTTGCATTTTTTTTAAATTCAAATTTTATTAAATACAATATAAATATATATTTTCTTTTAATTTGAAATGCATTTGTTTATGTTTCAACTTAAGTTTTCTTTTATATTTTCTTGAGCAGTAGAGTAATTTTAGTATTTAGTGTTAGGTAGTTAATAACCTTAAGGCATTTAAATTTCAGCTTAAAAAAAACTTTAGCTCAGAATTTCTATTAATTTTTAATTATTTATTTTTTTACATTTTATTATTAGCCAAATATATGTTAGAGATAATATCAAAATTTCAAACTTAATATAAATTTATAAATTAAATTTAACTCATTGTACAATATATTTAAAACAATGCTCATCAAAATAAACTGAATATTAAAAATGTAGAACAAATTGATGAGACAAAGTTTGGAATTGCAAAAAAAGGAACAAAAATTGTTAGGCAGATAATAAAAGGCAAATGGCTTACAAATTATGCAATTCTTGCTTAAAAAGCAATTTAGGTGCGACCTTTGGAAACCCTCATTTATAAAACCGAGCAACTGAGCAACTGAGTCTACAGCCAACTTCAGCCACCCTGTTGCCAATATTGAGCACGCAGCGAGCCAAATTGATTTATATGAAATTTATGCAGAGCCGCAGTTAGCAAAAGGCAAATAAAAAAACAATAGCCAACAAAAGACGAGGTCAAAGTTAAAGGCAAGGAAATTTATTGGCTCAACACTCACCTGGAATCGTTTAGGCCGTGTTCGCCCGACTCCTGTATGCGCATGGCGTACAACTCCTGCGAGAAGAGCTGCAAGCACAAAGGTTCACATTTGATGTCATTAGTGGCTGAACTCGGACATTAATTAACTACTTAGTTAGCTGGCCGATGATCAATGGACAGCACTTATGGTGGATAAACTTACCTCGCCATTTTCCGGCGGATCTCCATTGCCAAAGGTGGAGGCAACAACAATTAGCAACGCCTCGTGCTCGATGGAGGATATATCGTAGTCGGACATGCAATATATCTAGATGAGTAAACAATTTAGTCTAGTAGTGGACGCAATCAAACCGGGAAACTTGCTTAAACCAACACTTTTGTGGTCATTAGTAACTTGACCCGGTTAAAACACGCAAACAGCCTAAATGAGCTGGCTACCTGTGCTGTGGGTGAGGCGAGTGTGTGTGTAGTTTGTCACAGGTGCTATCTAGTTTTCCAAACGATAGACAGCTGCTTTTTTTTTTATACCAGCATCCGCTTTCGCACACACACAGACAGCCGACAGCAGCCGCTGCCTTTGGACACTAAGCTGCCAAAAATTTACCTGGCACATTTTGGGCTTATGCTAATTTGTGTAATGTGGCATTTTGGTATAGGTCGCAGGTTGCTGTTTATTTTTGTGTGGTCCGCAGCGAGTTTTTTAATGTCAAATTAAGGCTTCTATTTTGTTGAACATGTCGTATGCTTAATATTTGCATGTGTTTAATAATTTGAACAGCATTTAAGGTCAAAATTATGATTATTTTGCCTCAAAAAGGTTAATTTGAATGAAATGAGTCTTAATGTTGTATAAGCCCAGATTTGATTGGGACTCCATCTGACATATAGTGCTCTGGCTGCGTATACTTAATATGTGAACTCACCTGCGCATTGAAGGCATGTCCCAGTAGCTCGCACAATTGCTTGGCATACTGCTCCGACTTGCCCGTTTCAGTGGCATATAAAACTGTTGCTTTGATGCGTTTCGATAGAGCGCGTCCAAATAATTTCGATGTAAATTTCACAGCACTGCAAAGAAGACAAAGAAGAGCACAGACTATAAATGGGCGTAACTACGTATAGAATATGTATGTATAGCTATGCATATTCAAGCAGCTAGTTACGAGGCGCACTTTAAACTGAGTCTAGGTAAGCTGAGGGAGGTAAGGACTATTTGATTGGCAGGGCACATAATTGGAAAACAGTCTAGAAATATGGCATAAATTGCTTAAAAGATATTCGAGGCAAAGACACACACACACACAGAGACTCCTTGCCCTGTCAATAATCAGCTGGCTGCAACACTTTTATTGCACAACAGCAGCAGGCGTTGGTGCCATCTGATCAAGGCAGCTGCTACGATTTGTTTTGTGCTTAGCACATGAAATTTTAATGCATCGTCTAAAAAATGTGAAACAAACCAACTGAAGGCATATAGAGACTTAGCTGCTGCCTGCTTGCGAACACAGCCAACAGAGTCTTTTGGCAAGAGCCATTGTTGTTCAGCTGCTGCTGCTCGTAACGTATGCTGAACTACTTGTGCGCCGGGCGGCTGCTTATAGGCAGTTTAACTGTAACTCAATATGGCTGCCTGGCACACATTTTGCTGCATACTTTTGTGCGCAACATAATTTGATTTTTCATAAAGTTGTCGATGTCAGCACTGATTTAATTCCATTTCATCAGTCGACGTGCAGAGCAGCGCGTGCTGAAACAATTAAACTTAATTATAAAGCGACACACACACAAACGTGTAAACCTATGTATGTTTGTGTGTGTATTATGCATTTTGCAATTCATTTAAGCATTGATAAAAAGTTTGCCCTGGCTCGTTTTAAATGCAAAGCGTGTATAATAGAGTGGATGTATATATGTATATATATATATGTGTGTGTGTGTATGAGTGTATAAGCATTTGCATAAATAACGATTTAAGCATGTTAATTGACAACTTTTTAATGTAATTGATTTTTACCATTTTGACAGTTAACATGAGAGCAACAATCTGTATACATGGAAGCATATATATGTATACTAACTATATATATACACACATATATAGCTGGCATAACTCAATCAGCTTGTTGCTCGCTGAGCGGTTGAAATAAATTAAAATAAATTAGCTTATGAAAATGTGAAAACGAGCAACAACTGCGTCAACAACTTCATTAATCTGTAACGATTTAAAGTGCGGTCATTAAATAATTATTATTTTATTTATTCTTTACATATATATATATATATATATATCCATATATGTTTTTACAATACATTAAGCAACAATCTGTAGCTGTTCATTAATGCAATTTATTTTTATATCTGCTCAAGCTGGCTATAATTGCTTATTGCTAAACTGTATTGATTACTAAACAATTGTTTTCATAATGAGCTGAGTTTAAGTTAAACAATTCTTAACTAAGATATGAATATAATATTGAACAATAAATAATGGATAATCCACATTTACTTGCATTTCACAGGCTCAAATTGCGTTAGCTAATAAGATATTCGAGTTAAGCATAACTAGACCTTAGGGTTACATCTTTACCAACAAAATTATTTGTATGAATCACTACAGCTTGTCAAGCTACATTCTTTAAATAAAACTCAAATATATTTAATATGTCAAACAATATTTATTTTGCTGCCAGTTCTTTTTCTACTGCTCTTAATTGGTCAATCTGTACCCAGTCAGCTCATTTATTGAAATATTGAAGCAACATTTAAAAACTTATATCAAGTGCTTTTCAGAGGTTCAGAACTTTGAGTGGGCAACCCTTTAACCGCTGATAGTTGCCTTTTGAAGAGTTTGACATTTCATTATAAATAAACTTGTATCAGAGAAACGCTTATAAATTGTTTAAATTTTATAAAAATATTGGGTCTGTTTGTCAAAACTTTTGGGAATTTAATGTCCATGTCCACATTGCTCATAATTGTCTTGCAGATTCAGCCTTGTAGAACTCTACCTATTGCTCACATACCCAAAATCATATTTCAGCATTAATGACATAAACATAAATGTGCAATAAAGTTTATTGATATTAAAAATATATTTTTTTTTATTTAGTACGATTTTAATTTGTGTGACTCTAAAATAGAATTTTCCCAAGCATAAAAAATGTGTACAAAGTTGAAAAACTTATTAAAAATGTTTTATCTCCAGCCAACCAAGAAAGTTCTGATGTTACGTATGAAGTATGACATGAGAGGCCCATGAATAATGCATTACGTATCACAAAATGTAACAGAAAGTTTTATAATAATTATATTTTCCCGTTGAGCTAAAGTCAATATTCAATGGCAGCTGTAAAGTTAATTAACTATGTGTTAACATGTGACTATTAGGGTCATATAATTGCTTCATTTGTATAGGCAAGATGTTAATTTACTAGATAAGCATTTTCCACTGGCTGTAAGGTATATGTAGCTGAACTAATATTTATTGTTCTAGTGACTGGCCTTAGCTTAAAATTTGTATAATCTTCAATATGCTCTGCAGTTAAAATAGACAATGGCAAAGCTGCAAACAAGCTGCAATGCATCAAATTTTCCGGGACAGTTGACAGCAAATGGAAGAGCTGAATGCGGCAAGAGAATGAAGACGGGCAACTGGTAGTAATAAACCAGGATCCATGTAATCTACTTAAGAGCTAATCCCTGCTGATGCTGTGTCGTGTGGCACGCCACACTCGCACACACACACACAGACACAATTTCATGATTGGGAATGCACACACAAAAAGGCAAAGGTCGCGCACGCTTAACGGTAACGGTAAAGGTAATGGTTAGTGAGAGTAGCGACATTGTACTTACCGAGCGATTTGTTTAAAATTGAATTTACGTCTTGGCTTTTTGCCTTTGCTCTCGCCGCGTCCCTTTTTCCAGATATGTGTGCGCCAGGCAGGATCCTGATATTCAAACGAGGGCTTCAAATAGTACAGCGCCATCTCCTGATGAAACACAGGCGTTATGGACCCAGATAGCGGCGGCACAATCCATATCCAATCCGCTGGGCAGCCGTTGCTGAATGAGTAAAGGAAACAAAGCAGAGATGGGATGAATATCAAGTAATTGTTATGGTCGTCGCTTTGTTTTTGCTTATTGGCTGTAATTGACATAACGCCACAGAGCAGCAGCTCCAAAGCCCCAGCTAATGGCTAATGGCCCGTCCCCACTCCCCACTGTCTAATTGATGGCAGCCAAAGAGCAGGAGATACCAAGCGCTTTGTGTAGCATTAGGGAATGCAAATTGCCATTAATTGAAATATGGCCACGTATTTTTAGACAGCGACTGGCTTAAACCACAGCGTATTTTCAGCATTGGCTTAACTAATTTTGGGCAACGCTAAATACTGTCTTCAACTTTAAGTGCACACGATTATAAGTGTAAACATGCACAAACTTGGCTCAAGTTTGACTCACGCAAAGTAATCTCGATGTAATCGCACTGTGATTAATTTTGTCAATGACTTTTTGAATTGCTGCTGGCTTGCTTAGAAAAGCTTAGATAAATATATGATTAAGAGGCTTAAACATCGAATCTCTTTACCGTATTTGGCAAGGATGCAACTCCGTTTAAATAGAAAATATTATCTTATCTTTGCAAAATGTCATTTAAATAGATTAGCTAAAACTGATGGGAATTGAATAGAATAGAAGAGAATGAACAGAATTCAGATCAAGGGAAGTCATTTTTAAATATATTTATATATATATATATATATATATATATTGAAAGCTCCACTTAAATCTTAATATTTTAAAAATATAATTATGTTAAATACTTGTAAATTAGAATTAAAATTAAAAAAAAAGTGTTATTCTTCTTTGCAAAATTTTAATATAATTATTTATTTTGGAATTTATTTTTTGCAATTTTCATACATAAATATGAAATATTAATTGTCAAATTTTTATATATATCTATGTATTATGTACTTTTTTATACTTGGTCAAAATGCAAAAAGATGTAAAAAACTAAGAAGGTTAAATGGAATTTATTTTCAATTCAGCTTTTATCTAATAACCCGATAAATGCTTAAACAACTCTGAAGTCTTATATCAATTTTATTATACAATTTAAATTACTTTACTTTAAATTATTTATCGGTATATACAAATAATTAAGCCATACACCAAAAATGTAGTCAATTAAAAAAATATTTCATAATTATAAGCGGCATAAATCTTAACTGATTTAATGAATAATGGCGTCATCAACTGTAACCAAAGTCCATAATTAAAATGGCTTAACTGTTGTCACTGCGCTGAAAGGTGTTGGCTAATTTATGGCCCAGTCGAACAATAAGTGCGACAAAAGTTGCGCAATAATAGTTTATGAAAAATGATAAAAACAGCTTCGGGTCGAGCCCAACTCCCATGCATGCCCCGCAGCGTGTAAAGTTTCTGACATATTGCACGGCATTCATGTGTCTCGCGTGCACTTTACATGAAATGCCGGCGACCGCAAATTGAAAACAATAAATAAAATTCGTTCCTGAAAGGTGTTTCCCCTATGCACAGGCCGGAAGTCAAATAAAACACGTTAAGCCATAAACATGTGCCTCGGATATGCCATAAGGGACGCTCACCAAACATAAACAATGCAACATTCAGTATTCGCCCCATGTACACTGCACACAGCACACATGAAACATGATCAGTTTCGATGAATGTAGGCTTACCGCAGCTTGGATTCGTTCTCAAAATGCTTCATAAAACTCTCGCTGGCTGTGTGATGATCCACAATGGTCACATTCCGGCTCTGATAGGAGTGCAACACGGCAATATTCATTTCCACCACGGCCTTGTCCTTCCACAGCGAGGTCGGCGTGCGCGTATCCAAGTTCATTTTCAGCGCCACAGTCTGCAAATGAGATTGTTGTTGTTAGGCTGTATTAATGATAGGCAAAGGCAGCTCATTTGTAGTCATAGATAGCTTGAAGGTGTCAATTTATCAATTTTCTTACCTCATTTGGGAACTTGCATAATTAACGTAAATATTATATTTACACTAGGTATAGGAATAGAATTTATCAACTCTATCGACTAAAATATTTCACTTTGCTGCCTTCCTTACTCTCTCTTTCTCTTTGGCATTTCTTTTTTGATAAATTTCTCAGCATATATTTTTTAATTGATGGTCCTTTATCTCTTTCATTCCCTATCTGACTCTCTCTCTCTCTGGTTCATTTCTCTCTTTTTCTTCCTTTTTTCTGTCTCTCCTCCATCTCTACTCGACTTCTGCTCCAACTCTCTTCATTGACTTGACTCATTCAGTCAACCTCTCCGTGCTCAATTTAACATCCTCTGGCTCTCTCTCATTCTTTCTCTTTCTACATCTCTTCTTACTCTCTTACACTCACTCTATTACTCTACCAAATCACTTCTACTTCTGTTGGTAGTATATCCTCCTGTCTCTCTCTCTCTCTCTTCTCTCTCTCTCCCCCCTCAACAAATGCCACATTGTTAATTTTCAATTACAATTTTTGGTTTTTTTGTGGCCAAAAATTGATAATTTCACCGCCTGCCGCCACATCAAGTCCACAATGCAACAAGTTGCTACTAAAGTTTGTTTTTACGCCCATTGCGGTCACTGGGCTCTGGTCTGGAAGCATATATCGATTTTGCTTCTGGTCATGATGGCACATGCATCCACGCTGTACAGTGGCCATACATTTGGGGAAATTTCAGGAAATGAAAAAGTTTTCAATTTGAAAGCAAAACTGCGTAAGGGACAGCCTTTAAATTTATATGTTGATAAAACGATTTCCCAGTTTTTAGTTAAAGTCTTACTAAATTATTAAATACTTTCTATGGCGTTTTATTTGGACAAGTTAATTATTTATACGGATTGATTAATGCCTAATTGATGCCCATATCAATGCAATTCAAAAATCAAAAATACCAAATTATGTGTACAATACAAATATTCAAAAAGTAAAATTGCAAATATGCCAATGTGCATTTAGAACCCTTAATATATATATATATATATATATATATTATAGTCTATATATATATATATATATATAGTCTATGTAATTGTGGAGAATTGCGCATTATGTTGTCATCAAATTGAATCATGCTAATGGCAACTGCGTGTTGAAAACTAATTATGCCAGCCAAATTGAAAGTGCAAATTCATCAAAATTTGATGCAGTTCGAGTAACTTGAATTTGTTGCCTCCCAGCAATTAGTGTTCGTGTTCGTGTTTGATGTTGTCTATTGAATGCATAGCCGAGTGGCTGCCTGCCTGCACGCAAAATTCAATGCTTCTCCATTTCAGGCATATAAATCCGATTTACTTTAAATGCGCTCGAACGACTTTTAAACGGTCGGCCATGGCTCACACAGCCACACATTTCTTGGCACTCGACTGCCATGACAACCAGAGCTGTGCACATAAACTGTCTCAAGCCTGAGCACCAACCCACACAAACACACACACGCACTCATACATGCATACATATGCTGAAATATTTACCAGTAAAACGCTTTATGCCGGTAAAGTAAACGCGATAAAAAATAAGCAGAAGCAGCAAAACGTTTCGCACGCCGTGGATTAAATACACTGAAAGTTATGCGACATCAACGTGATTTGATGCGAAAACTTAAATGCAATTGATTTTTATTGTAGAGTAGAGTTAAATAGCTTGAAATGTTTGCTGCGCTCTGCGAGCATAACAATAGCACGTCTCCTTCTTAGATTCTTCGATTATATAGCATCTGATAACTTTCCAGCTTAAACAAAAGCTTATGAAGCTTACTTATGCTAGAGGCATGGTAAAACTCTTTCATATTCACTTTGGTCTAAGTAATTTAAAAATCAAAAAGTTGTTCAGGAACTTCATCATGAACGAAGCTCCACAGGCCCTAATGAAATCTTAAGCTGTAGAAACTGTCGGAATGATAAGTTTTAAATGTGAGACAGTCTGTATTAAATACATAGAAATAATAGTGTTTGACAAATCTATTGCTAAAGCAAAATAAAAATATTTTAAAACTTATATAAAAAATATTAACAGTATTTTAAAATAAATAAAAAATATTTTAATACACAAAATATATTTTAATATACATAAAAAATATTTTAAAACACAAAAAGTATTTCACAATGCATTAAAATATTTTAACATATATATAAAAAATATTTTAAAATTAATTAAATAAAGATTCGTAAACTCGAACTTTTACTTAACTAATTAGGTTCACAAAGCACTGCTAGAAATACGCTCTCTCTTGCTGCTCAAAAGAAGACTCAAAGGCAGTTGGGCTACCTGAGCAGCGCTCAACCTACTTCCCACACAGAGTATAGCCCTGATCTATAGAGTAGCTTTGCTCGCGGCCGTTTAACATACAATTGCACACCTCTTGGTATATCCTTTTTTTTATTAAACAATATTAATGGTTGGGGATGGAAAAAGTACAATATCCTTATGGAAAGGCGACCATTATGGGACGTATAATGAAATAAATGCCGGAACATGGCGCGCGCCGGCGACAAACACATCAAGGACATAACGCAAGGACAATCCGCGCGCTATCAATAACGCAATTACAATATACAGTTATATATAGGTATATAGACTGCAGCCCCTTAATCGGAAACTTTAATGCTTTAATGTGTCGTGCTGCAAGTTGGCAACTTACCTCCAACATATTGCGACGATTTGTGTCGCATAAATTCCGGCAGCCAATCTCTGTGGACATGTACCAGCCGCTGAATGTGGTTGCCGTAAACTGAATGCCGCCCACATCGAACAGCATGCTAGAAACAGCAGGCAGGGCATACCAGCGTAAGCTCAATTCAGTAAACCACTCGAATCTGCAATGGAGAGAAGAGAGAGAGAAAGAGAGAGAGCGAGGGAGAAATGAGTTAAAATTGTTATTTGCCATGCGATACGTATGCGGATGCGAATCCTTTAAAAACACTGTGTCATAACTAGCCAGCCAGCCAGCCAGCCAACTGCTTTGTTTGCATAACTCTTAACACACGCACACACACACAACACACACACACTCACTTGGGATGACTCAGCGGCACTTCTAGTATGAGCTCCAGTGGGTAATCAAAGTAGTCCGGATCGTGACCATTGGCCGACACCACCAGCGGCAATATGTCCCACTCGGTGCCTTTGCCCTTCCAGCCCAGCTTAGTGCAGACCTACAAATAAATAAAACAAGCAGAAGAGCAGCAGCAACATGAGTATCGAAGCCAACATAAAAAGTGACATGTGTGCAAATATATGGCATACTTTCGAGCGGTTTTGCATGCAAATACATCAACGCCCCAGCAGTGTGCACATGCCAGGACTCAGCACATCATATCCTGACAACATATGTTGCTCTGCGTGTGTGTGTGTATTTATTGACAGCTTTGTTATTTGTTCGGTTTTTTGCGTATTTAAAATACGATTTATTACATGAAGTTTATACAACTTTTGCGCCACGCCCCCACAGACACATTTATTCCTGTAATTTGTTGTGTTATTGTGGATTCAAGGGATCTTTCAACTTGTTGGTTTAACCAACTTTATGCGGGCCAGCATTTGCTGCAATATATATGAATATATATATATATATATTGATAGGTAGATTATGGGCAATAAATAAAGGCTAGCAAACGGCTGTGGAAATTGCTTCAATTTCCATGAATAGCCCAGCGGCTGTGCAACACTGATAGCTATAGTCAGCCACTCGTGAGAGGCTCAATCTGTCAGTGCATTTAACCCTTTATGCAGGACTCTATATAATTCATTTCAGAATTGAATGACTTTCAATATAGCTCAAAGTAAGCTATAAATTATATTAACTACAATTTAGTAAAAATAGATTAGATAAAGTAGTTAGGTTAGTCTGGAAAGCACTTAATTACCTCTGTAAATTCCACATTCATGGGATCACCTATGATTTTGCCATCTGTCTGCTTATAGCCAGCGTAGGATATAAGCTGATTGTTCCATATGCGATAATCATGTCGACCATCGGTGCGCTGTGGAAATATTGTAATAGCAGATCTGCAAGCAGGCAAAAATGGATTAATAAATATATGACTAGTGGAAACAGCAAAGTTCTGGCAAATTTCGTATTTCAGTTCGAGCCGAAGTTCGTCGAGTTCGGCAACATAAGCCGCTTTCAATATTCAACACAGCAAAGTCAAAAGTGCAATTGATAGTCCGGTCGCAACACTTAGTTTGGGCTAGCGGAATTTTCAAACATTTGCCAAGCCTCAACGGCCAATTAGCGCTGGCCCACAATATTTGCCTGCCATTCCAGACAGAAAGCTAATAAAACGATTTGAGTGGATTAGTGCGTGTGCGTGTCAATGAAAACTGAAAATGCATATATATATATATATATATATATATATATATATATATATATATATATATATATATATATATATATATATATATATTTGCGCAAATTTTCCAAATGGCATAAACAGCATATTTAAAGACATGGCCAATGATGAGGGGCTTAAAAAATTTCCACGTTACGCTGAGCATGGCAGATCACAAATTTGTTTGCGCTAATTAGCATAAGCTGGCAATGAAACTGCGGACAGTTTAATTATGGCAAAATTTGCCATAGACGAAGTTAAACATAAAATTGCAATTAAAACGGTTCGGTTCGAAAGACTAAATGGAATATAGAAATATATATTTAAATTGTAAATTATATATTTTATTTCATTTTTCACGTTCAGTTTTAGTTAACCGAAACCGAATGTTCAAACGAGCATTGGTTTATGGTCTCCTGGTAGCAGCAACCGCCGTAATCACGGCTTGGGGTCGACATGGAATTTATTCTAAAGGCTGTCTTAAATTTTTGAACAGACAACAAATTTAGTAACAGATCATCGATGTTGCAACAGGACTCCCAACAGTGAGCCGGGAAGCACTGCAAAATAATGTATCAAGCTTCATTTTGAATATACAATTACTTATCAACGTTTGATTTATTTATTGTTTTTAAATCGTTTTATTGTTTTTCATAATATTTAGACTCTTACCTAAGATTTCCTTTATTGGTTGCGTATTTGATGTGATTGCAAATGGCCTCAAACATGCCGCTCGTTGTGGTCACATAACGACAGTCAAAGACCTGCAAAATAGTTTTATTTAATAAATTGGAATAAATACTTAAAGCAGTTACAGCTCAGTTTTAGATTTCGCTAACCCCAGCAGCTGGAAGTGCAATCAAAGCTGTAGATGCAACTAGGCGACGCCCACTACAAAAGTTCAAATTAACTAAAATATTCATAGTCCTGATGCCAAAGACAACAACAGAAAGAAGAGGAAAAAAGTTTGAGGTGAGGTATGCATGACTTATCGATGCCCTCTTTAAAAGGCAAAAGAGAAATTTAATAATAATGTAAATATGTTTAAAAATATAAATTAAATTAAAAATAGAAATATATATAAAAGTATAAATAATTATGCAAATAAATATAAAAGCAATATAATATATATAAATAATAAATAAAATATATATAAATATATAAATATTATTATAAATAATCAAATTGAAAACTATAACTTAGTGATTCGCAGAGAAACAAATTATAAATATTTTATAATTTATAGGAAAATAAAAACAAGTTTAACAATGAATTTTATTATTTTTCTATTATTTATTTCTAATTAAAAATTATTATAATTTCAGAATAAAGTTTAACGAATACCAACCAGATGGCGCCTCAACTATTTCATATGCCCATTCAATTTTACTCACTACAGGGTATCAGCAGCAGAAATCGCTGTGTAAAAACAAGCAGCCATAACAATTGTTCTACATGAATTTTAAGTGCGGCCAAAACTTTGCAGCGGCGCCGAAAACAGTAAACTCTAAATGAAATCAGTTCGAGTCAGCTCTGTATTTTGCCATGTTTTAATATGTGTTTTGTTCTGATTTGTTTTTTGTATTTTTCAATTCTGTTTCGTTTTTGCTGCTGGCACATGGGGCGTATGATAAATGTGACGTAATACGCTTAGTTTGGTTCGTTGAGATTGTCGCTTTGTTGTTTTTGCACAACAGAAGCCTTTTTTCAATGAATTCGCTTGAATGCACTTTCGGGATATTCCCATTTTAGAAGCACACACACACGCCTCTCTTTAGCTGTGTTGTTTGGGGTATTTTCACACCTGCTGCTGCTTTGTGGCTTATCTGTGACAGGTGCAAGTACTTACCCTTTTGCTTTATGAGATTTCTCTGCTGGCACACTCAAATATCTACACCCGTTTTCATATTATTATTTGGTTTCTTGTTTTTTTTTAGTATCATCCCAACTTTTCGTTCATTTTCATTTGATTTTCTGCTATGTTGAGTTCGGGTTTTGGTTTTTTGTAATTAAGTTAGAACCCTTTTTCAAGTGCTTTGCCCATTGCCCATTCAGTTATGCATGATGCGTGCATTTAATTTACAGCAAACTTTTTGTTTTTCAAGTGTTATTGGATAACCTTTTCGAAAAGTCATGGCGTAAAATGAATTTATCATAGCCTACAAAGCTGTATGGCTTCAAATGTTTATGCAGAATCATTTTTTGAAGCCAAAAGCTCTGCCATGTCCCTTGGCAGCAGAAGAAAACAAGTGCGTTAAACTAGGCTAAGCAATGTGTAGATATTCTGTAATATTTAATTGCCACCCTTTGCTATTTGTAGAAACTTTCTTATACAGCGATAGATGTAAGAGTTTATGTCAATGTATCCTGAGATACTTATAGTCCATGCTGGGGCAACCCTTAGATCTATGTAGCACTTGAAGTGTTTAGAATGAGGCCAGGTCTCAAATGTCTTTCAGCTAGCTTACAAGTAAATAATTGAAAACTAAAAACAGCTAAAAGATAATGGTTATATAAACCTAAAAAGAGAGATTTTTATATTCTTGGCAGCATCTCTAAATATTTAACTTAACTTAAAGCTTGAGTAACCATTCGTATGCAGGGCATTAAGCTGTTCATGCTGCAATATTTGTTAAGCTGAAACTATGGCTTTGAGCGTGCCATATCTTTTGGGCCAAGAAAAAAGGCTAAGAGGCGAGCTACATTAAATATGAATGGTTACACGTGAGTACGGAGAATACATTTTTAACGTTAAGTGAATTTTCAAGGTGACTTCAGAGACGGCAAATTGAAAAGCTGAGCATGCTTTAAGGCCCACACACACACACACATATATATATAAATATATATATGTAAATTATTGAAGCGTGAATGCAAATCTGTTCACACATTGCCGCGCACACACTGGCAATGCGTAATGTCAACTACTGCTGATCATTATACGCATATATATTTCTATTTTTTGGCTCTATGAATAAGTCTCTGTGTGTAGCAGCGACTGAAATATTTGCAAATTAAGATTTACAATGATTTGCATTTCAAATTTGCGCTTCGCTCTGCTCCTCCTTCCCACTCTCTGTTCCCTTTTGTCTCTGGTTTGTCTGCCTGGTGTCACTTGCTGGCTTTTTATAGCCTTTGGGTGCGCGTTTTGCATTTGTCATTTTGTTGAAACACGCATAAATCTTGAATAATGTTTCGCAGACACACACACACCCACACACATACAATCAGTTGACTGTCTACTGTGATTTGTGCGCTGCCTAATTTGCTCGACTATTTTGCCTATCTTTCAAAATTTTTCTAAATTACACACATTTGCCTAATGTGTCTTGATGAATTGTTGTGCTTGCTCATGGCTAATGCATGACTTGCACAGATAAGCCTGCAGCTCAAAGAGTTGACAGAAATTGAATTGAAATAGTTGCTGGGTATGCTAAGCACGAGATATGCATGTTACCCAAAGAAGAGCTTGTGCTAAAGGAGTGAATATTGAAATAAAAAATGTATGATATAATATATAAATAAAACTGTATATTATAGAAAATTTAAATAGCTGCTGAAATATAGTTATCAAAAATAGTATCAATATTAATCTCATTTCAGTTGAAAATTTGTTGAAATGATTGATTAATGCAGTGGAATCTACAGATTCTAAGATCTAAGTTAACTAATAAAAAATTATTTTATGTCACAAATCTTACAACTTTCAGCTCTGGAAACCTACACTTTAAGGAAACCGCTAAGAGGAGTTTAAATGAAAGACAGAAAATTAGCTGAATTTCCGCATTTTTAAGCCATTTTCAGAACTTAAAGTACAATGCTCTAAGCATACACAGCTCATGCAGTTCATTTTGAAATAAATTGTTCATAAATTGTACCTGGCCAATGAAGAGTCATAAATCATAAAAGGAGACTCGACTCACCTGCAGCTTTGACCACTGGATGCGACCGATGCAGCGCGAAGAATTGCGCCAAGCTAATTTGGCGCCATAAATTAGCTCCGTTTCGGTTAGTTGATAATGTCCCGTTGTTTCAATGCTCTGTCGCACCTGTTTCCAGCGCGTGTCGTGGGCAGCGGACGAGGAGCTGTCAGTGGGGAAGTTGCCAATTGGTAGCCTAATATTTCACTTGGCCGTAGGTATGGCTTACCGTTTAATCGAGGTGAAATACTGATCCAGAAAATCCTTGGCGTGCTCCAGCACCAAATCCGCTTTGCGTGCTTCGACCGCTGCGTTGCCGATGTGCATGATGCTGCTCGTACAGGTGGCCCGCGTACAGGACAATACCTGAAGCAAGCGAACAGAACGGCACAGAAAATGATAAATAAATAAGTCATAAACTTGGCACAAATATGACACACAGCCGATGGTGTGGGCGTGTTCGGGCAATTTAATTAAAAATTTAATTGCTTATCTGTGTAATTAAATTTTTGATTGCTCATTTCATTTGCCCTAATTGTAGCGACAAATGAAGATGAATGACAGAGCTGGCAGAGCTGGCAGCGCTATAAAAATGGAAGAAAACACAGCCCCGCCCGCCACTCCTGCCCGGTAATGGCAATGGAAATGAAATTAAACAGAAACGACTCAGGGAATCACATGGAGCACGACAACAACAACAACAACAACAACAACTGACAGCTTCTCGCCTTGAGCTCTATCTTGGCCAACAATTTAGCTGCTGCCTCTGCTCTCGGCTGCGTTTAAAAAGCATTTCACTGTCAATTGCGGATGTTACTTTCGCTTTGCTTTGCTTTACTCTCACATTTTCTTTTCAGTAATCTCACATTTTTCCCTCCTTCCATTTTTATGACGCATGTCGCTGTAATTATACCCTGTAAATCAGCCAAAAAGGACCATCTTGATGCACCAGTCATTGATGTTTGGTCTAAATAGTTGAGTTGTCTTTAGTTAACTCGCTCTCACTGTGCCCCATAATTAGGTAGAGCGTAGCTTCAAGTCCTAGCCTCTCGCCTAGCACGTGCCACCCGCTTCTCTATAAATCTACTCTTGCAACGCTCAATTTGTCCGCCCTTCGCTGACAACTGGCAGCTGCCCCGGTTGTTTGCTGTTCTTCCTCTTACCTTTTCTTTACCTTGGCTTAATTTACTCAACGCCAACGCCTCGAAGCGCCATGGCAAAGCCACCCGCGGTCATAATTAGTTTGTTTTTACAGGCAGTTGAGCTTTTGAATTGGCTGGAGAAAAGTGAATTGGTGCGCTCATAAAAGCGCTCCACAGCATTCACCTGCTGCTCGTTGTCTCTGGCATGCGACTGTGACAATTACATTACACATACGCCACGTAAACACTTGAGATTTGTTGAAGCAGGTACACAACTTGTCAAATTAATATAATTAAGCTAACATTTTAAGATTTCGTGAGCTCATTCTCTGTGGCAGTTCAAGCTTTTAGTTGAAATGAATAATATATTATTAATTCAAATTGAATAAGTAATATATTATTGATTTAAATTTCTTTTATTGTAGTTTGAAACTTCATTAGCTATCCGCCTAGTTGACTTTGATATTTGAGCACACCTGCAGCTGTAAGATCCCTTCAACTGATGACTAGACAAGAGCGTCATTTGTTATACTGCTGTCTCTGCGGTTAGCAGATGGCACACTTAAAAGCGGATGAGAAGTAGGCTGCCATACAACAAACAGCTGCGACAGCTTGAAGAGCTCTCAAGGAAATGAAGCCAGCTTGCTGAAGTAGGAAGTTATCAGGCATGATATGATGAAATTAATCTTTATATGATCTATATACATATTTATATATATAGATATGAGATTTAAATGCAGCAGATAAAGAAATTGTTCAATCATATATACGATTCAACACTTTCTTTATCCTTTATATAAATTGACTCAAAATATATCCTTTTTACATTCTCATATTTATATCAAATACTCGTCTCCTATGACCAATATAAATTTATTTTCTAAACATTCCCTCGCAGGTTTCAACTCTTTTTCAACTTTCGCTTAGAATCGCAGCGCCACAGAGTAAATTCAGTTTGTTAATTTATGAGTCCCTCAAGCAACTCAACCACAATAAACTGCAAGCTCCAACCGCACACACACACACACACATACACATACAAAAAAAATTGCCCAGTTCTGCCACACGGCTGTGGCATAAACTTTGCCAATTTTCACTCAACTGCACGGGACAAATTTATGCACAATGCAAACAGCAGCGGAAGCACCAGATGTAAACAAGCCAACACTCACTCAAACACACACACGCACACACCTACACACTCACTCATATGTGGTATACATTACGCAATTTAATTGCAGCAACTTGAAAATTATAATTCTAATAAGTAAAAGCTTGCCACACGCAGCAGTCACTCGCACACCTCATTATGGCAGTGCAGTTTGTGTTCCGCTTTCCCAAGCTTAAAAATTAACTTTTTCCGTATCAAAGGAGAAAAATCTCGTAAGGCGAGCAGCTCTTTTGGCTGCGAATTGTGGCCCAGAGTGCTTTTCATATTAAGAAATCTGAAGAGAGGCAAATGAATTTTCGGTGCCAACGTGAAATGCAAATAATTGCAAGAGTGCTGCTGCTGCTGCTGCTGCTTCTGCTACTGCAAGCCACGCCCATTAACTGGTTAACAGCCCCACACACCCGCTGCTAAAAAACCAACAAACAAAGTTCTTCCAAATTGTTTTATGTAAATATAAACACAAAGCAGCAACGACGACGCAACGCCACGCGACGGTTGCAAGTGCGCCGGAAACGGAAATTGTTGCAGCTGCAACGCGTCAAATAAATACACACACCCACGCACACCCAGTATATATGAGAGCGCTCAAAGTTTTGGCGTATAAGTTTTGGCCGGCGCCTTGGTGGGCGTGGCGGTTGGCTGGTAGCTCTGCCTGGGTTTACTTTGCTCTGGCGTGCGCCAAATTTGCACTTTTTTTGTCAGCTATTTTTTGCATTAAATATTTATGCGCCGCTTAAGCAAAAAGTTTAAAAAATTGCTGCGGGCTGCTGTGCGCATCAAAACGAACTATGAATACGTTTACGGCATAACTAAATCTAGATAAAACTAAAGTACAGCAGGTTGAGCAAACAGGAGTGAGACTAAAACTGCTAACTATATTTTAGGAACTGCTTAGGCTAATTACATGCTTTTGTTGTTGCAATACTCAATATGAGGTGCCACTTGATTAGTAGTTAGTTCATTCCACAGTTGAAATGTATCAGGTCATCGAGTGGCTTGAAAAAGGCAATGTTAAATAGAAATCTAAATGCTTTGCCTAGCCTAGACCCGCACATATTCAACTGAGCCTTTGCCTAAAGCACTGCCAGCTAAATGGAGTTGGCCCTTTGCGAGATTTGCTTTATTCATACATAAAGTCATGCATCTAGCTGCAAAATAAAAGTAAAAAACTATCATATATTTCAAGATCTTATCTGGATCTTATCTGGTCAACTCTGCACGCCAAACATAACTCTTTTTTTATAAAAAACTTTCAATTTTTACATATTTTCGTTAACACCTTTTCTAACAACAAAAACTTTATAAATTTCTCATACTCCCAGCTGCATTATGAAGTTCTTACACTTTTCAGCTACTCCTTGTTCTGAGCTTGAATTGTCGAAAAAACTGTTTTGCATTTCTATTTGCTTTTCATTTTTCACACAGAGTGAATTTCCAGTTTGAAATTCTAGGTATTTCCCACGCTTGAATAAAGTTTAATTAAATTTATGAGCGAAGCTAAATTATTTTGTATATTTTCAAGAAGAGTTAAACAAAGCAATAAGCACAAATAAAGTAAATTTAAAAGGCATATTTAATTCACACATGGAATTAATAGAAAGTTGGCACTGACGACAACTGTAGAGAAGGTTCAATGACAAACATATATACAAAATATATATACTTAGCTTCTTGTTAAAGATAAATATTTTTTATGCAATTCTCAATGGCTAGCTGCAAATTCTTCTTGATCAAAAATCATTGCTCACATTACATTTGATTGTTAACATTTGAATATTTAACATAAAGATAAACTTTTAAGCTGCTTGATGCAGTGAAATATAAACATATTTATTAGCTTTTCATACATAAGTCTCTCATATACACATCACATTTGAGTGAACAACACTTGAATTCATTTTTATTACAATTTCGCCACAAGGCAGTGAAAGCTGCTTTTAAAATTTACCAAGCTAAACGGTATTTCGCATAAATTCATTTTAATTACCCAAAATCTCTATTTTATGTTGACTTTTTTGTTTTCACGTGCGCACAACTAAGGGTTTAAAGCTCGCATATGGTTTAATGACTAAAGCAGCCATAAAAGTTGTGCAGGCCATAGTTTTGAACTTTACATGTTGTGTGTGCGTGCAACATTGTGGGCCATTTAATTGACGGCATGTTAAGACATTTGAGCTGTGAATTCATGGTAGAGGACATAAAGTTTAATTTCCTTTAAGGGATGCCATAACAACTGTCGAGCTTACATCGCTGCTTCTCTTTTCCAGACACTTATTATAATTAGCAGGTGGGCAGGTAGCCAGGTGGGCAGGTGGAAATTTGCATGGCAAATAGCAAGCAAGTGGCAAGCGCCAAGTGGCAAGTTGAGTGTTTTCCCAGTTCAACTAAAGTCGAGGACGACGCTACTTAAACAAAATGGCGGCAAGCGCAAATATTTTGCATTGCATAATTTTATGCGCTTTGCGCATTAAAATTCAACGAATGGCAGCGGCAGGCGGGTGTGATGCAATGAAATTTGATTGCAAAAAAAAGGATTCGCAGCGCCATTTCCGACGCCGGCTGTAGACCCAATGCCGCTGACTTAATTAGCCAGGCAACTACGACTCGGGCTTGACGCGGCTAATTGAGGTTGCCAACTTTCGCGACTAACTAAAATGCGCCTGCCCCAAAACTTGTATTTGTACTTGCCTTCGGCGGCCTAATGAGTTTCAAATCGCAGCTACAGCTGCAGTTGCAGTTGCTGATTCTGCACTTGCAGCCGCCCAGCCGCCTGCCTAATCATGTGCAGCATTTGAATTATGCAAGAACCGCATTATTTGTTAATTTAACTTGGCCACTTGCATAGCTAGTTGCGTGTGGTTAAGTAATTTGAGAATGCCTTAAAGATTTTTAGGAATCAAATATTATTAGCTCAAATATTATTAGCTGTAAAGTTCTAGTTTACATTTCATTAAAACTTTCATTTCATTCATTCATTCATTTACATTTCATTAAACTTTCGCATTAAATAATTTTATTTGTATTACGTTTATTTCATTTTATTTTATTTACTTTATTCATTTTTATTGTTTTCATTTATCGAAATTTTTAATATTAAGAGATAAGATTAGAAAACTTAATGAAGCCTAGTAAAAACTATTTTTATTCATTTTAATTCTGATAACTTTATTCAGCAAGTTTTTCCATTATCAATAAAATTATAAGTTTGCAAAGAATTAATAAAAGTTATTTTTGGAAAGCTATTAGAATGATCTGTGTTTGGAGTTGTGCTTGCAATTTGTGTTGTCTTGCACTTCATTAAGTTTTAATCTTTGCAGCTGCCAAAGGTTAAAGCAGCAGCTTTAAGTAAAGTGAAAACTATGTTTCGCTGCTCTGCGCTTGCCAACCGCAACAGAAATTACTAAAAACAACAACGGACGATAGTTTCAACTGAATTTTGTCGCACACACATGCACTTATATATAAAGCATTTGCAGCTACTTCATTACGTTGTGCACACTTGGCTCTAAGCGTCAATGGGGTCGACAAATGCGAAGTCCTTTTAATCCCGGACCAGGCACGCACAACTTTTACATAACAAGCTGCAGTAAACGTTAAAATTGCAGGCAACAAAAATAACACGCGCAAACAAACTTACCCACACGCACACCCACACAATTACATGGCCAACTAGCAGCATCATGAGTATTAAATAACTCCTGGAAGTATGCAATGCTTTTTTCTCGGTGCTTGGCATTTTAGCAAAAAACTTTTTTACGCCCCGCACAAAAGGAACGAGAAAACATGCTGGGAATTGTTTTACTGCCTTTTTATTGCACATTCCCATTCATGACGTAGCCGACCGCGCAGCATCTTAGTCCTAGCCCAAAAGACGCTCTTGGCTCACGTGCAACAACTAATTATGACTTGTCTTGTATGTGTAACAGAAACTCAAATTGAAACGTGACCTACCTCGCGTCCTTTGCTATGCAACGTATCGTACACCTCCGGCCTGCCCTCGATGTTCTTCAGGCGCATCGGCTTGCGCATCAGCAGGCTGCGACCTTCGTCGTCCAAGTGCATGAAACTGCAATTGAAAATCAATGACAATCAAATATTGTAAAATAAATTGAATGTAATTTGAAAAAATTCATAAAGCGCTAGAAACTACTAAGATGAACAAAGAATTGTTGCCTACCAATCATTTATAATTTAAATCAACAAAGAGCACAGCTCGTCAACTTCAATTATTTTCTATTATAATACAAAAAAGCTATATTTAATCTACCCACATAGCCACATGTGGAAGCATCAGTGGAGACTGAGCATAGCCCAAAAGCAGTGGCAACACAGTGCTGGCTCGGCACCTGGTGATCGTTCTTGCGGCCATGACTCAGCACTGACGTGTGGCTGTCATGACAGCCTCTGGTCCAGACCATATTCATGAGTAAAACAGGCCGAGCATAATATCTCATTAAGTCTCTATCTACATTTGACTAAGACAAAGAGTTAATCTAACGAGCTTAATTCATACAGCTGTCCATCTGCACCAATGAAGCTCATTAAGTCTAAAAGCTAGTGATATTATATATTTTAAATATGTATATATTTTAAATATGACAAACAAGTTCATCATTCATTTTCACAAACTTTCAACGAATTCTTAAAGTTCTTTAAAAATAAAGCTAATCTCCAGACCTTCAGTTTCCATAGTTGCTCTTTTTATAACTAAAAGTCATTCATAACATTTAGTTCTTCATTCATTTTTTATCTATAATTTGTAAATTTGATTTATGATATGTGTGTGTGTGTGTTGGTCTCACCTGCCGGCACGCGAGCGATAATCCTGTGACATCTTTCGCGGCTGTTGGGCGTTTTTGGGCGTTGGCGAAAGTTCGCGTGAACTTTTGCTGGATGCCGTGCCACTGCCTGACGCGCCCGCCGCATTCTGGCCACCAGCCCCATCATCCAGCTCCACGACGATGCTGGTGTTCGTGCCGCGTCTTTCGCGCCCCGGCTGCGGCGACGCTGATGTGGAGATGCTGGTGCGCTTGTGGTGCTTCAATGGCGTGCCGCCGCCGGCGGCGCCTACACTTGCGCCTGCGGTCGTGCCAGACGCGCCTTTGCTGTGGTCCACTTCATGACTAGTGGCAGCGACGCCTCCAAGATTTGTGCTCAAGAGCTGCCCATTGCCGTTTAGCGCTGCCGCTGCTTTGGTTTTGATTTTGTTTGGCTCAGCGGGCGTTGCTTTCGGCGTGGGCAGCGGAGATTGTTGCTGCTGCTGCTGCTGCGGCTGTTGTTGTTGCTGCGCATTTGTTGTACGTTTGATGGCCACAAAGCGCAGGTTCTCAAATATCGATGTGAAATGCTGCGACATGTTGTTTGGCTTGTGTGATCCCCGGCAAAGACTTTTTCCACTTATTTTTGTTCGCCTTTTGATTGTTAGCCTCGTTTATTTAAAATGCAGCCAGCACAGGTGAACTTGAAACCCTCTCGAGCTCAGCACAACTTTTGATTAAATTCTCTTAAAGAATGGCGAAAAATAAACGAAACGTAAAATCAACTTTAAAAAAAGAAACGACAAAAGTTTAGCTTTGCTTTGGTTCTCTGGGCAGCACGCCACAACCAATTGGTTTCCAGCTGTTTGTTTGTGGCTCCTCGATTTTTTCTGCAGATTGAAAACTTAAAGCGAACATTAGTTGAGCAATCAGCCAATAAGAGAATGCCAAATAAGAGGCAATCATACATGAAATTTGAGTTTAAGAAAAATTACATTTTCAACTCAATCGCATAATGTAAGGAAAATGTTTCAAATTATGTACAATGATTATACTTATTTAAGAGTTATGCTTACTAACTATTTATACTAGTTTAATTGCTAGTCTAAACGAGCCTGGAGTATGACTATATATACGCTATTTATATAAGTCGAATCTGAATCTTAAATCGAGAGATAAATTTGTTTTCTCAAATGCATATCGGCATTAAAAGGTTCATCTCCTTCCTCCCTCTTCAAAGATTTCAAGAATTATCAAAAGAGTATTTTTTGTTACATTAAAGTCCTTCGTTAGCGTATAGTCTACATTCTTTTGTTTTGTAAGGATTAATCTAATTTGAGCAGAAAACAAATATTAATACCAAAATAGTTTGACTTCTGAATACTAATTGGGAGTATTTGAAAATATATTTATATTAAATATTTAAATATTACCATATTATTATTATATTATTAATAAATTTAAATTATTATTAAATTTATATTATCATTATTATTATTAATAATATTGCTAACCAATGTTAAACAAAACATATTTAAGCACTTATATATCAATTCTTTTTTTTTTCATTTAAAATTTGATTTTGAAACTTACTCAAAACTTAAATAACTAAAAATCAACTAATTTATACAAATTAATGTATTTAAGCATTAAATTAAAATTTTACTAAAATAATTCAAAATTTTTAAAATAAATTATTATTTAAATTATTTTATTTTTTAATAAATTGAATATATTTTTTTACTTTAAATATTTACGATTTTTGCATTATTAAAATTAAAATATTTAAAACATAATAAAAGTCTAGAAACTACAATTAATATTAACAATTCATAATAATATCAAGTCAAATGAGGAGTCAAAAGTTCATTATTTACTCTAGACTGCGCGACTTCAAGTTTAGCTTTTAGGCACATAGTTGATGAGCGACTTTCATCGCATCAGTTTCAATTGGTTTTACGCACTGAACAAACCGCTCAATTGAACACCTAATTTCTTCAGCTTTATTGCCAAAGCTGCCAGCTGATCCCCATCTTTATGGCTTGCAGTTGTTTCACTTTCTAGCTGCTGGCGGGCGAGGAAGTAGAAGTCAGCGCGCAGCCCATTAAGTTTCAAATCAAGCAACCTACATTTACTTTTCCAGAACAACAATTCCCGCAACTATAACTCAGCTGCGAGCGCAATGTCCTTTGCCGTTTTCCTTTGGAGACTTGTCGGCTTCCAAGTTGCGAGAGTTTCATTTGCCTTTGGCTAGATAAGTGCGACGTGGGCTCCGTTGGCACTTAGTAGCAATTAAAAGTATCTTTATGGCAATTTCCCGGCTGATGAGCAGCGCAAGCCGCAAACTAAATTTCCACTTTTCAGCTGCGGCTTAATTATGGGCGGCACAATGTGCACAATGTAAAATTGCTTAATCAAAAAAGCGACTTCGACTTTAGCGCTCCATGAAATTTCAATTAGTACACCTTTAAGTTAGTCGAGGCAGCCGTAGCCATAGACCGGGGGCAACAGCTGCCAAGACCTTTTGTTTTCGCTAAGCTGTATTTGAAAGACTTGAACCCGAACCGTCGCATTAACAACATATTCGAGTGCTTTTCACGCCCACTTGGCACCAGCTGCTGAAGTTTTTGAGACAACATGCAAAATTTTCAGCCGAATCCTTTCATTTTGTTAACTCGTTCGCGCCTGCTTCCGCTCAGCCAGCCGCAGCTGCTACACCAAAAACAAATACATCATCAACAGTTGGCCAGGTAAGGACTGGGCAGCGTCCCAACAAAAATATTTAATATAAATATTAAGTTCTTAAGCCAGAAGCAGTTGATACTTCCGACTGTTTTACATCATTTTCATTTTACTTAACTTGACATGAGACTCAGCTAAAGTCTGGCTTTTTGGCTTACATTTAAAAAAAGCTAAAAATATTTCAAATAACTAATGCAACTCATTTAAGTATCTGCAACAATTGTCTATGCTTTTAATGCTTAAAACAAATGCATAGAAACTCTTATCAAGCGCACTTTAACCAAACCCTTTTCAACTAATTCCCATTTTGTGTTATAATTATAGCAACCTAAGCAAATGACCCGTAAATAATTCAGCCATTTGCTAAGTTGGCATTCTCTGAACACAGCTTCTCTGTGCCTTCCTTTTGTTACTTGAAGCAATGCTTCGAATCAATCTCGAAATACGCGTGCCCTTCAATAGACTTTAACAATTTTATTGTGAAATTTGTGGCGCATGGAAGTAGATATTTTGTAATGTGATAGAATATATATATTTGAAATGACTTTGTATTAAATTGATTCTAAATTATTTAAGATTTATAGGTTTCTATATTATATATATTTATTTAAACTGACTCTAAGTCATGAACAGCTCAGTCAAAAATATTAGATAATATTATAGTAATAAGTAATAGTAATAGAAAATAGTATGATAAGATATTTTTTATCTAAGAAAGCTACGAGTCTTCCCTTGCCATTCCGATACAAACAGCTTTCCTTCAAACCTCTTTTCTATACTCCATAAGCAACTTCAGCTTTTATGCTAAATATATTTGCCAAATTCTGCCCACTTTTGACTGCTATTTCCTTTATTTTCATTAGATTCATTTTCGAGCAATCAATAGAAATTGTTTTTGTTATCCACACACTCAAAGCTTCACCTCTATTTGATTCTCTATGCAAAATCTATGCCAGTCTTTGACATTTTATATTTTCATTATATTTTCAGAGACAAAACAAAAGCTCACACAAAGCACGAATAATACGATTTTCCTATTTAGAGTTTTTAGTCGAAATTTGTGAGCTAATCGCAGATGCGCTGAACTGAGCGCATAACGTTTGGATAAATAGCAAATGAAAAATCGCATTAAAGCTCACACACACACAAAAACACACACGCACACAAAATGATGGAACGACATATTGTTGACCGCCAACAGAATCGGTTGACTGAATCAGCATCCATTGAACAAAATTCAGTTGGCCTTTGATTTGCAGCTGGCGCACTTTTTTCTATGCGCGTTCAGTTAGTGAAAGAGTGTATTAGTTTCATGTAATCTCAGTCTAGATATCGCTTCTATAGAAACTTCAGATTGGAGAAATGAAAAACAGAGTTAGCTGTGAAAGTGCTAAGATTTCTTAACAGCATGGCAACTGGCAAATAAGTATAAAGCATTTGCTATATTTTCTTATACTACATTGAAGCTCAGGACTTGAAATTTGAGAAAAATAGCAAAATACAACAGCGGCACAAATAAAGAGCAAGCTTAAGTATTATATTCAGTGGCATCTTCCACAGCTTCACAGCCAGAAGCCCAAGAATAAGTTGCCATTGAACTACTCTCTAGAATTATCAAGCATTGTGTACAGGTGCCTCTTGGGAGCCCCTCAAATGATCTGCAAATAGATCTTAGAACTATATGTGTCGCCCATTAAAATTTGGCAAATTCCATAAACAAATTGAAATTAGAATAAACTTAGCTGCCTTGGAATTGTGAACAAGTATTATGCAGTAGGTTATGCCAGCTTGGTTTCTTCTTTTTTTGCAATGGGTACATAAATATTTCATGCTGGCGTTAAACAAAGCGAGGATGAAGAGAGCTGTTAGATGGCTCCATTAGTATTTAGGCTTGACTCGCATTTAAATTCAAATCACATGCATAAACATTCGCTTTGATTTCCTTGTCTGTTAGGAACACACACATACATACACACACGCGCACACACACACACATATACCAACATCTGTCTCTTTCTCATTGTTTTGCTGTCTTCTTTCCACATCATTTGATTTTTATTATTGTTGATTTTGTGGACATGCTTAAGCAAATGAAAATGATGAACCGCATTTTGGTTTATTTTGTTTATTTGTTGTTGTTGTTGTTGTTGCAGTTGCTGACTGAGCTAATCAATCAATCAATCAATTAATTGGCCGCATTGCTATACTCGCATGTTAGTCTATTTTTATTGCTGATAGCCAACAGTTGCTGCTATTTTCTTAGCTGTTGGCCATTTTGGCACTTAGTCAAAGTGATTGAGTATGGCCAAGCCAGTTAGCTGGCAGATGACAGCGGCTGAATGGGTTTTATAGCCATATGTTGATTGTCAGCCTAGTATGGGGTGACCAAATAAGAGCAGTATGAAAATAAATGTTAATAGAACAAAAACGACTTCAGATATTACGCTGTATATGATTTTATTGTGAAGTCATAACTTGGCCATAATGAAGAGCAAATGCTTGCCCTGACTTTGCTAGCAGCTCATTAAATCGAAGTTCCTTTTTCGAAACACCCAGTTAAATAGTTGCTCAAACTCTTTTTAAGTATATAATGAAATAGTTTTTCGAAATAAGAAAGAGCATTAAAAGCATTGAATTGTCCTCAGCTGGGACTTGTCAAAGTATTGAAAACTTGTTAGGAAGAGTCTAAACTAAATGTTAACCGACGTGAATTCAATTTTGAACAGTTTCAAACGACTTAAAATTATTTAACTGGCTTATCTCATATGTCACTTAACCACATTCTCAAACGAACGCCACAAACTCTTTATCAACATTTGAACTTTGCACGTACAAACAATAAATAAAGAAGCCGCAGGTCTAAACGTATTCAGCCTATTAGTCAACTCAATAATATTGAACAAGGAAATCAAGTTGTACAGAAAAAAACAAACTCTCTAAATAAAAGTCTTGTTGATGCTTCAGTTGTCATAGTTTCTCAAAGAAAATGATTAAAGAACTCACCTAAAATTGCAATTCTTGGTCTCACCTATCCAATACAAATTCTTAAGATTCGTCGTAAATGACAAATGCAACATAAGCTAAGCTCTTTATAATTCATTTAACTTTACAAACTCCAACGCAAACTGTTTGCTCAGCAAAGAAGCTAACTAGCAACGCTTCAACACGTATTCCAAACCACTTAACACCGCTACAGTGCCAGATTTGCTCAAGCATCGTTTCAAATCCAATCAATTGCTTTAGAATAAACTCGAGCACAATCAAAGGCGAAATGAAACAAAAGGACAAATGCTCCAAAGCCTGAATGCTTTTCATATTATCTCAAATGACAACACAGAACCAGAAAAGGGAAAAAAAACATAAGAAGAAATCGCAGTGCCACAATTGCGAGACAAAAGCAAAGGCAAAGCTGACAAAAAATTTATAAAAAAAATATCCGAAGCACCCGCAATGCAAAAGAGCTGAAAGAAAAGTACAAATCTGTTAAGAAAACCCATTTAAATGTTTGGGCCAGAGCCAAGCGCGGAAGCAGTTGAACTGCAAAAAAATATAGTATACTTTTGCGGGCGGGTCAGCCATAAAGTGTTACCAGCTGACACACACACATGCACACACACAGATGTGTTTACATATTTATAATGCACGCCTGTCATAAGTATAACTCAGTCCAGAGATCGTTTTCAGTTCATTTTTTTCTTATGCAAATACAGATATTTAAAAAAAAAAGAAACAGGAATAATAAAATTTACACATATGAAGTGCGACGGACGTCAGAAAATAAATAATAAAAATGTAACTTGGAATAGCTCTCGCTCTATATATATATATATATATAGGTTGCCATTGCTTGTGGCTCGCCAAGGTAAACGAAGTCTGGCCGACTCTAAACTGACTAACTGAGTAATCCGCTTCACAGCTGGCGCAGCTCTCTGCGGGATTAACATATGAAAGGATGGCGTGCAAAAGGTTCATCCTTTGAAGGCAAACAGCCCGCTCCTTCTCCTGTTTTCTGTATGTTATTTACAAACAGCATTAAGTATGCGTACTTGCTGCTGCTCAAAAAAAAAGTAAAACAGAAATGTGAAAAAAATGTATACAAAATAAATATTCACACTTTGTTTGGCTACGCATTCTTGGATCATGTCAGCCGCAGCTGCGCCTGTTTTGCTTGCCCCTGTCAATATTTATATATTGTTATTTGAAATTGATATGTAAAAGCTAACTGAAAGCATGCATTATACCCGTCGCTTTACACGCCCAAAACATGGGGCGTACTCGACTTTGAGCTAGGCAACGGCTTGAAGTTGGAATAAATTACGAGAAAACATGAAATTACGGTCTCATGAAGGCAAAACAACTTGTAAAATGTAATCTATAAAGTGGGCGTTAAATAATGTATGCCAGTTAATCATAAAAGGGTTACCGATTTGGGAACAATATTAAAAGAAGCACTTAATGTTTATTAATTAACTAAAACAAGCTGAATTCAGTTTAAGCGTACTACAGAGAATGCAATTTCATATAAAATAAATTTGTGAAGTATATTTTAAGGATGTTTCTCAATATAAAATAATAAATCAATTGAAAATGGAATATATATATTAAGAAAAAAAAAAAAAAAAATATATATATATATATATTTATATATATATATATATATATATATATATATATATATAATAGTAATTTAATTTAACTATGGGCGACTTTACGACATTGTTTTCCTCCGACTTGTGCGAGCATCTTTCAGTTGGACTTTACTTCATTATATTATTTTAATTGCTTACATATTTACCGGATTGCCAAATTGATATTGACAAACACAAATTGTATTAAGTCAACTGTTGGCCTTATTTTGGGTTTACACATGCGAAGTTTTCAAAACAATATTTGCTAAATATATGAAAATATTTATGCTGGCAGACAATAATGAATGAAATTGTGGCTTTAATGTTTATCATGATTTGCTTGTTTGCCAGCGCAAACGAAATGGGCAAAGAAATGTTACGACAGTTAATTTAAAGAAGCTGTCGTCAGCAGTTCCAAGTAGAATTTGAGCAAAAACTATTTTTCATTTAAAGTTTAAGGCACAAATGGCTGTGAAAGAAAGCATTTTTAATTTAAAAGCGACGCAAGCGTATGTTAATAATAGACGACAGCAAGAGAATGGTATAGAGAGGTGCACAGACACACTCACGCAGCCAGGCAACGATGTGGAAGCTGGAGCAAACTTTGCTGAGTTGCCTCAAAAAAATGTAATATGTGCTAATTGTTTTTCAATTTATTCAATGTCATTGAATGGGCGAGGCAAAAATGAAGTTACAAAAAGTTGACTCTACTCCACTCGACTCGACTTGCTTCAAAGTTAATTATGTTTGTAATTAATTCAAGTTTGAACTCTTTGCTAAATGTTTTTGCTGACAATAATTTTGCAATTTGCAAAAGGCCAAGTGCGGCCAGCACTTAGCTTGGCGCTCGACATTATTATAAATGATTTATTTCAAACGTAATTAATTTTATTTTGGCATAAAAAACACGAAAATAAAACAAAATTTCCATTATTTGCGTACGACTGCGACAGAGGCCTTCTGAATGAAGTCTAGACAAATTTGATTTCAATTTGGGCCGCATTTAATTGGCATTGGACGCATTAATCAATAGCTCTTTGAGAATTATTTGCACAGTTCGAGTGATTATTGTTGCTCAATTATAATTACGACAATACTTACGCAATTATAATTAATTAATTCATGCCCCATTTACGTAAGCCAACAATTATTTGCCAGGGGAAAGACGCTTTAAAATATATAATTAAATTGTTCTTTAATTTAATTATAAAAAAATCAAATATAATATATGAATGCTTGTTAGCATTGTTTTGATTACTTAAAATCATTTCCAATTGACTATTTTTATAATTTATATAAACTATTTATAAATTGATTTAAAATCTGTATTATTATATATATTTAAATTAATCTTTATATTTTAATTTGAACAAATATATTTGATTTTAATCTAATTTCACAAAAGTTATAAATATGTTTGGTAAATGTAAAATGTCAAATAATAATGAAGTCTTCGTTCAACTATTTTTCAAATAAACTTTAATTTAATTGTTTTTCCACAGATTTTTTTTAAGTTTGTTAGCACAATCACAAAATCGAATATGAGCTATAAAAACAAAAACAAAAAATTAAAATTATATTTCCTATTTATTATATAATAAATTAAAACTTTTTGATTAGTGTTATTATCTTAAACAATCTTTCAAAATCTTTAAAAACTAGCTCATATTTTAAGTTTTATTTACCTTTGTAATTTATATAAAGAGCTGTTATCTCTCAAAAATCACGCACAGCAATAACTATTTATTTATGCAAAAACAAAATAATATTCATTACATGTTTATTATCGTTAAATATAATAAATACATTTCTGCTAGGGTTTTTGATTTGTTTTGATTTATTAATTATTAAATTTTAATTTTTAGAATTTTATTGCAGTTAATTTCTGTTAAAGGTTTGGCTTCGTTTTTTCTTTATTTTCAGACACTTCACACAAAACGTTTAGTGTTAATCTCTATCATTTGATTATCATCTTGGTCCACATTCATTTCGATTTTATCTTCTAGGTTCTCAGCTCGATCTAACGAACTCAAGCGCCGCGCGGTAACTGAAGCTAAGGCAGCAACGCAGCATCCTTAAATAGTAGTCGCTCCCTGAGGACGGCCACACGGTCGTCTTCAAAGTCAACAACCAAGCAGCATCCGCTCACCGTTGGTGAAAGCTTAGCACACATATGGAAAAATCAACAATGGTTTGTGACTCGGCTAAAGCTCGATACTGGAATATTTGTTTTGACGGCGGCGTCAGCAACAGGTTAATGATATGCCGAATGGACGCAACAGGTGCCACATTTGCCTAATAAATGTTCCACTTAAAATAAAAGTCAATTGTATTTATTTATTATATTTAAAAAGCGCAATTTTTATTTCATATTCGCATGCCACACGGACGCATTTCTCTCGCAAATTCTGAGCTGAAAAATGCTTTGAAATTCTCAATTGATTTCAATTTGATTTTTTCAAAATTCATCAAAATTAAAAAGAACTACAACAATTAACCTTATCATAAGTGAACAACAAAAAAGTTGTGCTTAAAACTAGCCTAAAATATATGAGTAAATATACCCTATACATATACATGCCCCCACACGTAAACAGATCAACTAATATAGCCAATTAACTGCTATTTATAAATTTGTTATATCCAATCTCACATAACATAAATATTATGATTTTATAGGTTTATCATTTTTTCTTTTTGTATACTTATATCGACAGATTAAAATTGGAAGAGCTTACAAAAGTCCCAAACAGTTGCGTTGATTTCTGAGGATTGACGTGATGATAGACTTAGCGCTCCGCTGGACATAGTTGAGAGGATTTTCTTCTTTTGTTTTGTTTTTGGTTTTCGTATGGCTTGTCCCCATGCAGTTGCGATTGTTATTGTTGCTTTGAAGTTGATGGTGATGTTGTTTGGATGATGTTGTCGTTGATGTTGATGTTGTATATATATACAGGTATACAATAGAGAGACAAGACATTAGTATAAACTGTTTTTCAATAATTTAAACAAATAACAGACTTTAAAGCTAGATCTTAAAATTAATATTCTTTAGAATATGATATAAGTAAAAAAAAAACAAAAACAGAATAAAGTAAACAGACAAAATCAAATATCGGCAGCTTTGCGGCCATCATATTTCATTTAGGCTCTGCTTTGTAGCCTGAAGTTTTGTTTGTCGTGTTAACTGTTAACTATCTTTTTGTTAAATTGTGGTTAATGGCTTGATGTGTCTCATACAATATTGTTAATTTCTCTATTCAGATCAGTTCAGTTTTGGGATAAGTAGAGTTCACTGTTTTTGTTGCTTGCACTTTCACTTTGTCTCTTTTTTAGTTGCTTTTGAAGTTTAGTTCCACTGATGTTTACAGTTTTAATGAAAATAGGATTTTCTTATTTGCTTTGGAAGGCACCACTCCTAAAACCTGAAAAGATGTTCCGCACATGTGCTGGCTTCCATTTATAGCAACCAACACATTGCTACAATGAAATTTAAATTGTATGAAGAAATCTGCATAGCACGCGAGATGTTCTTCTCCTTGAAGATCCGTGGACTAACGTTCTCAACTGGATTATCCAACGAAGTTCGCCAGCTCAATACGTGACATTTAAGATGGATGATGGCGAAATCTGAATAGCAGGCGAGATCCTCTTCTCTCTGAAGATCCTGGTGCTTTTATATCAGCTGGATTGTCCAGGACGGATCGTCAAATCGATACATTTCAGCGCGAATAGCATGTATTGCCTTGATCGTTGATCCTTTGCCTTGGTCTCCGAGATTACCGGAGAAGCCACGTTTCCTGCTGTCATGTTGAGCTGACTGCCGAGTCCCTGTTGACTTTGAGCATTTCCAGCATCATTCACCTAAATCGCAATAAAATTGACGCGAAGTTCCATGAGTTCAAATGATTTAAAATACTCCACGGTGTGCAGCAAGATAGAGCATTGTGGCTGGACGTAGTAGAGTTTTGATGAGACGTTTAAGTGCAGATGAAACATTAATTGCAAGTCCATTCGCATGTGAACCGAAGATGTGTTTGGTGAAGAAAAAGGGAGACGGGGTACCTGAGCTGAGATACATGTATGTAGAGAGGGGCCAGACTGAATATTTATAAAAATATTCCCTTAAAAGATCAATTTGTTTCAAAATAAAATCCTCTTAAGTTCAACGAAAGGGCACGCGCAGTTACAAATCGAATATGTACAATGGGGCAATAGGGGACATGCCAGAGGAAGAGAGATAGAGAAAGAGACAAGGAGGGGTAACCGCATCGATTCCGCGAAAAACACTTGTCCTGCTTATTAACAGCCGAACAGTTTTCAAACGGAATATGGTTGATTTGTTGTGTATTGTCTTTAGTGGAGCGTACGCTCGGTGGCCGGAGTCACCACGCTCCACAATTGATTGTAGTTTAGTTCAAAACGCCCAACACACTATATCAGAGGCTTCAAATGGCAATGGCAGCTGCGTTTTTGCAATCAATTTGAGCACCATCTGCGGCATAGGGTAAACTGAAGGTGTCTAACCATTCTTTACACTTCTCAGTGCTTTCAAAGGCCAAAACATTTGACACATAGTCGACACTAATGTTGGGACGATAGCTGCAAAACATTGTAAAAAAAACAACCTTTAGTAAAAATTTCTCGAGTATTTAAGCTTTCAGTCACTTACGATTTAATAATTATGCGCAGTGCCGCTTTGCGCTCGCGTTCCAAAAACCATTCAATCATATGGCCCGACATGAGCGGTGCCTTTTTATACAACTCAAATAGCTTGCAGTAATTTCCCAGCGACCAAGCGGAACGAAATTGTAAGGCGTGCGCAATGGCAGGATTCTCGCGCTGATCAGCTGTTATAGAACGCAACACCGTTGTAATGTCTATAAAAAAAGATGGAATACAATATATATTACAATCGACATGTATGGGTAACCTTTGTGATATTAGGAACTGATGTTAATTGTATAATTCATTAATCATACAACACATAGACATGACATGTATAATCAGTGGTATAAGTCATGGACATGCGTCATGGCATTCAGATAGTATTAAATATAAGATTTTACCCAAGGTATTTTTAGTAAAGATGTAATAGATAATGCGATAGGCTGTAAACTCGAGTGAATTGCTGCTGTTGCCCAGTTCCAAGTAAAGCATCTTTAACTGTGTCTGGCACTGATTGAACTCTTCGTGGTCGCCCTTCTCCATAGCAATACGGGCATGCGTCTCATATACCTCAACGGTGAATTTATCGCGTATACCTTGGACCTGTGAAGCAAACAAATAAGCGTTGAAATACATTGTTAACTATTGAATGCTTAAATTTGGTTCTTACAGTGAGATCTTGGCGTATGGACTTCAACTGATCACACGCATAATGATAATCCTGATTGGCTCGCCACTTGCCCTTCACATTGGCCAACGAATGAGTTAGCACCTCAACAGGACGTACTTCAGATGCTGAAGGCGCTTTGGTTAGACGCAAGAAAGACTTTTCTAAATCCCTACATGTGCCTACAATATGCAAATCGAGTAAATCTAAGCCTGCTGCACCCACTCCCGCATCATCCTCGTAGAACATGCCCGACGCTGAACGAGAAGCCGCTGCCGCGGCCTGTAATCTCTTCTTGTGCTTGGCCGTGGTGAGACCAAACGGTGAGCTTGCAATTGCGACGACAGATTTCTTAGTCGAGCCACCGCTCGCCTGTGAGAAACGTGCCGCACGCTGTTGCAAGCGCGCTGTGTCATCATCAACAGCACCGCCAACCGACGACGAATGCGTGGCATAAAAATGTGGCGTCTTCTTTTTCCCTGCAACAGCGGCAGCGGCTGCACGCTTGTTCCTCTTCATTAGCATTTTTTGCTGTTTCTTTGACAAATTCGAATTGATTGGTATAAAATCACTGCTCAATGAATCATTCGAGCCTGTCTTGCGGAGCACCTTACGAGCTGGAGGACTGCTGGTACTGCTGCTTCGAGAACGCGAATGAGAACGGGAACGGGAACGAGAACGTGGTGAACGAGAATAACGTTTCCTATTATTATACTTTGATGTAGATGACGTGGACGATGTGGGCGAGCTGCAATACACATGTAAAAAGAAAAATTAAAAAAAAAATAAATAATTTTCATGCTCAACTCACCGTGAGCGACTCCTTGAATACCGCGACGACTGCTGTTGGTGATGTCCGCGGCCTCCGTTTGCATATTTATTAAAAGCATTCACCTTCTGTTTAAAATGATTTACGTTTGGCGTCTTTTGGCCCGATTTTTGTGTTGTTTGTTGAAGTTGCTGTGATTGTGACTGTGGTTGTTGTTGGTGTTGCTGCTGCTGCTGCTGCTGTTGTTTTTTGTTAAAGTAATTGCTACGCTGTGGCTGTGGAGGCGTTACATTACTTAGCACCACATCAATAGCATCGCGCTCGCTATGTACCGTGGGCATGGGCTCATTGTCCCAATCACGTGTCCAGAGCTCGTTTCGATTAGCAGCCGCAATAATTTTACCCTTTAGACAGATATCAATTTGATCCTTGTCCAAGTCAGTAGTGCACTTAGAATAGCATCGTGCCACATACTGATTCAACGAATCGGGCCACGAATCATTCGAGGCCATTTGAAAGCAACTATTGGGACGTTTGAATGCTGCTGCGGCTGCTGACAATTGTGGCTGCGACTGCTTCGGCTGTTGGGGCTCCAAAACAGCTAACGGCTGTGGCTGCTGTTGTGGAGCAACAGCTACTGCTGCTGCTAATGATGGTGTTGGTATTAAGGGCAATGGGGGTGGTGGTTTGCTTAAATCCGGCGTCGGCGGTACTACTGGAGAGCCGAATGGATTTAGAGGAATGGCCGCAAAACCAGCAGTCGACGGTTCATAGCCACCAAGCTGTTGCTGTTGTTGTTTGTTCATGTTTATGTTCATGTTGTTGTTGATGTTATTGTTATTGTTGTTTTTGTTATTGCGCTTGCGCTTCTTTTTAGAATTGTTGTTCATGTTATTATATAGATTGAGCTGCTGCATTGCATTCTGTTGATGTTGTTGTTGCTGTTGTTGTTGCTGTTGCTGTTGTTGTGGTTGTTGTTGTTGTTGTTGGTGTTGTTGTTGCTGCAGAGGATTCGGTGCATTTGCCAAACGTTTTTGATTCAAATTTAAGTTGAACCGTATACCACCAAAATTTTTCTGCTGCTGCTGTTGCTGATTTTTATTACCTGACTGAGCAGGAGGTGGTGGCGGCGGTGGTGGTGCCGTAGGTAGCGGAGGTGCCGCCAAAGCATTGCTAAACCCCGGCGGCGCGTTTGACGAACTAATAGTCGATGTTACCTGCTGCTGTTGTTGTTGCTGCTGCTGTTGTTGTTGTTGATAGCGCATATAATATTGATAGTATTGTTGATACTGTTGTTGATAGGCGGCTGCATTTCCGCCATGATGATGCCACCACGCGTAGTTGTTCCATTGCTGCGCGGTGGCAGAGTTCGCGTTCTGTTGCTGGTGATTCTGCTGTTGTTGTTGCTGCTGTTGTTGCTGCTGCTGCATCTCTTGCAGCTGGGGTATTAATGGCGGCGGTGCGCTCATCGCATCAGACATTTTTTGTACCGTTACGTATGGTATTTACGTGTTATGTGTGAGCACTTTAACCTTTTGGAACTTACCTTTACATCAAACTGCGTGCCGCACCTTTTTGCGTACCAAAATAGAAAATCCAAAAAGAAAACCAAAGAATGTGGTAAACCCAAATTTGGAACAATGCGAAACATCTATGTCGTGTATGTGTATGTTTGTGTGAACGTGTAATGGCATGAGCGTGTACGCCATTTTGTTTTTTGCTTACCCAAGAATCTTCCAGTGGCCTATATAATTGCAGTTGTAAAATTGCCTCAAGTATTAATAGAACTATTAAACACACTTGCATAAATTAACGTGCAAACGTATATGCTTGCTACACATAAAGGAAAAATTTGTTTTTTTGCTGTCTAACACACATAAATTAGAATTGTTAAATCACGTCTACACAATGTGTGCTCTTTTTTTTGACAAAGGCAGACAAAAAACATCGATGAACTTGAATGACGATATCACAGCCACAGAGTTGCGCAGAAAAATTATCGACCATATATCGAGTATAAATTTCCCACAAACGATTAGTTTCGAAGCAAATACTGATATTCGAAAAAGCGCATATAACTGTGATATCCCAAAAAAACAAATATATTTTAAGAAGTATTTTCATAAAAAATCGGTTAGATATGGCATTTACTCGAACCAAGCATGCAACTAGAGATCATTTGCCACATTTATTAATTAATGTACCAGAGGAGCACCAAGAACCAATAAAACAAATGTGTTTGAAAATGATGTCTCATGATGCCTATGGCAAGCCGTAAGTTTTCTTACAAGCAAAATGGATGCGTATGTTATATTTATATCCCACAACAGTTATCAATGGACCTCACGAGATTTTGATATGGGCGCACCCCTAGGACGCGGCAAATTCGGACGAGTCTACTTAGCACGCGAGCGACACTCTCACTTTATGGTGGCCATGAAAGTGATGTTCAAAGAGGAACTGCGCAAGGGCAACGTACAGCGCCAGGTATTGCGCGAAATTGAAATACAATCGCGTCTAAAACATCCGAATATCCTCCGCTTGCTCACCTGGTTTCATGATGAGTCTCGCATTTATTTAGCACTTGAAATAGCCTCAGAAGGCGAGCTGTTCAAGCACTTGCGCAATGCACCGAATCATCGCTTCGATGAGCCCCGATCAGCTAAATACACCTATCAGGTGGCCAATGCACTCAACTATTGTCATCTCAACAATGTCATACATCGTGATCTGAAGCCGGAAAATATTCTTTTAACGAGCACCGATGATCTAAAGCTAGCAGATTTTGGTTGGTCCGCACATACACCGAACAACAAGCGAAAAACGATGTGCGGCACATTAGACTATCTTCCACCGGAAATGGTCAGTGGGCACTTCTATGATGACAGCGTCGATCAATGGTGTTTAGGAATATTGTGCTTTGAATTCCTGGTGGGTAGTCCACCCTTTGAATCCAGCACCTCTGAGAATACTCAAGCCAAAATCAAACGCCTTGATATGCATTATCCATCGCATCTTTCGCCGGGCGCAAAAGAACTTATTTCAGGAGTAAGTTAAATCATTATACACTTCTCTTTTACATCAGCACAAATTGTGATTACTATTATTCATTTTTGTCATTATTCAACTTATACTGCACAATTGTTACTCCTGTCATTCAACAATTTAACACGTCTACAGTCTGTTTTTTTAAGATAATGCTATTCCTTTGAGTTTTTCTACAATTAGTCAACTATTCCAACAATATTCATCACCTCTAAATACAATAACAAATATTTTTTACTTATATATTTAATCAGCTTTTACGTCGCGAAGGTCGCATCAGCTTGGTGGACGTCATGACAAATTCTTGGGTGAAAGAGGGAATGGCAATCCGAGCTGCACAACTACAGCAGCAAAACAAAAAGGGCAAGGAAAATCTAGCTAATAATTAGTCAAATACGCTTATAATTTAGATCCAATTTTATTTACCTTTAAATAATGATAATAAAAAATTCTGCATAATTTTTAAATGTTACTGTTATACATTAAACAAATTATACCGTTCATTAAAATGTATTAGTTATAATAATAAATATTTATTTGTGAATGTAATTATATTAAATATAAACTTTTAATTCCTACTGCAATTGAGTTTTATTATTCTATAACATATGAATATATAAATCTAAATTGGTTTGGCGCTAATTTTAATTTGGAAACCATATTTTCAACTGAGCGAGCCCTGAAAATTATCTTCGATTATTGCGCGGTACAATCGAATTTTGATTCGCAATATATCGAGTACAAATTTACACTCAGCGAGTAGTATCGGAGTCAAAATTGACATTCGAAAAAAAGCGCAAATAACTGTGACGCTAACTTGAAAACGCGGAACACGTCGAGATTTGTTTTGTATTTGTTGTAAAGAAATTGTAAACTATGGCATTTACTCGAACTAAGCATGCAACTCGAGATCACTTGCCTCATTTGTTAAGTAATGTACCAGAGGAGCACCAAGAACCAATCAAGCAATTGTGTCTAAAAATGATGTCGCATGATGCGTATGCCAAACCGTATGTGTTCTTTATAATTCAAATGTATATAGGCTTATCTTATATCATGTGATGCATCGCTGCAGCTATCAATGGACTTCACGAGATTTTGATATGGGCGCACCCCTAGGACGCGGCAAATTCGGACGAGTCTACTTAGCACGCGAGCGACACTCTCACTTTATGGTGGCCATGAAAGTGATGTTCAAAGAGGAGCTGCGCAAGGGCAACGTACAGCGCCAGGTACTGCGCGAAATTGAAATACAATCGCGTCTAAAACATCCGAATATCCTCCGCTTGCTCACCTGGTTCCATGATGAGTCTCGCATTTATTTAGCACTTGAAATAGCCTCAGAAGGCGAGCTGTTCAAGCACTTGCGGAATGCACCGAATCATCGCTTCGATGAGCCCCGATCAGCCAAATACACCTATCAGGTGGCAAATGCACTTAACTATTGTCATCTTAATAATGTCATACATCGTGATCTGAAGCCAGAAAACATCCTGTTGACCAGCTCTGATGACTTAAAGCTAGCTGACTTTGGCTGGTCCGCTCATACGCCAAATAACAAGCGAAAAACATTATGTGGAACCTTAGATTATTTGCCGCCTGAAATGGTCAAAGGAGTGTGCTATGATGCCAGCGTCGATCAATGGTGCTTGGGTATATTGTGCTACGAATTTTTGGTGGGGAATCCACCCTTCGAATCCAATACCTCTGAAATTACGTATGAGAAAATAAAGCACATAGACATGCATTATCCATCGCATATGTCTTCCGGCTCAAAGGAACTTATTTCAGGAGTAAGTTGATATTTAATCATTCTTAAATGGATAATTCAAACTATCTTGTTTTTCTACATTTTCTGATTATAATATACGGAACACTTTATGCATGTTAATTATTAGTAAATATTATAAAGTTCATGTTTGCTAGGTCAGTATTAAGTCTTTGGCTCAAGCAAATTATTCTAATCTATCCTCTAGTATAATGTTATAAATAATGTTATAAATATTTTTACATATTCTTTAAATCAGCTTATACGTCGTGAAGGCCGGATCAGCCTGGTGGAAGTTATGACAAATCCTTGGGTGAAAGACGGTATGGCAATGCGAGCTGCACAACTCTTGCAACAGAAGAACGAACGAGGCAAGGAAAATCTAGCTAGAAATTGATCCAGACTTCGCCATTCTTCATTTCAATTATTCATGTTTCCATAACTTAATATTAAACTGAAATTGGTTAACGATCAACCACTCAAACTACATGCCACACCAAATGCATGGCTACCGTCCGTGGGTTGCATCACGTTAAGTCCAACGTGACACGAAAACGTACAATTTTCGTTAATCTCGAATTGATAGACAACACCGGCATAGCCAGTATTACATATTCTGGCTTTAATCAAGTGTTCCTCATCTAACTCGTACTGGCCGCCAACGCTTATTTGCAAATCTTGCCAATCATTCATATTTGCCATCAAAGCAAGGGCAGTGTTATTGGTTACACGCTGGAATATGGATGCTTTTACATTCTTCAAGTTCGCGCTGTGTAAGCACATTTTAGACACGGATGAAATTTAAATGGTTCAATGAGGCTTACAACATTAGACCTAATTCAGTATCATCTTCTTCAGATCTATAACCCACACCAAACTCATACTTAGGCAACTTCATCTGATGAATATCGGCAACAACACCAAAGGAAAATAGCCAGGTTTCTGTTGGTTCATACAGGATATAGCTCGATAACAAAGAGCCGTTTATAATTGGTGCCATCGCTTCAATCTTGAATGGGTCAAACTCTAGAGCGGCTTGTACATCTAGCGTGAGCCCAGACGAACTAAAGAGTCATTAATTTAAAATAACGACAGTAGCTAATGATTAAATAGATTATATGGACACATTTACTTACTCTCCTTGCTCGTCCTTCTTGTAGATGGCCCGGAGTTTTGACAGCCCCAGCCCCTCGAAAATTTCACTACGAACTCCAAGTGTTCCATAGAGGCCATCGGTTCTAAACGCCTGAGAAAATTGAAACATACCGAATTTTTCATTGAATTCAAAACCGCCCATAACTGTGTTCGAACTTCCAGCACCAAAACTATATATCCTTAAGTCCTCGCTAAGTTCAGAGTTACAATCGAAGCGCCAAGTACCCAGTTTATAACCATTTAATAGGCATTCTCTTGCCAATTTACTAATAAAGTTATAGCTTGGCATTTCACCATCCAAATAAGTCGGACCCATTTCCGTCTCCAAATCTGGATCGCTGTGTGCTGGGCCCGTACTTCTCTGTGATCCTTGTTGCTCATCTTCTTTGTCTTCTGGTTCTGGGTTTACATTTCTTCTTTTTCGATCGGGTACGCCAATGAACTCTCTTATTTTGTCGTTGCGTGTCTTCCTTTTACTAGAGGACATTCTGATATAATAAAACCTGCGAATTTATTTAAAAATATCGAAAATATAAGAATTGATTTTAATTCAAAAAGCATCCAAAAAATGTCTAAGTCAAAGCCCTCTTTCTTCTATCCAATATTTGGAGTTTCGATTTTAAAAAACTACTTTGTTAAAATATTAAAGATCTTAGAAATACATATTTCAAGTCTTCAGCTTTGGCAAATGCACTCAAACATGGCTAGATCGGTTCTGCTCAAAGAATATGTTAAAAAACCAATCTAAATCATTCGAACCAAATCAAACCGCAAATTTTAGTAAATTCTCTTTTAACAAAATCAAAACAATTTATGTATATGTATATGAATATGATATATTTTAAAATTTATAGAAAAGAATTTTGGAACGTTTGCTCAAGTCCTTCTTACAAATCGTCATAAAGTCTGCAATAAGTTAACAATTGAAGCTCCAAGAAATACCCAATTTGTGGTTGCCTTTGATTGGATCTGCGAGCGGTACGCCAAAGTGGTACATAACCCTTATATTTTCGGCAAACAATTGCTGGTAAACAATACCCAAATACCCTTCAGAAGTTAATTTGCCCTTAATCAGCGTGCTCTCATCGACCATGCACTGGCATCCAATTGAATATTCCACCCGTTTCCACTCCAAAAGCGAGGCCTTTAACGCAATGGCCCACTTCGGACCCAAACGCTGAAATATGGAGCCACGGACATCTTGAAAATCCTCACTGCATGAAAATAGCATTAAATCTCTTAGAGGAATTGAAGAGAGAAAATTTAGCTTACAGCTTAATACCAAGTTCGATAAAGTTGTTATAGAAACCAGCACCGAATGCATGCTTTAAAAATGCATTTTGATCGAAGTCATAGATGGTTCTATACGCCAGCATACAGCTCTTGAATGGTTGTAAAAGAGCGTATCCCATGACCTTCGATGTGTGAAGAATGGGAGCAATCACTTCTATCTTGACGGGCGAACACTCAACGGTGCCATGGAGGTCAACTTTGAAAGCAGATCTAGATAACAAAAATAAAGCAGTGAAAGCAGCTATATATTATGTTCACAGTTAGGCAGAGTCGTAAGACATAATCTTTAATATAAAAAATAGGGTAAAAGGGTAATGAGATCAAGGTAAAACATTGAACGCCTAAAGACTTAGTTACCAATTACAAAAAAATTATTTAAAATATATTTTCTTTTTTAAATATATATTAATCATATAATGCTAAATCGTGCGTTCCTTTATCTTACCTTGATCTAACATTGCCAAGAGCTGCCAGCTCAATTGCAATTCAGGTCAGTAGAAGAATAACACTAAGCTATGCAAGCCCATACTATAGGCCATGCTGCCTTTAACAGCGGAACTGTCATCAATTGTAATAAATTACACAAATCAATACAATTTCCAATACATTCAAGCTGTAGAAAACACTTATTGGCATTCTACAATATTAGTCTAAAGTATTTATATTGAACATAATATTAGTTATTTAATTTATTGATTTTCGTATTTATTATTATCAAAATTTTGGAAATATGTTAGTCTACCCTCATATACCAACTTTTCCAAACAAATAACTAGAATCTAAAAATATAATAAATACGAAGATCTGGAAAGAATATAATTATTTTGTGGACTTCCCTCGATTACCATACAAACCACTTTATATTGACTTTATTTATTTATTTATACACCACTTTATTATATATATCGAGTCCTTTTCATCGTCTACTTACTCAGAACGATTGTATGAGCCGCGAAGCAAGGCCTCCGCACCCACATTGTCAATTTTTTTTTGTACACCGAGCATACCGATCAATTCATCTGTCAGCCAAGCCTGTGTTAAGGTCAAGTATCCTAGCTTCTCTTTAATTCCCACGCCGCCCACTATAGTTTTGTGGTCTGGCTTACCGGTGCCAAAACTATACAAGGAGATATTTTCTCCCGATCGACTTGTGCAATCGATATGCCAAGCACCGATCCTATAGCCAGTTATCAAACACTCCTTGGCCCATCTACCGATATGAAAAAACGTTGGAACCTCCTCGTCCACTGTGACCGGAGGTATTATCTCATATTCCGGTTCAACGGGCTCCGTGGATCTTTCAGCAGACTCTTCAGGTTCTGCACCTTCTGCAGCGGGCGATAAAGGTGCGTCTTTATTTTTCCGTAAAGTAAATCTACGTTTTTTAAATACAGACATTTTTTATAAAAATAACTAAGCCGCAAAAAAATTAATAAAAAAAAATAATTTGGAAAAATAATCGTTTTTTAATTCTAACTAACATATTTATGACAATTTTTGCGAAGTTTGTTCTTTATATTCTCAAAAGGGAATAAATTATAACGATTTATCCATCGATTAATCGATTGATTGATTGATCTGAGATATCACAATCATACAACTCAAGCTAAAAGTTGGTTCAATATAGCTCTGAGGATATGTATTTTGATGTATTTGAATTTAGTTACTAAGAAAAATGCTTACAATTAAAGACCCAATTACACCACCTAGACTCTGTAAAAATAAGTAAGTCTTTTCGCACAATACTCTTTAAAACGAATGCAAATTATCGATCAGTATCAATAAGAAGAAAATGGCATCAGTTATCGAAGAAAAATTATACATATAAGAACATGCATTTAATATTTAAAGTCTCTAGCGTTTAGGGACCTACAAAATTGCAAGCGCAGCCCTTATAGGAGCTGAGATCGACGTGTTAATACTTACGGATAAATGCAAAGCCAGACAGTTGGGATCTCAGCTCGTCGTCTACTCAAAAATATATATACTTTATAGGGTCAACTAAGCCTCCTTTTGTCTGTTGTTTAGAGCAATATTGAACATGCACATTTGCATATTTTTTTAGATATACATATACCCTCTACTACTTCACTCGGCTTAGCTACCTTTGGTTCATATACCGCTCATTACTTTTTTTTCTTTCTCATTTTTCATATAAATCTTTATCTGATTTAGGTTGCAGAGTCCTGGACAATATCTTTCTGGCGGTAATGATAAAATAAGTTTACTTTTTCCTCTTAAATCTGTTTTTGTTAAAAACAGACATTTTCGTTATTAAAACTTTTAACTTACAAAGTTATATACAACCAATTCTCAAGTCAGTTTACTACAAAGACAAGGCATAATACATTTTCAAATACCAAAAATTAAGCTTACATATTTTTACCTAGTTTTATATATGAGACAAAGCCAAGCTAAAAAATCAAATTAAAGAAATAAATTAAACAATAAATTATAGGGCTCGGCTCTATAGAAGACCTATTGTGAGACTATCAAACAATCCATAAGCAACCAAATATCAAAAATATTGGTGTGAATTTTTTATAATTTAACTTGAATACATATATGTGTTTTTTAAGGAGGACACAAATACGAAAATATTGTAAAACTTTCATCAGAAGCACAAAATGAATGATAGCAACTAATTTGATGATGACATGTATAACTGTTATTAGCACTCCAATGATAGCCCAACGCCAAATTTGTGATTGCCATCGGTAATGTGAGGGCAGTCAAGTACTGTCGATATGGACATGGTGATGCCTTCTCGCAGCTTTTGCTGAAAGCCCAGGCCTAGTTCGACATTACTGTTAATTTTAGCACGTATCAAGGCATCACCTTCCAAACGATAGACCATTCCTACCCCAACATTCAAATCACCCCGTCTCGGTTCTTCACCTTCCTCTACAGCACCTGCAGCGGCCTGGCCGACTTCAACAGCGGCATCTATTTGTTCGTTTGCCTTATGGAACACCGAAAGAAGCCAACCATCGGCATTAATTCTTTGACAGAGTTAAAGAGAGTTTTAGTGATATAAGCTATATATTTGACTCTAGCACTTACAGTTCGCCATGTACGGTTGTTGTCTCATTTGTCCAACCTAGTGCAACACTCCAGCCTATGTTTTCAGAGTTTATATCGACGTCAGTAGAAGCACCCGCCAAGAACTGGTTGTGACTTAGAACCAACGATAGCCCAATCAAGGGGTCACTTTTGATATCAATTTTTCCAAGTATGTTAAAAAAGTCCTTAGCATATCGGGCCATAAATCTGCCACTTTTATCACTGTGCAATATATATATATATATATATATATATATATACAAATATATATATATATATTTATATAAATATATCAATATAGTATCTAAATTAGTTTAGTAGATTCGAAGAGTACACACCCAGATGACGGCTGAAAACGGCCCTCCAATGCGAGCAAAAGACCCTCAACTAACTTATCTTTCTGAGCAATTTCGCCAAAGAGCAAATTATCGGTGTTCCATCTTTCGGTAAGAGTAATACCATAATCCTCTATGTTATATTTGCTTTGCAAAGAGCCCATCACTTTGCTGGCATCTTGACTTGCAAACCCAGTCGTAAAAAACTCGATGCCAGAGCTAGTCATGGTTTTGCAGTCCAGCTGCCAAAGTCCAGGGTGATAGCCCCGTCTGAACAAGTCACGGGCCAATTTGCCCAAGTCAGCATAAACAGGCGGTACCATTTTTGGCCAAATAAATAAGTTGTATAGTTCGAGCGTGTTATATGGTTTCAAAAATTTTTTACAGCTGTGTTGTATCACCAGAATTTCTTTAAATGTGAAAATAATTGAGCTCAGTATTGAGAGTCGTCGTTGAATAATATCTATTGAATTGTGAAGCAACGTATGCTATGCTACGCTTGACAGCACTAATATTTACCCATCTAAAGAAACACAATTTTTATAAATTTTAAAATTCTGTGCAAGCATAGATTTTATCGCCGGACAATAATCAAAATCAAAGTTGAAACGGATGAAGTTCAATTGGTACTGAGTACTGACCAAGCTAGCATCGATAACAGCTTCCGATGCTTCCGATAGGCAAGCTATAATCGCGTGAGAAAATAAATGATTTAAATTTTAAATGCACACTACTAGTGTTATTGTATTTATTTGACAAAGGTTGCTTTCTATCTGGTGCTTTTCTTTACTCACTCTCTGTGCAGAAATAACGCCGAGCTTGTTTTAACACTTTGTTTTTTGTTTTCTTTTTTAATAGATAAATTATGTATTTCACTGTTTGCCAACAATAAATATGTACTTAGTTAAACAAGACCACGACCAACGATCGACCGAACTACATCTTATCCGGGCCGCAGCAAATGTTGGCAAATGCTTTGCTAAACATGAAGATTCTGGTAGTGTATTTTTTGTATTGTGTGTGTTTTATTGTTGTTACACTTTTAATTTGTTTCTTTTGTTGCTGTTGTTGGTGTTGTTATGTTTATAATTGATGTTGCTACTAATTGTTGTTAGTTTAATTAGTACTGTATGCATATTGCTGGCAGCGCATTCAGCTTTTCATCTTGAACTAACTTAGGCTTCCAATTCGAGTCCAACGCCAATCTTGTGTCCACCGGCATTGAAGTTCTTGCCATCGACAAGCGTAGACAGAGTCAAGGTGATTCCATCACGCAACTTCTGTTGATATCCCAAGCCTACCTGGCTGGCATTGTTAACCTTGGCGCGCACGCTGGCATCGTCGTCCAATTGATATTTGGCGCCAATCGAGAACTTAGTGTTGCTGGTGCCGCTGGCCCACGACAGCTGAACACCAACATCCAGCTTATCGGAAGTCCTTTGGAAGATTGAGCCGCTGAACTCCTGGCCGTCATTCCTGTTAACCAAAGTAAGAGGTCATCATATATGATATGATAAATCTGAAATAAAACCTTGGGTGTTTACTTACACGGCTGTGTGTAGGACAAAGTCCTTGGTGGAGTAGCCGAGGGCAAAGTTGTTGGTAGTTAACTTGGATTGTTGTGTGTCGAAAGCGGTCTGATAGCCGGCCAACCAGCCCTGGTAGCCCAGCACAGCAGATGCATTGATCAAGGGGCCCTTCAGGTCAATATTAACATCCGAATCGGCCTTGACATTCTCGTGACCGTACGCAACCTTGAACTTGCCGTTCTTGTTGCCTGACTGTGGCGCAAAGTTGCCCTCGAGCGACAACTTGAGACCCTCCAACAACTGATCCTGTACAGCAACCTCAGTGAATAGAGTGTTGTCTGTGTTCCATTTCTCCGTCAGGGTAAGGCCATAATCCTTGACCTTGTACTTCGTTTCCAAAGAGCCAAACACCTTGCCCGACTCCTGGTTTGAATGACCAGCTGTGTTGAATTCAATGCCCGAAGAAGTCTTGGTCTTCAGGTCCAACTTCCACAGGCCAAAGTTGTAGCCTTTGCTGAAGATGTCGCGAGCCTGTTTGCCCAAATCGCTATATGATGGAGGAGCCATCTGTTGATTGTCAAATAACATTAGTAAATGGAGTTCAATATTGTGTGCATTGAGTATATTAAATCACAAATTTCATGTGTTTGGCCTACAATTGCGTGAAAGTAGAGATTAGATTCGCAAGTCTTATCTTATCTCACACTCTTGGTCAGCAAATATTTCATGAAAGCAAATATTGTCATTGTAATAAATACCAGTTAATACCTACTTTTATACATAAATATATATTTGTATTATCATTTCCCAATATAATGCAGAACAAGTGTAAATAGAATTTGCCTCCCTTCTTTTCATTCTAGCTGATTTTAAAAATAAACGCGAAAAGTGAAAAGACTTTACGGAAAATCTGTATTGTACTTTGGCTAAATGTCAATTTCTTCTTTCACAAAATCAAAGAAAATTCCAATTGAATTCGTTTTCAAGGTGGACTGCGGCCAATGAAGTGCATTTACACGTTAAGTGTGCCCAAATTTGGCAAAGAAACTGCACAACTATCTGCTCTCTGAATTGCTATGTATAAGTACTTGTGTGTGTGTTGGTCTGTACGAATGGGGGTCAACGCACGTCTGCTGTGATTGGACTAGTAAGAGCAAGAGCACGCAAAGCAGCTGCGAGTGATCGTGCAATTGATGACGCACCGTGCGCCACAGTCGATTGAAAAAGATTGCTATCAATTTCAACATTCACAAACGACATACAGCCTACCTCTTTTCTTCTAAACTGCTCCTTCAAAATCTTATAAGTCCAATAATTCTTGCCGTGATCAGCCATAAATATAAATAATATATGTTACACAAATTTTAAGTTCTTCAATTAATTGGAAATTATTTTAGTACCACACAGCCTAACACACAGCCTACTGTTTCATGTCTCTGTTTACATTTTGTTGTTGCCGTTCCGTTAATTACTAACAGTAAATCGTTCAATGACCACTTGACGAGATTACATATATAGATAAATACATACAAACATACCGATAACTACATTTTACATCGTTGCTTTAGTCTCATCACTACGTGACGTCCCAAGCAAACGCAAACAATTCACAGTGGTGGCCGTATTAATAATACACATGCCAGAACAGCGGTAAAATATGAAAGGCCGACAAAAACAGGGAAAGATTTATATTATTGGCTATATTGGACAGCGGCCAAACGGCGCGGAAATGACCAACAACATAGAAAAACTAGACGGCGTGTGAAATCATGCGCTTTCCCGGCTAAGAGAAGACAAAGAATTCTAGCAAAAACTGAAAAGATTTTACGCTCAAGAAATATGTATGTTGTGATGTAACAGGGCAGCATGGAAAATCGGAACATTTTAAAAATTACATATATAAGTACAGGTATGTATGAACTAAGCAGGTCAGGTATTTCGTGAGCCCTACAAACAATTGCACTACGACCTTGACACAATGGTTAGGATTTTAAATTACAAAGATACACGTAATCGTAAATAACTATGTACATAGAAACCCAAAGTAGTATTTAAAAGAAACGTAAGTCGATTGCTCATGTGAGCCATGACTGCGATTTCATCTGCGGGTCGTGGGCGTGAGTTATCATTACGCAACAGTATCCAGCTAAACTAATCTTATATCCCATTGAACCAATCAAAAGGTGTCAAAATAAGCAAATTATCGATTTTTTTTATGACGTCACATACACACCCCTAACTGAAATCAAAAGAAAAATTTGCTTCTATTGATGCTCACATGACCAGCGGCCAAAAAAGCAAACAAAACAATAATAAAGCAAATAGAAAAAGTTGAACAAGCTAAAATTGATAAAGCTCTTGAGACAGATGCATGTGATAAAGCAAGAAGGAAACCAAAAGCTAAATTCCCATTTTATCAAAACAAATTTTAGCACACCGCAGACAATATATATGTTACGTAACAGGAAAGTAAGCTGTTGCCGGCAGCTCCCATCGTTGCTAATTAACTGTATAACTCTTTTCTATTAGTGTTTTTTATGTGTATGCCGGTTGCCCTATTAGTTTGAATGGTCACAGTATCATTATCAATTAAAAGATATTACGAATTGTTAACACAACAGTATAAACACTATGGGAAACCCTTTCCGCGTGTCGTATGTGTGTTTGTATATGGATGAGGGCTTCGTGTCTACTTGCAAAATGTTAATTTCGAGGTTATGAAATCACTTGCAATGAAAAACGAAATACTTTCACGTATTTTCATGCATATTTCTTTACTGTTAAATAGGCGCTCACAAGAACGGTGGCTTGGGTAAGTTTTACTTACTTTTGATAAGTTTAATTAGTTTTTAAAGTAATGCGAAACGCAGGAACAAGACGACTACGACCACACAACGTACACCACAAAAATGATTTGCAACTGAATAGCAGTGTGACCAAAGAAAAATAGGGAAAAACGCGATTCTGTTGTGCGCGCGAATATACTAAACCAAACTAAGTGCGGATCACTTCAATTATTAGTTATTTGTTTTAAAACAACTTTTTTTCATAATACATTCAATATACACTTAATAATTATTGCAAAACTAGTGAATGACTACAAAATATATTAATTTATATTATTTTGTTTATTTACATTGTTATTTAAATGTGATTTGCATACTGCGCGTAAGGGCAAAATACGACCTAATGCAAGAATATCGATGCTTTTTGAATTTGAGATTTTGCGCCACATCTCTTAGTGATCTTACCATTAACAGCTAAATAAAAAACAATTCCTGACCTATACAATATATAAAATGAAAATTTAAATAAAGCCCCAATTAATGAATAATTATAATATAAAAAGGAATCGAATTTAAAGTGGAAATGCGTGTGCACCAACACTCTGAGCAGATTACTCATTATTTGTATTATATTTAGCCACAATGCAAGCTCTCTTCAAAAATAAGAGCTCTTGTTCTCTGTTAGCAGAAATACGTTTCATATAAATCTTGCATTTGGGAGTGTGAGCGGCTGCAACAACGTCATGTTGAAAGCGCGCCTGGAACACGACTCAGTCTACGGCCGCTGCCTGGCCACATCGGAGGCAGTGGAAAGTGGCGAAGTTGTTGTGGAGGAGCTGCCTTTTGCCTATGGTCCCAAGCGTGACAGTGGCATTGTTTGCCTGGGCTGCTATAGGTATTTGCAGTTTGGTGAAGACGGCGACTCACTGGATCGCTGCGAACTCTGCGACTGGCCAATATGCGGGAACTGCGTGGATGACGCTACCGATCATCATGGCGAGTGTGAGGTCTTTGCCGCAGCACGTGTCACATTTGCCGGCAACGTCAGCGAGGATGGCGTCTGTCCCCAATTGGATTGCATAACACCATTGAGGTTAGTTTGTGGATGCCAAAGGGGCGCTTGCTGCGGGGGCAACAAGTCGCTGCCATTCAAAACCAAACAGAAATCTTGACAGTTGCAAACGCCACAATAGAACGACTGCCAACAACTTGGGCAGCTGGCTGAGCAATGTTCAGCATTTAGCGGCCGTTCATCTTTGAGACTTTGCCAAATTATACAAATATTAACAAACTATGCTATGCGCACATCGTCATAGCGCGGTCCCTGTCAGTAAGCGCTATGACAGCGACGCCAGCACTCGACGTCAATCGCACGGCAGTCGAATGGAGTTCCATCTACGGACGCTATCTGACTGCCAGCGAGCCGGTGCAGCGCGGCGAGCTACTGGTCGAGGAGCAACCCTTTGCCCTGGGCCCCAAATGCAATGGATATGTGCTGTGTCTCAACTGCTACAGACCTGAGGTCCAGGAACGCTGTGTCCTTTGTGGCTGGCCCCTATGTAGTCCATGCGGCGAGGCAGAAGAGGAAAACCAGCATCTGCAGCTGGAGTGTTCCGTGCTCTGTTCGGCGAAGGCGCGTTTCTATGAGCTGCCAGCCGGCAGCCGATATTGGCCTCAGCTGGACTGCATCATGCCACTGAGGTGCATAAAAATAGATTCTAACAGCCGTGCCAACTTTTGACATACATAAATCAAGATATTTATGTATTACAACAACATTTAAGCATTTGTACATATGTAAGAATGTAATGTCTTCCAAAGTTTATTTGGAGATCGGACACGATCAGCCAAACAATACTCTGTTCGGAACGAAAATGTTCTTCGATTCTGTACATATGTTAACATGTTAACATCTGTTAAGTAACAGTTAATTTGTTATGTGAATCGCTGTTAAACCATTCCTAAATATTTAATACATTAATTTGGCTTATTTATTTATAGCCAAGCTAACCTAATCTTAGGTGATTTATCGTTCAGCTAGTGCCAACATTTGTTTTTATTAAATTCCTTTTATTTTATTTTTATCCGTCGTAGAGTGCTGCTGGCTAAGGAAGCGCAGCCAGAGCGTTGGCAAAACGAGGTGGCGCCCATGGAGCATCATGAGCTGGAGCGACGCGAGAACGCAGATGTCTGGCATGCGGATCGTGTAAATATAGCCCAATATCTGCGTGGTCCCTGCAAGCTAGCGGATCGCTTCAGCGAGGAGCTCATCATGCAGGTGGTGGGCGTGCTGGAAGTAAATGCCTTCGAAGCACGCACCAGCCAGGGCTACCCGTTGCGCTGCCTGTTTCCCTACACGGGCATATTGGCCCACAATTGTGTCCCGAACACGGCGCGTAGCATTCATCCCAGCGAAGGCTTTAAGTGGGTTTGAACTTGCAACAGACAACAGCTTTTAAGCTTGACTCCATTCTCTGTAGGATTCGCTTACGCGCAATGGTTGCCCTGGAAGAGGGTCAGCAGCTGCAGCACAGCTATACCTACACCCTGGATGGCACTGCACAGCGACAGGCGCATCTGCGCGAGGGCAAATATTTTGTGTGCAGCTGTGAGCGTTGCCTGGATGCCAGCGAACTGCAGACACATTTCTCCAGCCTAAAGTGCGGCCAGTGCACTGACGGCTGGCTGCTGCCCAAGCAGCCAACGGGTATTTCATTTCATTTCCACACATTGCAATAGATAGTTAAGCAGCGTCTGTTTCTGTTTACAGTTGTGGACAGCAGTTGGAATTGTCGGGCCTGCGACCACAGCACCAGCAGCGAGGAAGTGCGGCAAATTGTGGCTGCATTGCAGGCCGAGGTAAATGCTGTGCAAGCTCTCGGCATGGGCCCAAAGCGTCTGGAGGAATCGGAACGCTTGTTGCGCAAATACAAATCACTGTTGCATCCATCGCATTACATTGCCACCAGTTTGCGGCAGCTGCTCATCGAGATGTACGGCCGTGTGCAGGGCTATGAGATGGTCCAGCTCACAGATCAGCTGCTGGAACGCAAGGTTATTCTGTGCCGTGATGTGTTGCGTGTGCTGAACGTCTTTGAGCCGGGCCTGAGTCGTGCACGGGCTATGAATCTCTATGAGCTGCATGTGCCACTGGTGTTGCTGGCCAAAAGCGGCTTCATAGCCAACAAACTGAGTGGCGGTGAGTTGCGTGGACAGCTCGTGTATGCCATTGACCTGCTCAAGGAGTGCGTAGAGATACTGCAACACGAGGATCAAAACTCACAGGAGGGCATCCTGTGCGGTGTGGCCAGACAAGCGCTGCAACAGCTCACCATTAGCGTCGAGGGCCTGGGCAGTGAGCTGGACTAACTGAATCGAAACACAGCGATTTGTACATAATCAAATGTTGTTCCCTCGATTTATTGAAAACTATACGCATATAGTTCGATATGATTTGTATGGCTCCTTCAGACCATCGAGAGAAAGACAAAAGATATTGGATTTTTTGGGACTGTCACACACACTTACCCAAATAGAATATAACCAAAATACATACAAAATAATAGAATTTATCAATCGACTTCTACACTTCATGGCTGAGCAGAGGTATTTCTTGATAGCGTGCGAAGTGGCTAACACTGTCGCAGGGAAGTAGCCAAAGCAATGGATGCCCGTGGCCAAACACCTCGGTCAACAGTTGATATTTACGACGATTTAGCCGATATGCACCCTTTTGTTGTATCGCCTCCACCGCCGTCTCATCGTGCAGTATGGCATACAGCTGATCGTTCATAATGGCAGTGACAAACACTCCAAACACCAACGCCTCAAACATCAAAAGGATGCAATGAACACTATGTATCAAGAAATTATTATATATATACTGTCAAGCCTTGGACTTACAATTGCTTCTCTATTATATTCTCACTGCATTTCGTACACGGCGATACCCAAGAGCCTACTACTAGCGCTAAGGAGTAGACCGAGAGAATGCCCACATAGACAAGAAATTGCAGAAAGTACTTTTGATTGCGTTCGCCCACACAATTGTTTATCCATGGGCAATGATGATCCATGCGACGTATGCAACGCTTGCATATGCGACAATGATGGGCACGAGGTGGCCTATAAGTCTCGCATCTCATGCACACAGTCCATTCGCTACCATGGCCATTGCCAGAAATCGGTTTGTTGCTGTTCGTTGTATGTAGCTCGGATACGTCCAAGCGATCGGCGGGCAGCGGCACAGTGCCCGGATCAGAGAAAACGGCTTTCAAATGCGACATGACTAGCAGAAAGACAACCGTGTTGAAGAACACAACATGGAAGGGCGCCCAAATACTGGAAGTGAAAAAGTATACAGATATAGATACAGCTTTGTACGGGAAAATACCTCATAGGCATTGTTGTCAGTATTATCCATCGCATAACCACATAATCTGCATAGATAACGGCGCCATAGGTAAAAATTAAGCAGACAATGCCACAGGGATCACGTATGAAAACCATATCCAGTATCTGCCTTTTTCTGTTTGTTTGTGTGTATGTGTCCGTAAATGAATTAGAAATCGAAGCTGGCTCAGCCCTTGCCCCTTTCTATTTAACGAGCTCAGCAACTGGCAGCAACTCTTAAGAACTGATAATTTTCATTTTCCGACTTCCTGGTATTGTTGATCTAAAGTGAGTTTTATAACAATTGATCTGCTGAAGAAGTGTATTAGCGTCAAGGGCCAGGGCAGTGAACTCAACTAAGTGGAAACAAAGCAATTTATACTTATTCATATGTTTATCATTAGATTTATTGAAAACTATACACATATAGTTGAAGATACGCATATGTATTGGGTTTTGTGGCTTCTTGAGACCATCGAGAGTTGCCTGTTCAATAGAAACAATTCGCTTAATTCTCAAAGTGGATTCTGTGTTACACATAATTGCATATTAAGGCGTTATTTAGATCAGTTTCAGTTGATTATGCTGGGATGACGCAGGCCATTGAAAGTTTATAATATAAAAGTGGAAAACTTGATATTTTGTTACGAGGCTTTCGTGTATAACTTATAAAAAAGTATAAATAGTGTAATTAATTTGCTAATATATTAGTAAAAGAATATACATTTCAGTACAGACTAGGTTAGTGTTGACGTTTCATTGCTGCAGTTAAAAAATTGCAAGTGTCATCCCAGCATAAATTTAATTGCAATTAAAATATATTGAAATTGAGCCATAATAAATAAATATTTAAGCAAATAAACAAAAATTACAGTCGATGAAAAATGATTTCATTTTTTCTATTTTGCTTACAATCAAACTAATTAGGTCTTATAAATAATACGAGCTATTACCGCATACACAATTGCCTGGCATTAAATGTTAATGTTTATTTGGTATATGAATTTGTTGCTCTTAAATGCTTGAAAGTTAGTTTGTTTCTTATTTTTTGATTCGTTTTCTTGTTTTTTTTTACACACATTTATATATTTATATATAGCTACACATCTGCTCTCTACGTATGCTTATGGAAAAACTAGTTTTGTTTAAAAAAATATTGAGTTTTTGTTGAGTATGTTTTGGCTCGCTTGATGCAATGAATTATTAACTAAGGTGTTAATTAAATATTGAAATCTTCTTTGTATATAATATATACAAATAAACAAAAATATAATTATATATATATATATAGATTTGGGTCAAGGTAAGAGTTACGGGGATAGCCGGGTGGGTTTTCAGAGCTTTTTAGATAAAATATATAAACACAAAGATAGATACATAAAATATAAAAGACAATGTATGTTGCGGGACTGTCACACACACTCACGTATATAGAATACAAACATAATACATACAAAATAATAGAATTTATCACACGGCCTCTAAACATCGTGGCTGAGCAGAGGTGTGTCGTGATAGCGTGCGGCGTGGTTAAGAGTAGCGCAGGGCAGTAGCCAGAGCATCGGATGCCCGCGACCAAACACATCGGCCAACAATTGATATTTACGTCGATTTGGCCGATATGCACCCTTTTGCTGTATCGCCTCGACCGCCGTCTCATCGTACAGTATGGCGTGCAACTGATCTACCATAATGGCAGTCACAAACAAACCAAACAGCGCCGATTCCAGCAGCAAGACGATGGAATGAATCCTAGGCAAAGAAAACATTATTATATATGTATCTTGTCAAACTTTTGGAAAGGTGACAGTCTTTACTTACATGCGCAGTTGTGTATCAATTACATTCTGACTGCATTCCGTACACGGCGATACCCAAGAACCGAGTATTAGCGCTACGGAGTAGAGGGAGAGAATGCCCACATAGACAAGAAATTGCAGAAAGTACTTTTGATTGCGTTCGCCCACACAATTGTTTATCCATGGGCAATGATGATCCATGCGACGTATGCAACGCTTGCAAATGCGACAATGATGGGCACGAGGTGGCCTATAAGTCTCGCATCTCGTGCATACAGTCCATTCGCTACCATGGCCATTGCCAGAAATTTGTTTGGTGCTGTTGTTCGTGGTGTGTAAATCGGAGAAATCCAAGCGATTGGCGGGCAGCGGTACAATGCCCGGATCTGAGAAAACGGCTTTCAAATGCGACATGCCTAAAAGGAAGACAACCGTATTGAAGAGCACAACATGGAAGGGCGCCCAAATACTGGAAGTGAAGAAGTATACAGATATAGATACAGCTTTGTCATTAACTGAATGTACGGGAAAGTACCTCATAGGCATAGTTGTCAGTATTATCCATCGCATAACCACATAATCTGCATAGATAACGGCGCCATAGGTAAAAATTAGGCAGATAATGCCACAGGGATCACGTATGAAAACCATATCCAATATCGGCCTTTTTTCTGTGTGTGTGTGCCCGTAATTGAATTACAAATCGAAGCTGCCTCAGCCCTTGCCTCTTTCCATTTAACGAGCCGAGTAATACCTTAGTTGCTACACTGCAGCTCAGCTGCTGGCAGCAACTTTTAGAACTTAATACTTGGTAATTTTCACTTTACTTTGCTATGTGACAATAAATGTTACTCAGTGTCCACTTTAAATTTGTTCGAAAGTTTCATTTATTTATTTGTTGCTATTTTTCGATTCCAAATTTTTCACCCTAAGCCCCGAAGCGGTCATACACGATTCAATTGGCTGACAGACAGATGTGATCGGTACCCACACACGATACATTTCGCTAAGTTTTTAACTAGCTTTGCTATTCCATAACACACAACAGTTAAGAAAGGGAATATTAAGCGCTTATGATAACAACATAGCAAATCGTTTATATCTTCAAACGGCACACATACATTCAATTGATTATCCATTAAAGTTAGGTAGTAACTGTGTCACATGAATGACGAAGCAATACACTATCGATAAGCAAGCATATCAAGCCGATACTGGGCACACACTATCGAATGGCATTAGGTTGACATTATACATCGATATTTTCATTAGTCATTTTTACACAAAAGCAAAAGAAAAACGGTGCAAGTGATTATTCAGCAAATTTATTGCAGTATTTCGATTTAATTAAGGCAAAATACAAAAGTTTCTATTTAAATTATTACAACAATAGTGCGTTGGCAGCTGCCCAATTAGGGAGACTACAAGACAATACGCGATTTTATGTGTGTTATTTGTGACGCACGAAAATCGATTGCGTACAAGGCGAAAACACCACACAGAAGTGCAAGTGCAACAATAACAACGAGAAGCAGACAATTGACGACGTAATTAAACAGAATTCCAACAATCCCACAAATAATTAACAAGCAGCTGAGTTGTCGTTTGGTCAAAGAGATGGGCATATTTGGGCAATCCTCGCCTTTCGACGCCGATGTGGGTAAGTTTTTGTCCACTTCTCGCTTTCTCCACCCCTACTGCGGAACAATAACAATTGTCATTAGTCAAAACATTGTTCGCTTGCAATTAATTGCCACTGTCGCTTGCTTTTTCTTTAACGAATTTTCGTTGCCACTTGGCCACCCTCTAAGTAAACTTAGCAATCAAACAAAGAAATCTTGAATCAATTCCGAGTCACATGCGTCGCTTTGTCCAGATGCTGCGCAGCTTTTACTGCTGCGTCTGTTCATTGAACTTCTTTAAAGTTTTGTTTGCAGTCGCTGACCTTGAAGTCGGCATCGTCAAAACCCCTCACCCAACCCTTAACATGTGCGTCTGATACCCTTTCAAGAAGGAGCCCTTGCCAAGTTCAAGTTTTTAAATTAGCTTTAAATACAAAAGCGTTCGAAATCCTTAATTCTTTTAAAAGCATTGAACATAAAATTTGTAAATTTGAATTTTAAATTGTACAAAGCTTAATATAAAAATGCAAACCGTAATTTAGCTTAAAATGCAGAGCAAAGCAAGGTCTGGCTGTTTTTTTTTTATTGCTTCAGATCCGGTTTTAAGCGTAAAGAAAAAAATGTTTATAAGAAAATGTCATATACATATACATATACATATATATATATATACATATGTTTATTTACTGCACATGTACCTGCTTTAATTAAACCAACTACGAAAGGTTCAAAGTTCAAGACATGCAAAATGAGAGCCAACTACATTGCTTCGTACAATCTATGGTATTATAGGGGTACATATATTATTCGTAGCTTGGGTTTTCTTGTCTGGCCTCTTTTTAATGCAATTTGCTGTATATTCTATTGATTTTGCTTTGATTCTTTGCCTCGCTTATCGCCTTTCATAGTCGCACTCTGTGAGTCAGTCAGTGATAAGTAAGCAGAACTGTATTTCGACAAAAGTCGTTGCTCTGCTGCCTGGTTTTTTTATTTACACATAGGCATTAATAGATAACGCAGTTAATCCATAGAAGTTTTATAATCCGTTTGTGTGTTGTTTATTGCTCATCCACAGAAAAGGCCACCAGCGAGACGAATACGAATGATAATTGGTCTTTTATAATGGATGTATGTGACAAAGTGACGACCAATCCGCGCTTAGCTAAGGACTGTCTGAAGGCGGTGATGCGAAGGTTGGGACATCCTGATCCTCATGTCGGTATGCAGGCTATTACCTTGCTGGATGCGTGTGCCAATAACTGCGGCAAGCCGTTCCATTTGGAGATTGCATCGCGTGACTTTGAAACCGAGTTCAAGCGCCTGTTGGATAAAGCGCAGCCGAAAGTTTCATTGGTAAAACATCAAACATGCAACAAAAGAGACTCAAAACTAAAACAATTTTGTTTTGCAGAAAATGCGTCAGGTCCTAAAGAATTGGGCTGAAAATGATTTCAAGAATGATCCTGAACTGAATCTGATTCCAACTCTGTATCTTAACCTGCGCCACAATGGCTACGATTTCAATAATTTAAATGATAAGAGTAGCGCTAAGTCAGCAGCAGCTAAAGCGGCAGCTGCAACTTTGGCCAAAGATCCGAATGTAGTCAGCAGCCAGCAGGAGGAGGATGATATAGCCAAAGCTATAGAGCTGTCGCTCAAGGAAAACAAAAGCAGCCCCAAACAGCAGCAGCCAAGTGGTGCCGCTGCTGCTTCAACGACCAGCAGTGCCTATCCTTCACTATATCCCTCATTTGGGAGCAGCACAGCCAACACACAAAGCAATGGAAATGGAAATTCTAGCAGTAGCAATGCGGCTGCTGCTTCATCGCGTACTGTGCGAGCTTTGTACGACTTTGAGGCGGCCGAGGAGAACGAGCTGACCTTTTTCTCGGGCGAAATCATACATGTGCTGGACGATAGTGATGCCAATTGGTGGAAGGGTTACAATGATCGCGGGGAGGGTCTATTTCCTTCCAATTTCGTCACTGCCGATTTGTCTGTAGATCCCGAACGCTTGGACATAAATCAACAACACAAGAATAATGCCCAGAAACAGGCAGCAGCTGAGGAGGAGGAGGCGCTGTTGCAACAAAAGACTGAAGCGGCTGCCGCACAGCCCGTAGAAATTGATGAGGCCAAAATAGATCGTTTGCTGCACTTGTTGCACGAGGCCAATCCTGAGGATCCCTCGCAAGACAGCGAAGAAATGTTGCGCTTGGAGCAGCAGGTTCACCAGATGGGTCCTCTAATCGATGCTGAATTAGAGCGTGTCGATCGCAAGCACGCACAGCTGACACAGCTCTCAAGTGATCTGGTGGATGCTATCAATCTGTACCATTCACTCATGCGTGATGATCGTGCAGCTGCGGCTCAGTTTGGTGCTGCCGCCTTCATGCCCGGGGCCTTTCCAGGCGCTGCACTGTATGGTGCACCTGGTTATCCAAGTGCTGCGGGCTTTCCACCAGGCCAAAACTATCCGGGCATGCACTCATTGCCATATGCGCCACCACAGGGTAGCAATGCAGTAACAGCTCCAACGGCAACAGCTGGTGCGGCTTATCCAGGACAAGTACCCATGCCATACCAAAACGGACATGCGCCCCAGTTGAACTGTAATATAATCAATTTATTTATTGCTCGATTATTTTATAACGCAATTCCATTTGTTTGCAGCTCTGCCGCCTCATCTAACCCAGTCACCAACAATTGCCCCGCAGTCACATCCCGCCCACCCTCAGCCAATCTACAATGTCCAGCCCACGCCAGTCACTACTCAGCAGCAACCGCAATCGCAGCCACTTACGAATTATCACATGGCCATGCCTGTTGAGCAGCAGCAACAAATGCCGCCTTCCTCGCTTCCACCACAATTTGCAGGCGCTCCACCAACAGCTACACAAATCCAACAGCCGCATCCACCGCCACATGCTTATATGTCGCCGCAACACCAACAGCAGCAGCAACAAGCTGTGCCGCCGCAGACATATGCAGCACAGCCGCCACAATTCTATACACCAAATGGAGCTCCACCAGTTACCCAGAGCTACATGGCGCCACCTCAACAGCAGCAACAGCAACAACAACCCCCACAACCCCAGCAGCAGCAGCAGCAGCAGCAGCAGCAACAACAACAACATCAACCCCAGCAGCAACCACACAATCACAACGATCATTTTAGTCAGCTACATCAGCAAATGGCCGCCATGTCGATGGCGCATCTTGGTGGCATGCCGCCAGCCGCAACGGGTGCGGCACCCGCATATCATATGCAAAACGATGCCGTCAAGAATAACATTCCTATCTATCAGCAGCAGCGGTAAAACCGTTCAACCTGTTAGGCAGCAGCAGCAGATTCTTTCACTTGATTTTGCTTTAATTTGTTTCCAAATTTTGTCCTAATATATAAAGTGCATTGAAAAGGTGTTTGAGTTGGATTATATAGTTTTTGTTTGAGTTTTTGTTCTTCCGTAATCACGGTATAAGAACTAATGCATTGTCAACATTAATACTAAAATTGAATGTTAATTTTCATTTTAATTATTTGTTATTTGAAGAGCTATGTAATCTCTAAGAAACTGTCGGGCAAATGTTTGCAAAAGCGCCAAAAACTAAGATTTTAATTAAGCAAAAGAAGAAGGAAAATGTTTTAATGCTATTTATATACCATATACCATATAAATATTCTATATTATGTATAACTCTATATTGAGCATTGAACGAAGAACACCGTTTGACGGAGCATCAAACAGAATTCACTATCACTATTATGTATTATGTTTATTACACTATTATAATTATATGATGATTAAATTAACAAGCGAAACGAATCACATTCATTATGCAAACCATTAAAAAGTTGATCGGCTACAGATGCTGATTGAATAATAATATAACTACAATACATTTTGTTTTACTTTGGCTTATTCAACGCGTGCGCAGCTTGATGTAGCGCTTAATGTAATAGTCCTCATCGATCTTGTCCAGCATCAGCAGACGCAGCTGCAGCACCTCCCGACGATGCTTATATTCCATTGTGCTTAGATTGGGCGCATTTAGCCACGCCTGCACTTCCGTGTATAAGTCAATAAACCTGCGGCGATTTTTTATGGAATATGCAGCTGATTCGTTCATGATGCTTAATGCTCGATAGTCACTTACAAACTGCGAACCACCTGGCCATATTGTTTTAGAATTCACTTAACAAACATTGCTACAAATTTTGCAGCCACAAGATTTTATCGTAGCAAAACCTTTTTTATTTTACCTGACCACCTGTGCAGCTTAAAGGTAAAAACTAAAATTAGAAGAGTATTTATCATTAACAATCCGAATAGAAAGCTCAATTATGGGCCTAATTAAGTTTTTGGCACTGCGTAAAGCTGGCATAGCTGACTAATTGGTGGGTACATATTGCGTATACGCCACCGAGCTGCGGCTTAATGGAAATCTATTTGTTTATTGGGTAAGTTATCTAATAGTTGCAAAAAATGTAACTCACCAACTATAAAAAAAATAACAATAGTTTTAAAAATCAATTTGGCATCGTTTAAATGTCATATCAAATTTAATGCCGTCGTTAAAGTTAACGTGTCGTATACGCTATACAACGTTAAAAAAGGAAAATCTATATGTGTAGTGTGTATAACATAAATTTCTTGTAAATTGTAAGAAATAAAAATCAATTTTAGTTAATACAAATTTCATTCCAAGTACTTATGACAGGAAAATGACCATTTCATTTAAAACTTGATGTTTTTGTGGTGAGTTGCAAAATTAACGTCTGAAGTATCTATCCGTTAAGCTTGAAAAATAATCGAAAATAACACTTATCGATACTGTACATTTGTATTCAGTTTGCGAGTGACGTCAGAAAATCAAATTTAACATTCAAGGTTCTAGTCGCTGCTGGTAACCTTCCCAAATATATTTCTCTTGTATCGCTTGACTAATCAGCTGTTCGCATGTAAACAATATTCATTGATTTTGGTGGTTAATGCGTAGAATTGTTATTTAGGCTACTAGGACAAGTTCAATCACGTAATCTCACACACACAGAGAAATGTGCACGCTACATATCGAGGAGGAGACGCACTTGGCTGCAATGAGCAGCCGAAATCGAACGCGAACACCAAGCCCAATGCCAATGCGAAGGGTACACTTCGGCGAGCTGACATTGTTCGACATTAACTGGGATGATGTGCTAATACCAAAAATGTCTACCTACCTCTCAATCAAAGACCTCTTCAATTTGCGCAGTTGCTCGCGCACAGCATTGCGCTTAGCGGAGGCTGCGCTAGAGAAGCGCCAGGAGCTCCAGTTGTCTGGCAACAATTCGAGCAATATTGAGCTTGGCTTCAAAGTCCTGTCACGTTGCTGTCGTCGTCTGGAACATCTGCACTTGGCTAGCTGTAAATGGCTAACAGACGAGCTCCTGCTGCCGCTGCTGAACAACAATAAACAGCGACTGAGCGCCGTCAATCTGAACGAGTGCGTCAACATAACGGCGCTTTCGCTGCAGCCGATCATTGTGCAGTGCAAGGAGCTGCGCATTCTGAAGCTCTCCAAGTGCCAGTGGCTGACCACAGGCGCTGTGGACGCTCTGACGCTCCATCAAAGCAAGCTAGTCGAATTCGATATATCCCATTGCGGCGCCATTGGCGAACGCTGTCTGATCATCTTCTTTCGCAAGCTCAACAAACTGACCATCCTGTCGCTGGCCAACACGCCGAGCGTCACGGACCAGGTGCTCATACAGATTGGCAACTATTGTCGCGAGCTGGAGCACATCAATCTGATTGGCTGCGCCGCCATCTCCGACTATGGAGTTCAGTAAGTAGTTGCCCTTTTGGATTCCTCCGCGGGTTGTGCACGCATGTGTCCGTGTGTGTGTGTGTGTGGGTGTGTTTCTTGTGTGGCGTCCTTTGGCTGCGACTCAACTGCACACACGTCTGCATCTCTTTTTTCAGTGCACTCAGCGTACAGTGCAAAAGTTTGCAATCGCTGCGTATCCAACGCTGCCACAGGATCACGGAGCGCTCGTTGGCGCCACTGCGTCAGCGGGTGCACATTGATCGACCACGTCCGCGCCAGGACGCGCACAATGCTTACAACTTAAACGATTTCTATCCCAGTGATTTTCTTGTTTACTAGTTCCACAACACTTTCTCTCTCTCTCTCCCTGTCTATCTCTTTTGCTGTCCTGTCTTTAGTGCATTGACCAAGAGCTGCCCACAGCTGCAATCTCTGATGGTGCAACGTTGCCCTTTGGTGACCGAACGCGTTCTGGCTCCACTGCGCGGCCGCCTGCACATCGATCGGCCGATCATGGGCTACAATCTGCCGGCCATGCAGCATCGCTTGTACCTGCAGGTCTGAGATGTTATCAGTTAACTTATCCAAATAATCTAGAGGCTATCGATGCTAACGACAACAACTGGAAGCATGCGAACAACATCTTTGTAAATACGGACGCCATTAAGTAATTTAATTCAATTGTTTAGCTTAAGCTTACAGTTCTTAACATTAATTTAAGCTATACAAATACAATTTAGCAAACAATATGCTCTGGCCTATTTAGCTGGAAACCCTGTAATTTCTGCTGTAATATATATATATATATATATGTAATTAAAATTCTAATATTGTATTTAAATATTGAAAACTATTTGTTTATGGTGTAATTTGCTACTTATGGAGGAGCGCGTTAATAACAGTCAGTTCAAATGGCGAACAGAGCGATAACAGAGCTCTGTTAACTGTCAATTTTAATAAATATAATTTAGCATTTTCTGCTTCTGTTAACGATCTTGTTGCCGTTACCCAGCCAATGCATAACTTAAAATTCCACTCAGCATCTTGAACAATAGTTTCCAACTGTTTACTTACATACAAATGTTCTACAAAATGTTTAAAAAGCGTTTGCAACAAAATTGCCACCGGTAAGCGTACAAATACAAATTGTGTGCATTAACATTTCTCAGGAACGTTCCCATCATTGTGCTGATATTAGAGACGAGCTCGAGGTAGTCTTTGTTCCCGCTTCTGCGCCGCTGCCCACGGTCAGCTTTAGTTGGGTTAGCTCATGGGTAAGGCCATTGTTGGCTCGCCAACGCTCGTGCAACTGATTGAGATGCGTATAGGCGGCCATGGAGATGTTAAGGCTGGGCATGACAGCGTTCAGGCCTGGCTCGCCGATGAATGCGAGGCCGCACAGGCCCAGGTACGTGTGGAAGGGATCTGGCGTGGCTTTCGGCCATTTGGCAAAGCCGCCAATCAGTCCATTCTGTGTGCTTATTATGTATTCACGGTTCTGAGCGTAGTCGGTCAGCTCAAAGCCATTTAAAATGCATAGCGCAGCGCCAATCCAAAAGGAGTAACACGTATCCACCGGCTTGTTCGGTCGCCCCTGAAAGCCGTCCATTTGGCGAAAGACAAGCCATCTCTTAATGCGCTCCACCGTTGCCTCGTCCAGCCGATGAAGCTGGCCACTTAGCTCCAGTGCGGCCAGCGCACAAAATGTAGTGCCGCCATGCGCCTCACCCTCCAGTTCCTGACTGAAACCATAATCGTAGCGCAAGCTTCTCATTATAAACTGAAACATGGCATCCTTGTTCACGCCCTCCCAGCAGTCGAGCATGTGGCAAATGGTAGCGGCACAATAGACAAAACGCATATCATTCTCGCTGCCATCAATGGATGCACTGAAGCTGCCATCCGCATGCTGCACTGCCGCCACTCCCTGGACAATGCTCTGGCGATTCAAGCGCGACAAATCATCACCCAGCGTCGCCAGCACTGCAATGCTGGTGTATGTCATGGCCAAGTGGCCCCACTGGTACGCACGCATGCATTCCAACACCCCAGCGTCCTTCGTTTGCGGCAACATGGCACGGCAGCCCTGCAAAAGACAAAACTAATTTAATTGGTATTGATGCTATACACGAATAAGTGACGTACCCTAAAGTGGTTATGCGTGTCGCGCACTAGACGTGATAACAATACGATAAGAGCAAAACTATTGCCGTTGTGCTCAGGTAAATGGCATTGCAATCAACGATGTAAAACCAAAGAGACCTGCTCCGGCTCTGAATTTGACTGAACTAAAGGAAAAGCAATGCTTATAGCCAGTAGTTCTATGGAAGGAGATGAACAGGATATAAAATCTGCTGCCAAATGGTGAAGCAGAAATGCACAGAGAATTTAAAAAAGCTAACCACACTTCCATTCATCCATTAGTCATGCAAATTTCCGACAAGATTCTTAACTTACACAGAAGTTAGGCACATCAGAAATTGAAGAATGAATAAACAAATTGAGTTATTTTGTTTATATATAATTAATTAAATTGAAGTCATAAGTTCTGCTAGGAATTTCCATATTTTAAAAGCTATAACTGGTTTATAAAAGTCGCAATTACTAACAAACTATTGTTGTTCACTTGATTGTGAATGTTTGTTAATGTTATTAAGATCTGTGTAATTTATGGCAACAGCATTCGAGATTGGAAGCGGAGCGTTTGTCGCAGTGGCTGCTGCAACGCCACGTAAAAAGATAAGGTCAGAGACATTTGTGTTTAGTTGACACTGCCTAACTGATTCGTTTGTTTGTCTATCGTATCTCAATGACTGACAAGTATTTATGCTCACCATAAAGCCTCCGCATCGTTTTTCATTATCACGTGGCGTGACGAGGCCGCCGTAGGTCCAGTTGATGATGTCCTTGCGCAACTCTGGGGATATTAAGTGCAGCGAGTTGAGCACATCTAGGCCACAGACGGCAAAGAAGACTATTGTACTCCTATGTGGAGATAGCTCTGGTATTATACAGTTAGTTGAGCAAGGATTTGGCATCCTTACCTGGTATTATCATGCGAGGACATGCGCGCCGGCAACAAATGCAAGAAGCGTAGCAGATTTTTGGCGTGCTTGGCGAGCACAACTGGCTCGGGCTCGGCAGGATCCGTCATATCTACAATGTGGTAAGACATTTCGAATATATTTTGTTTCCCACTTGTTTTTGTTTATCTTTATCAGTGTGTGTATGTGTATGAGTAAGTTCTGGTTATGACTAAGCGTCGGTGTCTTTCATTAAGAGATGCTGTCGCAGCAATGGTGTGCTGGAAAATGACATTGCACTGACACGTGCAGGCATTTAAGTAGTCAAGCATTACCTTATTTTTATTATAAGCCGGTTTTTTGCATTGCTCTTAAGTAAACTGAACAAGAAAAATCGTTGCACCGTTCCTTCTTTGCGTACTTCACGGGTTCTGAATATCGATATCAATTTTCTGCCCGATAGTTGACTTTATTCACTTTCATCTCGAATGTTACAGTCGCTGTGAATGGCAAGACTTAAACAGCTGTTTCCAGCCGCATTGTATAGTTATTTTTCGTGAATAAATTTCAATTAAAAATAAAAGCATATAAAATGCGTATCACACAATATCTAACTAGCAAATTAAAAAACTTTTCAAATTTGCCAAAGGAATATATTGAACGCAGCAAAAAACAGGCAAGAACTGGTCTTTTCAAGTTAACAACACTTTTGCGGCTCACGTAACAACTGGAGCATTAGTGCGTGTTTTCATTACTTTTATAACGTATTCAATTTGAATAGGTTTATTGGAAAACACCAACCGAGAGAGGCTATCTGCCAAGTACCGTTGAGCGCAAACGTTATCGCTATACAACAAATCGCTCATGGACAGGCCAGTTCCGACAACAGAATATGCCGGGTACCATGCGACGAAAAGTATTTGTGGAGCCAGTTGGTAATTCGTGGATTCTTTGTTAAATGATAAGTGATAGTTAAATTTCTGTTGTATTCTTTTTAGAGGATTGGAGCTTCTTCCGTGGCGATCGCATTGAAGTGTTAGTCGGCAAGGATAAGGGTAAACAGGGTATAGTCACTCAGGTAATACCCGAACGCAATTGGGTTATTGTGGAAGGTATCAACTGGCATTATAGGCGCGTGGGCGCTGAAAATGAATTCCCCGGCATTATAATAAAGTCCGAGGCGCCGCTACACGTCACCAAGGATATACGCCTTGTGGATCCATCCGACCTGCAGGGCACCGAGTTCGAGTGGCGCTTCACGGAAGAGGGCGAAAAGGTGCGTGTATCTACGCGTTCGGGCCGCATCATACCTATTCCAGAAACGAATAATCAAACGCACGACTACAAAACACCCAATGCTTACATTGAGCGTGAAAAGGATACACCAGCTGCCGTTGTTGGCGAGATTACCTTCCAGCCAAAGTTGTCTACCTTTGAAATGGACATAATGGAGGAAATGGGTATAAAGGAGGAACGCACGCCGGCCAAGAGCTATTGGTATTAGGCAATTGTTTACTTCTGTTTTGTTCAATAAAATATAAAAATAAATCTTGTCTTACCATGACTTTTCTTGAGCATGTTAATAATCTGTTATTAACATAACTAGCAATTACTATTATTTTAACATTGTATTTAACGGCCTGTTATTAACAGCACGAGTAATTTAATTCCTTTCCAAAATAACTAAGAATCAATGGATAGTGCTAAAAATAATACATTTAGAAAGTAGTTGCCTTATTTTTTAATTATATTTGTAAACAATATGTTTAGAGAAAGCTAAGAAATAATATGAAATATATAAAAAGCGAGATAAACTAGATGATAAGGGAAACGGTAATTCATTTGCCAGCCGTACTAAAAGTCTCCTCCCGATGCTCTCGCAAAGTTCGCGCCAACCGTCGCACCGTTTCCTCCGCCTTATCAAAATCGCTGCGAAGAGTTTTATTGAATGTATCATAGAGCCAGGTGCAGGTCTTAGACATATTCACTTCGTAACTGGTAAAGACACGAGTCGTGTGCTCATACCTGGAGGAGAAATGGCGGAAATGTGGAAATAAGAAATTTTCAGTTTAAGTCTAACTTACCGAGCTGCATTCGCAATATCTGTGATCAAATACGTATTGCAGTGATTAACAGCCAGCACCTGACGATTGCTGATGTATTTGAGCTCCACATGTGGCAGCGCCAATTGTGCCGCTTCCAGGGAGGTAAGTGACGCATGTAGCAAGCTGCGACAGTCCAGTGCTACTTGCAATTTTTGCTTAGGATCACTGTAAAATAAAATCAATATTTACCACAAATAAATTGTGTTATTGCCGTTAACAAAATATGTATTTAAATGGCTGCATATATTTTATCGATATATCTAGCTTGCTTATCGATGTTATCGAAGCAACTGAGTTAACATTTTAAAGTTACCATTTTCGCTTTTTAATTTGAATTTGATCGTTCAAATTTATGCATTTACTCACATTAGCCTATTTAACTGGCGCCACTGCTTTAGCGCCTGCGTGGATGAGTTGGCTGCGGCACGTAATAGTAAGCCACAGATACGCCACTGTTCCAGCGCGCTGCCCAGTTTGTCACGTGTGTCGCGCGCTACCTCCAGCTGCTCATCAATGGTTTCCTCGAGGCGCGTCATATAGGTGCCGCCACTTATGTAGGCAATAATGCCATCCTGATTCACGTAGAGGTCATTGAGCTCCGCATAGCTGGCGGACAGAGCTTTGAACCGCTGCTTGGTATGTTCCAGGAGTTCCCCATAATAACGTATGCTAAGTAAGTAGAGCGCCGACTCGCTCAAATTGGCAAAGAAGTCCTCATGCATGGAAGCCTTGCGTGGATCACCAATCACGCCTAAATTATGCGCCAGCTTTCAGTGCGTTTTGTTTAATTCGAGACGAAGGTCAGAGACATTATTATAATTCCAATGGCAATCACATTCCATATAATAATGGAGGGCATTAAGCACGTGCCAAGGCGCTAATTATTGACTACTCACCTGGGCCAAGTCCTTGGTGGGCGTATTAGCAACGATTTCATTGCCCACACGCTCGCTGCCCAATGTCAAGGGGTAGCTACTTAATTGATGTGCCTCCACCTCGCCCTGTCGGTTCGTTTGGCTTTGCGTTGTAGTTGGACGAACATTATGTTCCATGCCGTCCAGGCCCAGCATAACATCGCGTTTGGCCTGCAAATGTTCGATCCATGCCTCGGCAGTGGCCATGCGCGGACCCGGACAGGTACCCTCCAATTTACTGATCTGCTCATCTAGGCGCACATATTGCTGCACAATATTCTGGACACACAAAGTGTATGCAAATCAGGACTCGAGAAGTATTGATTGTGAAATTACTGTTACTGTTACCGTTACTTTGGGCCCGCCATTTTCTTGCAGACGCAACGCGCCATTCGGTGGCAACGGTCCACTAGCACTTGACTGTGTCTCCATGGACGAACCGCAGCCCATCACTCAGTCGAAGAATGATGGCATTTTCGTCAGACCTTGCAATGTGTCATATAGTCGATGTAATTTTCGAAAACGCAGTTAATTTATTATATATAGTTACGTCCGCAACGCTCGCCTTCCACGTGCCGAATGCGCGCCACTGTCCACCCGTTCATCCGGTTCGCCTGCTCCAGTTATAAAGGGGCAAAACAATATTTTCGCGTTCCTTGCTCATTGGACACAAAATGGACACCCCCAACCACGACCACAGCCACTGCCAGCCAACCACCCGAACCCCACCATATACCTTATTTGGCCATTCACGCTGAACCATTAATGCTTATTAGGGCGCAGGTCGAGAAGCAAAAAGGAGTGACGGGGCGGGGAAGTGGGCGGGAGGCGTACTTCAGGCAGTTTTGCTTGTATATGTCAACAGCTTGTGTTTGCTTTTTATTGCCTTGCATGTCGTTCCGACTTGTTGTTACTGTAAATTGCTACACATACACACGGCTAAGTTGACAAACTAACAAACAAGGAACAACAATAACAATAACAATAACAAATTAGAGCAGCTGCAATGAAATAGGTGTTACCAAATGCCAGAACTTATGCTGCATCAGCATTTTAGTAGCGAATAGGGTCATAACATAATCCATCATCAGGATAACAATCTTGATGATGATAAATTAACAGTGAACGCATTTAATATTCAGAGCAAATGTGCATGATATTGTTCACTTAGGATTTCGACAGGAATTAGCATTATTTTATCTGTCAATTTAAATGGAAATATAAACGAAATTCATTTCAGCTGGATACAGATAAAATGTTGATTCCTTTGTTGATTCTGATTTATCCTTTTTTGATTAATTGTGTAATTAATTTATTAAGGAATTGCTCATAAGCTAATTCGAATTTGTGACCTTAATTATAAGGTTTACTATAAAACTCAGCTTAAGTAAAATTTATTGTTGAGGAAATAAATCCATTTTGTCGATCTATAAATATACGAGTCAATGGAACACAAAACCTATATATTCTCGTTACTTGATGAATTGTTTTCATGGCAAATTTAATTATTTACGGATAAACAAAAGCTCAAATTATAATTAAATCAGACCTAAATTTCTGGTTTATGCCGAGGCCAAGGCAATAGAAGTGGAAATTTAAATATTTTCACTTTTATTATAGTTTTATTTTAGTGATACTAATCTTATTTAAATAAGTTGTATATTATATTATACACATTTTGGTGTTAAAACAATTGTTTGTAAACAAACAATTAGTTCATTTTGATTATATTGAATGCTATAAAAAACTTTGAAATTAATCTTTTCAGATAATTTATTTTTTTAAATAAATGTTTAAACACTAAATTTGGAGCTGTGAACTATTTTGACGTTTATTCAATTTCTGGCAGTTGGTTATTTATGTGGCTCAGTTGAGCACCTGTCGTCAGCAGGTAATTGCTTGATTGACTGCTGCCGAGACCTTCGACAAATCCCTCGAGCTATCACATATGCTTCAAAGCTTGCGTTGTGTGGCCCAAATTGTTTTTAGCGACGCCCAACGCACAGTGGAGCCAACTACTAGTGGTAAAAATTGATATATTAAAGTATACATTATATATATATAGCCCACTCTCGTGCAATAAACTTTCTGCAGCCTCACGATGTTGGTGTAAATTTTAGTTCGAACCTTCGTCTCCAAATTAGCCCAGATAAACTTGGGTTCGAATACTGTATATACCTTATGAGATCTTGTGGCTTTTGATATCAAATATCTATTCCATAAGCATGTACTGAGAGTCTAAGATTCACTGAAAAGAAAAAAAATAATTACAGATTTTTTAAAAATGAATAATCAAATTATATATATATATATATATATAAAATATAAGATTATATATATATAATATATATATATATAATATAAGACTTTGACATTGAATAATCGAATGAAGACAGCAATTAAACTAAGCCCTATCAATGTCTATTTTAATAGTTAGACAAGCGTAATAACCTATTCAGACTTAAAAATATAAATATGTACTGATAATATTTCAATTTGTTAAATCAATAATACTTTTTTTGTACTTTTATTATTTCCAAACTCATTTGGTCAACTGTTATCAACTATTGAGTTGATATTCACGCACTCTGTTATCGGAAGCATAGACTAGGTTGGGAGATAAGCAGTTCGAATTTCTCCCAAAATTTCGTCAGTTTCCATTCAATACGCATTTCGTTCGGACTGACGAATAAATACCAAATTGTAAAAAAACATTTTTTGGCTTTTACTCAATATCAGCGACATGAAGTTGATAACTCGATTGATAGGCTTTCTGGAATCCAGCTCAAATGTTTGCTTGCTCTTATGGATGACTTTATGTGTGGTGATCTATGCCTTTCTGCCGGATAGTCCTCGTTTTGTGGCCCAGCAGGAGATCCCGGTGGATCTGAGCAGTGCGTACAGTGAAGATCCGCAACAGTTGATCGATTTGCACAATTTTAAATATGTTATTGAGCAACCTTCGTGTGCGTCCTATGTCCAGGCGCTCATCATGGTGCACTCGGCGCCAGGCAACTTTGAGAAACGCTCAGTGATACGTCAAACCTGGGGTCAAGTGTCGGCTATAGCCCCTAATTCCCCACTTCGTTTCATGTTCCTTGTCGGTGCCGTTGAGCACTCTGAGCTGCAGTCGTCGCTGCTGGCGGAACACGCGCTCCACAACGACTTGTTGCAGGGCAACTTCTTGGATGGCTACTACAATCTCACCTATAAGCATGTGATGGCACTTAAATGGTTTCACACTCGCTGCGAACAAGCGCAGCTGCTGGTCAAAGTGGATGATGACATTTTTGTCAATACGCCGCAGCTGCTGCAGCATCTAAGCCATCCATTCTCACCAGACAATCCACTCGCCATTCATCCCTCTCAGCAGTTGCTGCTGTGTGCCATCAATAAGAAGGATCGTGTGGCACGTTCATATTCCTCCAAGTGGCGTGTCAGTTTTCGGGAATATTCTGGTCGTTACTATCCGCCCTTCTGTCCGGGCTTTGCACTCTTCTACTCCTCGGAGGTAGTCAAGCGCCTCTATATGGCTGCTCAACGCTCCAACTTTTTTGGACTGGATGATGTTCTAATTACCGGCCTACTTTCCAAGCGCTGCAATATCACCTTAACAGATCTCACGTCTTACGTTCTATATCCGGATAAATTAAAGCTACTGCTTAATGGACGCTGGGAACCAGAACAGTTTTTGGTTTCCTGGCACAAAATGTCCTCGCAACAATTATTTGGACTGTGGCAACTGTATGGCTTAGCTAATACAACAAACACAAGGGCATAAAAACATTGCGAGGCGCTAGACCACATGGATCTCTCAACAAATGATCTTGTAAACAAATATATAAATTTTAACACTTGATATAAGGTTCACTTATGTTAATATTTATATTTTGATTGTGCAATATTTGTATATAAATATCAGTGAAAGGCTTTCTAATCATATTAATCTACATTAATTTAATAATAAATAATTAATAATAATAATAGCTTATAAATCAGCATATGCTGTACCTATTAATGTTATTTCTTAAAACTATATATACATATGTCGAAACATTTAAATAATTTTTCTTGAAATTCGTTTGCTTAACCAACACTTGCCCACTGCGCGGCTAACGTAAACACCAGATGTTTTATCAGCTGTGTTGTGATTCAGTGTTGTTAAACGTTTGCATTTGCATGATGAAATGGAGCTAGTTAGTTCCATTTATATTTTACCAGCTCACGAACGAATGCGAATATGCGCATAAAATAATAGTGCAAAAAATAGAAACAAAACCATAAAAGAACATTTGCAAAATGTCTGTGCTGCGTTTTCTAGTAACACGACAGGCGCTGGCAACGCTAACAAAGCGTTCAATAGTGCCGGCGCTACAAAGCTGTCGCCCAATAACATCCTTGGTCAACAACTACAACAGCTACACACCGATTTTCGCAGCAAAAGCAAATGGAATTGCGACACAAACGCAATGGCAACAACAACAACAAACGCGCGGTCACAAGCGTTTTGGCCATGGCAAGGAGCACACACCTCGGATAACCAAATATTTTCATTTTATGGTGCTCAGCTTATTTGTCATCTCTGTGCTGGACTGGGGCAAGTAAGTACCTGCCGAGTCTAATCAATAAATATCGTTTAATGTGTATTTTGATCTATTTATAGAGTAAAACGCTTGCTCGTGCCGAAAGTGGACGCCGATGCGGGTCAGCGTCCATCTGATGCTGCCGGCGTGAATGGCGAAAGCCGCTCTGACAGCGACAGTGATGAGTCGGACGACGATGACGCCCGCCTGAATCCGCACGATGGCAAAAAAATTAAGGAAAAAGTTGGTTTTCGCGAGCGCAAGGTATGCGATATATAAGTCGACGCTATCCTGAAGTCTTTTCAAATCGTTTATGACTATAAAATGCTGTATCTATAAAAATGTACTTATTCACTTAAGTTTACTTATGCCTTTCGTTTCTCTTTATGTTTGCCCGTCAAATTTTCTGTTGCCATAACACACCACAAACATCATCAACATGAAAACACAAATCATAGATTATTGAGTACGAGAATCGTATCAGACAATTCTCAACGCCAGACAAAATATTTCGGTACTTTGCCACGGTGCGTCTACAGGATGCCACACAGACAATTGTATGCATGACCCCCGAGGACTTTTTGCGCTCTATCTATCCGGGCATTAAGCAACCAGATGGTAATTGTGTTATAGGCTTATTTAGATTGTAAATACTAACACGAACTGATCATAACAGCGTCGCAGTTTTATGTTGGCGTCAGCGCTTAGTTTTTCCATTTCTGTTCAATTTTCAAATTCTTCTGCCTGCACTGAATGCGTTTCGATCGCACTAAGCTAAATGCCAAATCAAAACTAAAAATTAATTGTAATCTTCCTGAACGCTTATTGCTTAGATCATTGAGTATGAGAATCGCATCAGGCAATTCTCGACGCCAGACAAAGTATTTCGTTACTTTGCTACCATCCAAGTGCCGGTCGCCGATGATCGCCATGAGGTCTACATGACACCAACCGATTTTTTGACTAGCATGACGCCAGGCATGAAACAACCAGATGGTATGTGGCTTAAAAACCCCTGACCGTATTTCAACATCATTCTCTAAACTAACTAATTGGCCATACCATTTAATAAATAATATTACTAAATAATAGTTTACTTTAACAGGCTTGGGTCTAGATCAGTATCGACGCTATGATCCCAAGGTAAGGAGACTTCTACTTACATGTTCTCCATATTCATTAAATGACTTTTCTTGCAGTCCGTGGGAGAGCAGTTGAATTTGCAACTGGAAAAGAACAGCATATTCTATAAGCTGGGTTCCTATGGCCTCATCACCTTCTCCGATTATATCTTTCTGCTCACCGTACTCTCCAGTAGGTTTATTTGTATTAGCATGAAACTACTCCGATTGTTATACCAAGCTTATGTTAATGTCTCTTGCAGTTTCGCGTCGTCACTTTGAGATTGCTTTTCGGATGTTCGATTTAAATGGCGATGGTGACGTGGATTGCGAGGAGTTCGAGATGGTTGCCACTCTGGTACGTCAGCAGACGAGCATGGGCACTCGGCATCGGGATCATGCGAATACCGGAAATACTTTCAAGGTAATTATGGTTCATACGGACTGTGCTCTGTCTCTCGCAAGAGTTCCGTGCAGCGAACGAGTATTGAGAATGCTGTACTAAACGATTTTTGTATTGTATATTCTCTGTCTTTTGGCTTTAATCCTTTTGAATACGCGTGTCCGTTAAATGCGTGTCTAACTGTGTATATACATACTTCTCCTTTATTTGACTACTAACAGTCCTTGAAGGTACTTTATGTAAAAAAAACGCTTTTAAGCTTTCTTTTTGGCTACCACATCCCACACACATTTTACTCAATTAATAATAGCACCTACTTTTCATAATACCTGCACACGCCCACACCTTTTTTCTATTTGTTAAAATACCTTTAAAAGAGTTGAACTAAAATATTTTCTACATTTCTCAGGGTGTTAACTCAGCCTTGATAACGTATTTCTTTGGTCCAAACATGGACGAGAAGCTGACGATTGAAAAGTTCTTGGACTTTCAAGAGCAGCTGCAACGCGAAATACTTTCGCTCGAATTTGAACGCAAGGAGCCCAACATGGACGGCAATATAACTGAGGCAGACTTTGCCGAGCTGCTGCTCGCCTATGCGGGTTATCCGCCCAAAAAGAAGCAGAAGAAGCTGAAGCGTGTCAAACGACGCTTTCGCGATCATGGCACGGGCATATCCAAGCAGGATTATCTCGACTTTTTCCACTTCCTTAACAATATCAACGATGTGGATACGGCGCTGACTTTCTACCACATTGCGGGCGCCTCAATTGATCAGCAAACGCTGCAGCATGTGGCCAAGACGGTGGCCCTGGTCAACCTGACCGATCACGTAGTGGATGTGGTCTTCACTATATTCGATGAAAACAGTAAGTCTTATAATTTTAATCAGTTGACAATAACTTGAATCTTGACTTTATATTACGCCACAGACGATAACCAGCTGAGCAACAAAGAATTTATTTCGGTCATGAAGAATCGCGTGCAACGCGGCCTGGAAAAGCCCAAGGACACGGGTTTCCTGAAAATGATGCGTTCGGTGTTCAAATGTGCCAAGGAAACCAAGCCCGTACTTTTGGATATTTAATTATCTGTCAGTTACTTGCTTAACGTGGATTCTCGTTTGTTCAGTGTTCAAAACGCACTTCTTAGTCATTTTACCTGCGCTTGCTTCAATTTATTTTTAAGTAAACTTTACTTTAAACGCTTTAGCGCAGTTCTTAACTAACTTTTGGGCTGGTCAACTGTGCATTTTATTTGAGAATTAGATAGTTAATATAGTTAATCGCAAGATGTGCTTTGACTCTTTTTCCACAATGAAATTGAAGGAATTTATTTTATGATTGTTCTAGTTTCAGTTTCCAATCATCAAGTTCAGTCTGACTATCCCAAATTTGGTTTTAAAAAATTCATTTTTCTTGTATAATATAAACAAATTTTTACAAAATATATTGTGCACTTAAAACATTTAAAAATATATAATAATATTTATAATACTTAATAATATTTATGTATAATATATTTTATTGAGTTTTTTTATGCAAACAAATAGATACTAAATCATTATAATTCCAAATTAATATTTATAGTAACAATTATATTGGTGCAGAAAAATATAAAAGGTGTTCAAAGAGTTTCCAAGGTCTGCATCTGTTGCATATGTATTTAAGATGTTGGTGCAATATACTTTAACCATTTTGACTTGGTTTCGAATTGAGATCAAGTTGAAAAGCTATATTTACTTGGATCAATATTCTTTGGCTGGATCAAAATAAAATGGGAAGGCATGCGGTATTTATAGTTAAATAGTCGTGAAATTATAAATAGTAATTTGAATAAATACACTAGAATTAAAAAATTAAGATGAAAATGGAGACTATAGAGCTAATCCCAGTATATGATTGGCTCTAATTTCGCATATAACACCACAGACTCTTATGAAATAGAAAAGTTGCTTGAACAACAAAAATCTTATATCAATGCATTAAGTAAATCCCAAGTTTATTAATGATAAACAGGTTAACGAATAGAATTCCAATGCAGAGGCTTGGTTCAAACTCACTCAAGAAAGGATCAGTTGCTCGAAATAATTTGGAATTGATATGCGAAAGCAAAGCTTCTGTGATTGAAACCGTAAGTAAATGTATTCCAGAAACTGAAAAATGTTTTGTAATATATATAAAATACATATATATATATATATATATATATATATATATATAATATAATATAATTTAATAGAATAAGCTTAGAGCAATTATAACAAAAATTAATTAATAATGAAGGAATTATGCCAGCATCTGGAAATTCGCTTGCTCAGTACAATAAGTGCTGGAATGCAACATGTTTAACAAATGGAATGTATATATCTATATATAAGTGTTGTCATGTTAGGCCACGTCTACGTCCTGATCCTCATCATCCAGATCATCGACACTTAGGCCATACAGCTCCAGGTCGTGTTGCTTCAGGTGCTCCGTATATGCATCCAGTTGGGTGAAACGTAGTTGGCACTCGCAGCATTCCAGCCAGTCGTCCAAAGAGCTGTCGCCATCGCCGCTGTCCGGTGATCTTTGTCTGCTACGGCTACGTGACTCCGTCTCTAGCTGTGTATCCTGTCCGTGTGTCGCCTTGTGCTCCATGTAGTGCAGATAGTCTTGATACTTGGCGGGACATCGCAGGCATTTGTACCAGCGATCGCGCACGTGGGTCACCATATGCTTCTTGAGCGTGGAGCACTCCCGGAAGGGTTTGCGGCACTTGCTGCAGCTGAACGGCTTCTCGCCAGTGTGGATCATGTAGTGGCGCTTCAGATTGTGGCGTGTGCCAAAGGGGCGTTGGCAGAGCGGGCAGGGATATGTGCGTCGATTGCGTGATACTCTGGCCAGACGCTTTGGTGCCACATCGTTGCTGAGCGAGGATGAGGAGTTGGCGCTGCTGCAGCTGCGTGGCAGCGGAGGACGTGTTATGGCAGTCAGAGTGACTGCAGGTGGGGCAGGTGGGGCTGGCGTAAGTACTGGTGGTGCGGCTACCAGCGTTACCATCAATGTAGGCGGCAATGTGGCAAGTGGCAAAGAAACAACTTCGTTGTCAATGTGATTCTCCTCCTGCAAGAGCTCTTGATCCGTGTCCTGCTCCTGCTCCTCCTCTGGCTCCAGCGCTGTCTCAGTCTCATCAGTCGGCTCCTTTTCAGCATCCCCAGCATCACAGTCCTGCGGCCCCAACAACAGATTCTTGCCCTCGCATTCCACACAGCGCGTAGAGTCCTGCTCCATGGGCGCATGCACACGACAGATCATGCATATATAGCGCGGATCATTAATATGTCGTCTGCGATGCTTCTTCAAATCACTAAACTCCCGGAAACGCCGCTCGCACAAATCACAAGGAAACGGACGCTCACCTGTTTGATGGAGAGAAAATATTAATTAAAGGCTTATTTCTTTAGCAAGTTATATTTAGAGTATTATTGAGATCCTTCAATCTAGTTTTGATTGTAAGAAAATTATATGAGATAGTGGATAAAATGATCTGGTTTCTGCTTAAAAATAGTCAAAATACTTTTGAATATTTCCCACAAAAAATAAATACTTTGTAAAAAATTCACTGAATAAAAATCTAATTTAAATATATAAAATATCAACTAATCGTTGAGGAATTTATATAAAAGTTCTTGTTAGACTCAAGGGACAACTAAATAAAAATATAGAAAAAAGTTTTTAACTAAAATTTGTATTAAATTAACTTTTAAATCACTAAATTTTCATGTAACTTACAGAAACAAAAAATGAAAATATTATGCTTAAAAATTAAATATAAATTTGTTGAAATTTTCTACAGTTTTCATAGATCTGAGACTCAAAGTTCTTCTAAAATACGATTCTGAAGTAAAACAGGAAAAGTTATCCCAAGTAATCACTTTGTTCGCCTGCTCTCCCCTCATGTTGGCTAAATTTTCTCATTCCAAGCCACGCCTGTTGCACGATTGCTGCTCTCACCTGTGTGTATCATCATGTGACGACGCAGATTATAATTGGACTGCACCTTTTTGCCGCACGCCTGGCATTGATAGAAGTGCCGACCGCGTCGCTTTATATATGGTCTCGGCGAGCGTTTGCGGGTAGCTGATTTCGTGAGTTGTTTCTCTTCGTCATCCGATGGCAGTTCAATGACTTGGGCTGGTGGTTCCTCCAGCTCACAGGTGACATCCGCCAAAGGTAAATCTTCAACATTTGTTTCCTTGGGTGTCTCCGCCAACTCTTCAGTCTCGCTTTCGCTGTCGCTTAGCTCAATCCTGGCCACGATTCGATGGTGCCGCTGCTTCAGTTTCTTTGCAATCCGCTGCTTATCCGTCATCGGCCGTTTCTCTGGCTTTAAGCTACGGACTGTGCTAATCAACATTAGCGACGGCGGCTCCGCACTTCCCTCATCATCATCCAGCAGCTCGATAATTTGTGGCTGTTGCTGCTGCTGCTTCAGTTGCTGCTGCTTTTGCTGTTGATCTTGCTGCTGGCGTCGCAGCTCTTGTTGCTGCTGGCCGATTTGAAATAGCAGGCTCTTAATCTTGGCGTCGTCAATGGACACAAAGTTCTCTTCTGGCTCTTGGTATTCATAGTTCACAGGATCTGATGGCAGCAGTTGGCAATTGGTGTCGCAGCAAGCAGCATCGCAGCAGCCGGAAGCAGCGCAGCAAGCGTTCGCTGCGCTGGCGCAGTCGCTGCAGCAGTCAGCGCAGCCAGCGGACGCTAGCTCCATGCCCTGACATGGACAAACAAAGGAATTGAAAATACACAGTGTGAAAAGTGTGAGAGAAAGAGAGATAGAGCGAGAGAGAGACAAGGAGAGGAAGAGAGCTTTTGCGCCTGTGCATATGCTATGCTTATTAAGCTAATTGCCATTCACATCCTTGCGCGAACGTCAATAACAAAAACAATAACATACCTTGCCGCAATACATTAACAATCCGTAAACAATTTGCAAGAAAAAAATCAAAAAAAATTAAAAAGAGGGAAAAGTAATTTGTGACTGGCGCTGCTTTTTTGCCGTGGCTGTTTCGCGTTGTTAGCCGAGGCCGAGTGAAGAAGAAACTGGATTCGCAGTTCGCTTGCCCGGGCTCAGCAACCTCGACAAACGCCAAAAGTCGAGTTTCAGTCGGCCCGCTGCCTCGCCTCTGTTGCTGCTCAGACTGAATCAGCGAAGCGAAGCAACAACAACAAGCAAAAGCAACACCAGCCCCAGCAACAAAACAACGAGCGCAACAGGCAAGACGACATCGACGTCAGCGTCAACGCCAACGCCAACGTCGGCGCGCGCTGCAGGCTTTTTATTTTTAATGCACGCGCATATTGAAAACAACAACAAAAAAGACCAAATAGCTTTGGCGACCCGGCAAGCTGCTCCTCTTTGGCTTTGCCCCTGTCCCCGCCCACACTCTGTGTCGTTGCGTGCGTTGGCTGTTAACTTGATTTTTCTTCAGGCGCTCACAGCACCAAAACCAAAACGAAAAACAAAGAAAATGCGCAGGGCGAACTATAAGCAAGGCCCCAAAGAAACGCAACAACTACAACAACAACAACATCAGCAACGATCGCGGACAGTGAGAGCAAAAAGAAACCAGCGAGCGTCGCGCGAAACTCAACTCACGATTTTCAAGATTACTTCGAGCAGCAAACGGCGAGCAGTCTAGCAGACGCCGACAATATCGGGGAGAGAAGGAGGCAAGCTCCATTAAAGCACGACCGAAGCGAAGCGAATCGTGGCAACAACAACAACAATTCAACCAACTCGACGGCGACAACAACAACAAGAACAGCAGCCACCACAGCAGAAGTAGCTGCCGAGCAGCGCGAGCTCCGTGCGCACAAGAAATGTCTTGTTGCTCTTTTTCCTTTTTTGAGCAACAACAAAAACCACAGAGTTTAATTATTTGCGATGTGCTGTTTTTGTTTTTTTATTGTTGTATGTTCATTTTATTGTTAGGTCGCTGGCGTCAGCGTTGACGTCGGCATCGCTGCCATCGTTGTCAGTAAAAACCTACGCACACAAGTACTCAAGTGTGTGTGCATGTATGTTTGTAGTGGCTGTATCAGCCTTTGGATAGTGTTGTGCAACGGCACAAAAGAGAGGCCCTTTTACACATATAAACATACATACAGGTATGTATATATGGGCTGGCATGCCTATCGCTCATTTGTATGTATTTAGCGTGGGTGGTTGGTTCTGATGGTGAGCTGATCGCACGTCACACCAACATCAACTGCCATTCCTTCGTTTTCACCTCCACTCGCCTGACGGCCGAGCAATGCGATCGTGACTGAAAGTACAAATCAACTGTGAAACTTGTTTTAAATCAGCGTCACCCATTCGCCCCCAGCCTGGGCAGCGCGCAAATAAACTCTTGAGTGCCTGCCAGTGGCTGGGCTAGGCGAGCAGAGCAATGCTCGGCCAGTTTGTTCGAACTTTTACTGAGCCAGACGGACGCACATACACATAGACTTATGCATGCGAGCACACACACACACACACACAAGCCCATTCGCTGCTGTAATTATATCAGAGTATCATAATACTAAAAATAAATATTTGCCCATAATGGGTTAGCTTATTAAAAATAAATATAAAATTCAAATTACCTAGTTGATTGAGCATTAAAAAAAATATATGTAGGTCCATATATTTTTTTAATGCTCAATTAAAAAAGTTCTGAAATTTAAAAAAAAATCGAATCTTGCTAAAAAAAAATATTTTTATCAAATCTGATCTGAAAAATAATTAAAATTTTGTTTTATCAAATGCATGTTAAAAATTCTCATTTACCATGTGTATCCACAAAAGGCAGAGTTTTGTCTTCGTTCTATTGGAAAAAATATTGTTTATTATGTTTTTGTTTTCATTTTAAAATAACATTTTGAAGCTAAATATTTTAAATTCGCATACGAAGATAGCTAAATCGTAAGACAAATTTGTATATAATATCGGTTATATCGGATATCCGTCCGTTATAAATCGATCAAATTTCAAACGCGGCATATACATATATAAGAAACATATTTGGCAAAATTGGATTGGTACTATAATCTAAGCGGGCTAATAACTAAGTGTACCGTAAATAGGGCTAAATATACCTAAGTATATATATATATTTGTATATATATGTATATAGTTATATTAAAAAAATGTGGTGTCTATTTCATAAGTGTGTATATCATATATCGAAACTGCATGAGACATACACGCTTAAGGGATGGGGATACGGATCAGGGATCGGGTTCATCGGATTGCGCCATAAACATATCAAAACACAAACGTTGCTAACAGTATATGAAGATGTACAGGATGATATTGAATAGTGCGGGCAGGTTATAATGATGATATGCAAATATATAAACGATCTGGCATTAAACAACTTAATTATGTACATTACTTAAACCTAAGGCGAACTAAATAAAGCTCGGGACATTGGGTGGGTGCTGGGTTAGAATAACGCTTGATTGGTGCCATCATAAGAGCTACGTATATAACTAGGTGGTAGCGGCATATACAAATTAGACAGGGTAAAAGCGGCTGCAGGTTATCTATGGTACAGTGCGATGTTTGGGATCGCTTAAAGCTTTTGCTGCACATCCTGTTTGCTGGCCTTGCTGGTCTCCAGAGATGTGCCCAGCTTTTCATGGTTAACTATGAACTTCTTGGCCCCGGAGAAGCCCTGCTTGTTGATGTAGAAACTCTTCTGGGCAAGCGGAGAGCAGCTGTCGTCGACAACCAGTCGATTTAGAAAGGTGGCCCCCGTCTTGGCGCCACTGTCGCACGAGGATGATTCAATGCTGATGGTGGAACAGCCACCAATCGATGACGTCTCGCTCTTGGCATCATCCATTAACGTGGCATCGTCCACCATATCATTGACCAGCAGTTGGGGACCACCGAGCGCACTGCTCGACGAGGCCGTCGACAATATGGATGAGGTACGACTGCGACAAGTGTTTGTCTCACTTTCCGGTATAGAGATGCCTTCGTCGATGCTCTGACTTTGACTGCCGCCCGCCAGACATATGCCATCCAGTCCATTCCCAGGCAGAACGCTGCTGGGCGAGGCGGACACAGGTGAGGGGCAGCCACTGCTGCTGCTGTTGTTATTACCGCCGGCATTGTTGTTTGTGCATAGCTTCGATATAAACAGCTTCGGCGTAATGCGCCCGTCATAGGTGCCCGAGTCGGGGCTGGGGCACACAGACGAGGGCGATTGGCACACAGGTGATGAGCCGCGACTGCAAGAGATAAGAGTTTAAATGTTTTAGAAAAAGGCATATCTGATCCCATTTAATGTTTATTTATGATCCACTTTACTACCTGGTACGATGTTAGTGAAGCGACTTACCTATCAGTGAAGATCTTCTTGGGCGGCGGCGGGGAGTAGACGCTCCAGTTGCTGACGCCTGGATTATTGTCCTCCAGCTCGAATTTACGCTTGACGGGCGCCAGAGATGATGGTCGCATCGGAATGGGTGACATGGAACGCCGTGTGGCGAACGTGCGACGCGTCGGCGAGGGTGAGTAGGGCGGACGTATGCCGGCGCGATTGCTGGTGGGACTGGGACTGGAGCAGCTGGTGCTATTGCTGCTGCCAGTGGGCAGCATCGTCTGCAGCGGATTGGAGAGCTCATCCGATTTGCATGACCAGTTCTCTGTCACCAGTGTGAGATCCTCCCAGCTCTGTGAGATTTGAATTTCGCGATGCACCTCACGCTCATGGTTAACTTCGCGGCTATTTAGATCGGCACATTCTTCCTGCCGCAGCTGCGAGACGCGTGGCGTCAGGCACAGAGTTGCACCCAGGCTGCCACCAGCACCGTTCAGCGCTGGACTGTAGCTGGCCGAGTAGCGACGCGCACGTGGCGTAAATGGATTGAACACCGGCGCCGGCGAAACTTCCCGGGAGTTGGGCTGCGAGCGTATGTGTATACTTTTGCCAAAGCAATCAATGCCTGCGCCAGAGCTCAGGCTGAAAGTGGAGCAGATGCTGCTGCCACAGGAGTCGGTGCGCTGCTGCGGCTGTTGCTTCTTCTTTGGTGTCTGCTCTTTGGCAGCCGCGGCAGCTGCTGCGGCGGCGCGTGTAGTCATGGGCGTCGGTTTACCCGGCAACGTTCGTATGATGGGCACGCTGACGCACCGCTTAAGCGTCTTGGAGCTGGAGTTGGTGGTGCCGCTGGGCGGGGCCTCGAGCGTATCCATAGGCACAGAAGTTGCATTGGCCTCTGTCTCGGCTGGCGTCTTGCTGGGCTGCTCATCGTTGCTGCCGCTGCTGCTGTTGCTGCTGCTGCTGCTGCTGCTAGCGTTCGTATCCATTGAAACGAGTCTATAAATAAAAAACTATGTATTTACTATTTTTTGCTATGTGCTGCGGGCTGCTGACGCTTACGCTGTGGGTATTTTTATGTTTCGTGGGTTTCAGTTGATACAAAATTGCTTGTCAACACACACACACACAAACATACACACACATTTATATATATATTTATATATACATATATGTATTTATATAGTTACTACACAACACACAGAAAAACAACAACACACCAACTACACACATTTGGTTCTTGCTCGCTCACTCGCACTCAGCTGGCGCTGGTTCAGTTTTGGGTCGTTCGGTTCACTTGGGCAGCTCATGTACTACATGTGGCGCAGTTTGCTTACAGATCTAAGTTAGGATTTGCCTAAAATTCTCATACGGTCGCTACTATAGCTCGGCAATGCTGTCGACGTCGGCGCCGTCGTCGTCGTCAGCGTCACCGTCGCATCTTGTCAATCTTTTTTCGCAGCAACTGCGTGCGTTGCGAGTAGCAACTTTTTGCTGGCTTTTTACACCGATTATTCGCAATCAACGCATGCAAATGTTGGTCAAATTAGATAGGCAAAAGTTTGTGGCATCTTTTGTTCTATCTTTGGTGGCCTAATAACTTATCTTAATGCTTCAATTTACTTACAAAGTTATGTCCTGTAATTACAATTTTCTGCAGCAGTTTTAGTTTTTTCTTAGTGTTGAGTAACGGTTTCAGTGAGGTCGCCAGGCACGTTCAGACATTAGTGTAAATTCAATGAAAGCATTGAATAAAATAATGCTTTCTGAGTAAACGTGTCAATAATTTGAGTCATTCAAATTACAAATATATTTCAAAATAGACTCTTTTAATGGACAACTAACTAATTTTGTCGACAAGTGTTTGTTAATAAAATGCGTGGCGTCATTGTGATCGAAACTGACTGACGAGTCGCATGCCTATGCTTGACCAGCAATACGCTTTGTTCTGACGCTGTGCAACACTAAGCGCGCGCGTATTTTTAAAATGTGTTGAAACGCAACGTGACGCCGTGTGTGTTTAATGACTATGCGCATATTATTGAAAACGCAATTAAAAACAGATAGACATGTAATATATATATATTTTTACTATATGCGAAACTTAAGAAATGGTCGCACTTATATGTGTATAAGCTAGATCAGTAATTTGGTTTTAAACTTAATAAAAATCACAACTAATTATAATAACACACTCAGAGATGCTTCATAAAGTTCGCATAAACTAATCTATGCTTTAAATAATATATATATATATTATGTATTAGTAATGCAGAACTTATATAGTTTTTTCCAACTTAATGAATTTATAATACTTTTCTTTTTTTTCATTATTATTTTGTTGTTTGCTATTGCGTAATTTCCATGGATGTTCTACAGCTAAATTACATTTTAAGTTAATTTCTTTGTTAGTTGACGCCTGTTCCTTTTCTTGGATTCTTGGATTTATCTCCTTGGATGGTATTCATTTGCAACAATTGAAATCGCTTACATCTTACTTGAGGAAATAAAATACGAAATGAAATCAATAGTCAGTATAAGCATCCTACAACTATTTTGCAGTATCGTAATGAGCGGTGTATATGTAAATGGAAATCGAGTTGCATTCTTTTAGTTGACTAAGTTGGCAAACGCATGAGCTGCTATCGCGAGCGGCGGGGTTCTTCAGTTGAGACTGTTTCCTTAGCCATCGGCCAGAGCGGGCGTTACCCAGCCATACTTCTCGTGTGTTTTGACCAGTGACCGGAATGACTCCTCTGCTTGGCGACTGCAAAAGTTAAAAATAAACAAAAAATCAATGTTGTAATTAGAAATAAATTGAATCACGTCAATTGTGTACACCAAGGACGCACCGACTAAACTCCTTTGTACTTTTCGGTTTGCGCGCAATTCGACCCTGACCCTTAACCACGCTGGCTGCAAACTGCATGATGACCGCCTCGACGGTATACGCGCTGGCCCAGCCCCTCGGTGTAAGCAGTTCCATGCATATGGCGCCACCCTCCATCACGTAACCCTTCTCGATGCGCGGCTCCACAACGCGCATAAAGGGCGGCGCAAAGGGGAAATTGTCGGGAAAGCTCAAATGCAACAGAATGGCCGGCACATTCATCTCAACCATGTCGCTGGCCAACGGCGAATCCGGATCGATGACATGCAGACGCACATGCCACTCAAATAAGCTGTCATTGAGTAGTTCCACCTGAAAGAGTTGAGATGTGGGAATTATATACGTGTTCTAGCTGATAGTAAAAATAATAATAAAATAATCAAATAATAAAGATGCTGACGTTTATGAACTGACTTTCAATTATAATTGGACTGATTAGTCCATTAGCGTCTGCTAAACGAGTTGTCTTACTATTTATTTCATGAAGTTAATCTGGCGGATACATTGGATATATGATCAGATCTAATAAGGCTATACAATAGCAATAACAATAATAGCCATGTAACTTAACTAAGTCCACAATATTCTAGGATTCTATGCAAAGATTAGGGTAGATCCTCAGCTTTACAAAATTTGTGATTCTTCTTCAATTAATAGCCCTTGGCTCAAGCTAAATATACATATACTAAAGTCATACTCTAAACTAGTTTTCTATATGTTCCAGGATCTTTAACTCTTCAGCTCTGTTTGGCATTACCGTAAAAACTGCATCGTTTTTGGTCTGCAGGCGTTCCATTTCGCGATACTCCTTCATCAGGCGACGCGAGCGTATGGAGGCATCAGGCGGCATCAACAGCGAGCGTCCTGCAGCGGGCGCCACTCTGTAAGAGGTGCAAAGTTAAGAATGAATATATATAAGACTATTTTTATACTTTATACTATCAATTACTTGTGATCCTGACGACGACGTTTGCCCGGCGATTCGCACACTGCCTGCTCGGCGGCTACGCGCACGATGGCGTTCTTTGGACTTAGCTGGGCAGCTGTGGCGGCACCAGGTGCAGCAGCAGCTGCAGCCTCGCTTGCTGCTCCAGCGGCTGCACCACCGCTGGCTGCGGCCGCAACATCAACATTGCTGCTGCTGTTGTTGTTATTATTGTTGTTGTTGTTCATGCTGCTGGTGCTGTGCTCTGGGCCATCGGTCTTATCGCAGCTCTTGTCGTTGCTGTTGCTGCTGTGGTTGTTGTTATGGTTGTTGTTGTTGTTGTTATTATTATTATTGTTATTGTTGTTGTTGTTGCTGGACTTGTGGAAGATCTTACGAATCGCGGTAACAACTCTCTCTTTGGAACGGGATGACATTTTTGCGGTGTTCTTTGTTGTTTTCTTTCTAACGGTGGAATTTATTTCTAATTACAAGTATTCTTTTTGGAGTGCGGGTATATATATATATATATCTATATATATATATATATATATCTGTGTGGGTATCTCTTTACTGTGTGTGTGAGCGTAATGTTTGGTCAGTCTTCTTTATATAAAAATTGTTTGTGCTGCAAGTAGAATAAGAAATGAATATTAAGTTTTGTAATTGGAACGTTTGGTAAATTATTAGAAAATGCTATAAGTCTAGTCTGGCTGCGCTGCTAAGTGGAAAACTTTTGTTTGCACTGGAAATTGTAGCCGTAAAATTAATCTACATAGATGCACATATTCCATAGCATATTAAAAATAAAAACGTCCCTGACCTACGCCCATTTCGTGTGACCTTGGAAGAGATAATAAAAATTATTGGCCTGGCTGACTGCGCGAATACTCTGCAATCGTTACTCACTAGACTAGGCTCGGCTCGGCTCGGCTCTTATCTACTTTGTTGTAGCTATTCTCAAATGGATTTTGTGCCGTATCTAAAGAGCACATATGAAAACGTTTTATTTATGGATCTCTGAAGATTATCTCGTTGCTCCAGCTCTGGCACAGGGTAACAAAGAGACACTTCACACTGACTGCTATACATACAAAACACATCCACAGCAACATCCTTGACAACATTCTCCACGCTTGTAAAAACAACAGCAATAAAAAAAAAACAAAATACATATATATTTATATATATATATATATATGTATATGTATGTGCATATGTATATGTGAAATATTCGCAGCCAACTATGAGAGAAGCAACAGCAACAGCACAATAACAACAAAAGCTCATAAAGAACAACACAAAAGGAATATAGAAAAAGTGGAAGTAGCGACTAGGCTATACCCTATAATAAGTGCAAAGCTCAAGTTTTAAATATCTAAAATTTCTCTTTACATTGTATTTTTATGTATATTTGATTAGAGATTTGAGATAAAAACTTTAGTTATTTTTTAATTCAAAATTTAGAAGTTTCCTTTAAATTTTTTTGGTTTTCCAGTTCTTTGCATTCAATGAGCCAGTTTTGATGTATCTAAAGTCTTCTAAGCTTATGCAATATTTTCGTTAATTCAGCAGCAATATAAAATGTATTCATTAAAATTATAAAATAAATTTAGAATCAGGATTTAGGTTAGCATATGAAAAACTGGCTTTGGCACTGGCCTTAAAACCGTAAATCTGAGCAGCTAAAATATTTCTAGGCTTGCAGCTAGCTTAATACAAAAAGGAATATCAAATTCTTATTCATTTTCTGATTTTTCTTTTTTGCATATTAGTACATATAATGGAAACAGTAGAAGAGGCATTTCGTTATGTTCATAACAACCTACATTTTTTAGTGAAACAACAACGGCGCATTCACACTTGACTAGATTGACACATCTCATTAAGCTCCTCAAGCATATTTATTTATATTTTTACTTATTCCTTTGGAAAGCAATTTTGGTGCCTAAACTCAAACCAACAAACTCTATTATTTTGCTCAATTTGAATGGATATGAAAAACTTATTGCGACGCAGCCAACAGCCAACAGCCAACAGCCAGGCGGGTGGCTTGTGGGCTGCCGTGTGGGGTACACGAAGGACCACAAGAGTGGGGGCTTTTAACTTTTATGGCAAAAAGTTTTTGGGGCCACGCGCATGGCAAAGTGGATGCTGTGTGTGTGTATGTGGGAGGCTGCTAGCTGTGCTTACATTTGCAGTATAAGGTTGCCAGCTAAGGTGTTGACCATGGGGCCTAAATTGTTCCACTTGCGCATAATTAGCCGTTGCTGAGGAAACGAGCAGCAGGTGGAAACTAGGGTTCAGCTTGCAGCCAGGCCAAAGCGCCAAATGGCCAAGGGCGGCATTTGGTATAATGCTTTATATTTATGATTATTATATTGCTGTTATAAAATGGACAACCATGAGGTTAATTTAGAGGACGAGCCACTGAGCGACCTGATACTGAGGCAAGCACATAATTTACCCTAATTTAGGTAGATAACAGTGTGAGCAGATTAACAAAGATAATTCAATATTTGAAGAAAATTAATTTCAAGTTTACTTCGACTTATTCCAAGCACGTACTCTGATATTTGTGACAAGGAAAGGATAATAAAATGACAGCCAATAATACCTAAATTTTTACAAGTTAACAAACTGCGCATCTTTGCAACTTTTTTTCTTAAAGGTTATTTTCAAATGACTTGAAGTTGCCACCAATTTGTAGCAAATTAAATCAGCATCTGAACTGTTACACTTGCCATAGGTTGTCTGTAGCAAATTATGATTGATTGATAGATGTATCGCTAGACAGGGCAAAGCTCTCTATGGTCAACAGATGCCATTAGCAAGTCAGATGGACTACAACGATGGCCACGACACATGCGAGCTGAAAGTCGACTATTAATAGCACACAAAACTCATTAAGAGCTCCCTTGATTGAGAGAAGGAGAGGAGTTCAGTTGAGGTCTATATCGATTCACGGCTGATTGAAAATTTCCTGTTCAACGACTATTTATAGATTGTTGCAAGTTTTACACTTTTGCTTTCAGCTGGTTGGCAAAAGAGAAAACTGCTAAAAGGCATCGAGGCGCCAGACCAGACCAGACGACAAGGAAACAAGTTCTCTACATGGAAGCCACAAAGCACAAGCTGGAGAAATGCTGACTAAGGCTGGCCAGACATTTCGGTATTGTCTTAAGGCATCCAGCTGCGATGGCAACTGAGCCATGTCATTGGATACAAATTAAATAAACAGTTCTGATAAGTAAATGAAATTGAACTATATTGAAGCTATTTGACAGCTCTAAAATAATGGGCGACAAATCGACTCGCCGATTGGAAATTCGAGCTATGAGTGGAATGTTAAACGCACATTTAATCTTATCGGTCTGTGCGAAAATCGATAGGGCCTCCCTGCTACACGCCTGACCTATCCCTACGAGATATATAAATAATACCCTTGGCATATTAATGATAATTTTAGATTATACACATACAGCGTTGAGGGTGGGCAAATGGCACTCATAAAATCTATTCCAGGCTAATAACAAAGTGGCAGCGTTGAAAGCAATGCTATAGTTAAATTAGCTTTTAATTGAACTGTTCAATTTGCAGTGACATTGAGCTCGCATACAGGGTGCTTTGAACAATGAGATGTAATGCTGAAGTGTAAAAAGGGCCAGTTTATAAAAATATTATTAAGTTTTCTGTTTCCAAGCAACAATTAAATGGGCCATCTTATATGAAGTATGCGCAGATTGGTTTGTGCACTAATTGAGCACCATGGTCGATAGTTAATCGATTAATGAATATATCGGTAAGCAAAATATGTTCAAAATAACCAGTAGATCAAATTGATGCGTCTAACAACACTATTAAATTGCCAATTGCTTCTTTAAAGCGTGGGAATATCAAATAAAACAAAAGCAATGCACAAAACTATGTATGTATAGTATGTGTGTACATAAACCTATGGCTGGTATTAACAACTTGCCTCGCAGCACTTATTGTTGTTGCACAGACATGCAAATGCGCCGCTGTTGTTGTTGTTACATGCAAATCACAAGCGCAAGCACACGAAACAACGTCATAATGCTGGCAAGCAAACACGAAATGAAAAACAAAACAACGAAAAAAAAACGTTAACCTATAAAAACTATATCTGCCGTAACTTCCTTGTGCACTCGCATATATTTTGCATAATATTGATTTTTAGTTGCAGTTTATAGCAAGTTTTAATTGCAATTTAAGTGTTATGCAAATAATTCGTATACGCATTATTTATCAACACTGGTACCGGTCAGCGTGTTACCCATACTAAAGCACACTTATTAAAAGCGCAACGGAGCACTATTGTCCGCTGCTATGCGTGCGAGAAACTAAGAGGGGGATAGAGACTGCGGCACTGCGAATGAGAGTGAGAGTGAGAACGAACTAGGCATTTGTTTGCTTGCTCAACATTTTCTTTGTTTGCCTTTGACAGTGAATTTTTTTTTGCGTTGCACTTTGCGCCTGTCATGGCAATCAGTTCTGCTGCTGCTGCCACGAGCCGTCGTGCTGGCTCTTTCTAACCCCCTCAATCAATCACTCCTACACATTGAGCATGCCTGCATTTTCTAAGCTTGTGTGTGTGTGTCTGTGAGTGTGCTTTTTGCCATTGTTCTACTTGCTCATTGGCTGCCATTCCCGTTTTGCCTTGTACTGCATGCTTTTATTTATAAATACTGGCTCGGATAATATAAGCTAATTGAATTAAGCATGGTTTAAAATGTGCAAACGCATTCATATTAATCAAAGTGCTTGGCTTCCTGGTCAGTGTTTGGTGACAAGTGAAGTTCGTTGACTTTCGATCGTAACGCAAGAAAGCTTTCACGAAATAGCTTCGATAAGTTCTTTCGTTGAGTTGAATTTCTATTTTGTTGTGCCTTGTTCTACTCAATTGGATATTTTTTAAATACATTCATATATGCTCATAAAAATGAATGGAAAAAGCTCGAGCTCAGTGCTTAACATTGACCTTGATGTGCGTCTATTTATCACTCCATAGCTGAAGTCGACTTCTGCGCAGGCATTTCATTTATGTTTATATTATTTGAATTCCGTTTTGGCACGTAGAGGCAGCCGCAGCGCCCGAAAGCAGGCAACGCAATATGCCTTTTTATGTATATTATTTTTTTTTGCTTGCGTCTATTTTGTTTCATGTTTTTTTTTTTTTTGGTGCGAGAAAAGGATGCAAGCTGTGGATGGGTCTCTCGATAACCACGTTACGCGTGTCCTGTGCAAACGGAAGCCATTTATGAAATTGCTTTCAACAAGAGCTACACCAACAACAACAACCACCACAACATGCAGGAGGCTTGGACTTGGGCGACATGCTGACGCGTGTGTCATGTGATGACGGCAATGGGCGGCTGGGCTCGCATTGCTGGTTCGGTTAGTCGGTTAGCGGTTCGATTATGGCCCGTGTCAGCTGGTGGAGTGGTCTGTCTGTCCAATTGGGCCGGCTGTTGTCTAAAGGGCCATTAACGCCGAGATGAGCTGCTAACGGTCTAAGGTGTGGATGGCCAGACAACACATTCTTAGCGCCAAAGCGGAACGGGGCACTCATTAAATCTCTTTCTACACAGTTTCCGGCAATTTTCACTTAATATCTTTCGACTTGACTACATTTAAATTGTATCTGCATCCTAAAAGTGACATAATCTAAGTATAAAACATAGTTGCTATAATTTTCATTGCGACCTCTGCATCTATTGCCATTCGCAGGAAATTCAAGCTCTATCAATGTTCCTGTTGATACACCTGATGACGTCAATTGAGGACAGGAAGGTGAAATAGACAGCAACAACAAAAACAAAAGAATCAGAACTGCAGGTACTTGAAGACACATGCCTGACATATGGCTCATGTTGATGGAAATTGTTTATCACCTCGACTGGGTCGTATATATGCTCATGTAATATTCATAAATTCACTGCACAAAGCAATGAACCTAGTCTAATCGGCGCAGCCTTTTCTATTTATAGTCCTGCCACACATACACAGGTAAACGCGTAGGTGTGGGCGGGAGCATGGTGTCTGTCTGCAGGGCTGGCAATCATGTGCATGCATAATCAATTTACGACTGTGCGAATCGAGAAATTCATTTAGGCTCTGCCTATGAAAGTAAAATCAACTACGATGCAATATTATAAAATGTTTAGGCCAAAAAGCTCAACGTCAACTGATCAACGACGATTTAGATGCACAACGCGTAATGTCAACCCTCATTTTAGGGATTGGGATTATTCACGATGTGCTACCCGGATAAACAATAGTTAGTTGGGAGTACTCCGCAGAGATACCCTGTAAACATGTGTGACTAAAGCAATGATAGAAAGCTCAGCGAATGCTGAAAATGTTTTTAGCATTTTAGCTTATTTCAAATGCGTATTCTAAGTGCTAAAAATAGGTATCTTTGAAGTAATTTAGTTTTACTTTAATCAACTGAAATATTCTTTAATTTTGTTAAATATAAAAAAAGAATCGAAATTTAATTTTAATTTTCATGAATGAAATAAGTTTTATGTTTTTATGTTTCTCTGAAAATAGTTATTATAATCTTTAAGATATGTATATAAATATAATTTTAGATATCTATATATCTCTGTATATGTATTCATATGCCCTTTTTTCTTTATTTTCCCTATTGACACATACCCGATTAACTGTCGCCCCATGCGCTCTTGTAACATATGTCCTCTGTCTGGTTACATCTACTAAGCATTATCATACCCTTTTTTTATTCCCCATTTCATTGGGTACAGCAATATAAACAGTTAGTCAGCAAAAGCCGAAGGCTGTATGCCAGAGGAGTTGGACAACTGTCAGCTGTTGTCATTTCATTCGCACTCGTTCATACATTTCCGCATTCCCCACTTGAAGCGCGTTCGGTTCCATTCATGAATAACACACAATTTGGGACGAACTTTGCCTTCTTGGCGTTGCGTGTGGGCGTCGAGATGTCAGCAGTAAATAGAATTGGCGCATATTCAGACGGTTTATTTTATTTTTTTCCTCTCGAAAATCATTTGCAGGCTTAAGAGCAGCAGCCACAACAACAACTTCGATACAAAGGAACTTAAAAGACAAAAGCAGCAGTGCCAATGCTGCCGAGTCTTACTGAATCTGTGTGGCGCTTGAAGAGCTTCGTTTGAAAAAACTTTTGAATTTAAGCTTTAAGAGGCAATAATTATTAATTCAAGAGTTCAATTAATCTTCCACAGTTTTTTGGTATATTTGAGGTACTTAAAAATGTTTTTTTTTCTAAACTTTTGTTTTAGTATAAATTTTACGTTTTACTTTTATAACTCATTTCTTTGTTTCATTTGGGTCAAATAACAAGTTTTTGCTGACTAATTCGTATTTGCAGCTAAATATATCATATATTGAATCGGGTCACAGTCAAACTTTAAGGCAATAAACCGCATTTGCTTTAACTTTTACTTATTGCGAGCGGAGTTTTAGTTCTTTAGGTCATATAGGGGCCGTTATAGAATTAGAATTGTAACTTTTCAGCATAAACTTATATTTAAATATTATTCATACATATACAGACACATGCACATACACACATAAGTACACATATACATATATGCACTGATAAGAACAGTAAAACTAGGCTACTTACAGCAAGCTGGACCTTGCACAAGTTGCTTGCCTTGTCAACACACAACTTGAGCAATTAAGACATAAGGCGCGCAATCATACAGAGTGGAATCTTGTATATATCATCTAACGTCGGAATGAAAGCTTTCTCATTAGCAAAATCATTTGGCAAAACAAACGCGTAATGGAAGCTTAGCTGTTTTCTTAGATATTAGAGAACAATTCTTCAATGCCGTAATTGCTAGGCCTCAAATTTAATGTTTTCCCTTGTTTCTATTTGTTTAAAAGCTAAGCCCACAAAAGCTTATAGAATATTTAAGAGTACTGTCCAACAGCTTTGAGCCTTGGCCCTCGTCTGTAGCCTTCACAGCCACAAAAACCACTCAAATTTTCAGTATCAAGTTCAATGAAAAGCTGACATTGAATGGACGCCCTCCTGCTCTCACCCTTGCTAACAAATGCAGCAGCAGCAGCTTTTAAAGCGGTGCAGAAAGCGATGTCGAAAGCTAAAAGTGCAATGCAATAGAAAAACAGACACTCACAAACACACACACATGCATACATACACTCAAGAGGCGGCTGCATGGGCATGACAACAATGGCGCCGTTAGAGCAATGATTCGTATTTCCATTGAATTTATTGAATAATAATAATAATAAAAAAAGACTTGACGAAAGATGTGTTCACTTTTGGCTGGGGTTAAAAGCTCATAATTGGCAAATTGATGCTGACAATTGTTACACAGTTGAGGGCCAAAAGAGCACAGCGGCCAACAAAGGGATAGATAACGGCACTCTCTCACACACACACACATAACAAATATGTATGTACATACCCACACTCACACTACTAGCTACACACTTATTTTTAGGGCTCGCTGTGTTACACTTACCAGTCGGAATTGCACTTCTCTTACTTTGCTGTCAGCTCGTTCTTATCAAAAGAAATTACTCTTTGTTTGCTTGTAACTATTTGTCTTATTTTACTTGCTGTTGTTGTCTTGCTATTCCATTTGTGCGCAATATTTGAGTGTGCTACTATTTGCTTTTCACTATACAATAAGCGTCGCGATTAATTTTTAATTATTATAATTAATAGTTAATCGAACGTAACCGCTAGCAGAACGTTGCTGCAACTCGCACGAAAAAAAAACCCACCAGGCGTTGGGCTTGGAACTTTTTTGTTTTGAGTTCGAGCAACACACGAAACATTAATGTTAACGCTTTCAGACGCAGTGTTTTCCTTCAATGTTAGAGGTATATCAACAATCGAAATATCGATATCAGCACTGTTGAACAGCTGTTGCCGTGTGTCTTACGTGTTGGCAAATGCACTGAAACTGCATGTCGTCGGGCTTATGTCCTAATATGTACAACAAAATATAATTTTAAATTTAAAAACAAAAAAAAAACAAAAAAAAACATTACTTAACAACGTACTATGAGTCAAGCATAGTCGCCGCTCTAATGAAATAATATTTCAAGTTCTAGCATCAATCAGTTACAAATATTTGTTACATTTTTAATACTAAGCTTTGCAAGCAGTGCAACTGTCAACTAAAAAATACCAAAAATACTAAGCAGCTGCCGATAAACAGAATTTGAATTTTGACCGCGTTTGTTTTTGCTCATAATTATTTTATTCATGCTATTACAGGATAAATTATTTACCAATTGAATGATAGGAAAAGTCAATTGCGTAAATACGCATTGTTTGTTATAATTATATTTGTAATAACTCATTTAATTCAAATGTTATGCAAATATTGCTTTAGTATTATGTATACTTAGTAATATATATCTATATATATATGATTATATTAATATAGGTAGAACTTTTCAAGATAACGAAATAGTTCCACATTGAAATGCGCACAATTTAGACATTGATCATATAGTTTGAACAGTTATGTATTGTTATAATTATGAATATTGGTTATAAGTTAATCGTTACAATTTGGAGTTATTTTGAAAAGAAAAACTTTTAGGTGGCCAACATATGGTGTTTACCTGTAGCAGGTGGCAACTCATTTTAATTTTGGATATACATACTTAAATATTTAGCATAGAATCGACATAGGTATATATATATTAAACATATATATTCATATATATGCAAACAAGACGTTGGCTACGCACTAATCAACAAATTCTTAGGCAAATCGTTTAAACACATTTTACTCGTGGAGTTGATAAACTTTTTAGTTTTCTTAGTTTTGTTTTTAATTTTTTAATATTTTTCAAATATTTTCAAGCACTTGACGCATAGTTGTAGCTTAAAAATAAAAAAGATGTTTAATTAATTAATTGTGTGTAGCGTTTTCAACGGAATCTCAACATTGCAAGGAAGATATTTGGCTGCGTTTTCATTATGTTCTTCATTAACTATTAAATATATTTAACTCTATATTTGTTTTTATATTTACTCAAAATACTTGGCTTAAACTTAGCTAGCGAATATATAGTGTGTGTGTGCTACTATATTTTTTAAAATAATAATGAAAAACTTGTGCCGATTTGTGAATAAAATAAATAAAAGAGAAAATCATAAATTCGTTTGTCGTTTTGTTTTATTTTAATTTACAATTTATGCCTTAGCTAATAAATTCTGCTAGAAAAATCATAAAATTTACAAAATGTATTTTTTGTTACTTGCAATTATATCGAGATTAACGTTAATATTTCCTTCTCTTCTGCTTGCTATTATTATTTAGATATTTTTTACATTATTTATGCATGCATTTAACTTACGCGACTAAGAGGAATTGACTAACAAATTGTACGAAACGATTGAAACAAGGTTCTGGTCGCCGCTCAGAGCCGCACTCCCCACTGCCAAATTGGCGAACAGTAAATGGTTAGGTTTCGAATGGATATGTCTGTCTGTGTGTGTTTCTCTTTAGCTAGTTACTATAATTAGGCCCGTTGGCAAATTGGCGCTGGGCAGCGGACTCTGCGAGCCGGCGACGACTATTAAATTCACGCAGTCTAACTAAAAGAAAATATAATTACACATATACAAAAGGTATATATATATATAGATATATAGCTAATTAGCTAGTGGCTCACAAATAAAAAAAATATAATATATATAAATAATGTACATTGGATTGGGTTGAGAATGACCCCCGAATAACAACTTTATGAACAGCTAATTGTGTTTTGTTTGAGTGTAGAAAAAATGTTGCACGAAATGTGTTTGCACATGAAATTCCAAGAAGCGCTTGGACAATAGAGCTCTGTTGTAGACACAGCCAAGCAGAGGTATCATTGTGTAGGCCACTTAGAGTATGATCTCCGTGGAGCGGCGCTGCAGCGGATCACAGCTGTAGGCCTCACCAGCCACCGGCGAGAACTTGCCACCGCGTTTCGCCTGCAATGCTGGCAATGTGGTCGTGTTGGTAATGCCGTTGCGTGTGGTCACCGCCACAGTTTGCTTGGTGGTCACTGCACTGATGACGCTTGGCGCTGGCGTTAATGTGGCCGTGGAGCTGTCATTGCTGCCCGAAGCAGCGACGGCGACGGCAACGGCTGGACGTGGCAGCTGTGGCGATGTGAGCGGTGTGCGCCGCTTCACTGGCGTCTCCTGCAGCACGGCGGACTTGCGTATGGTCTGCTGCAGCAGCGCATTGACATCGATGGCTGGCCAGGCGACCAGCGAAACGCTTCGTCATAAGTTCGTGTCCAGCGGCGACGAGCTGCGCTTGAGTCTTATATGCTTGCTCCAATGTTTGCTGCTGTTGTTCCTGCTGCTGGCGCTGCCACTGCCGCTGCTGCTGCAGTGCGGCGTCTCCACTTTGCCGACTGCGGCTGCTGGCTGTGCCCCGCCCACGGCTGAGGATAGCGAAAAGTATTCGGCTGATTGACTGAGCGACGAGGCATCCGCATCGGTAATGGCATCCGCATCATTGTCGGCCAGATCACTGCGCATCGTGTGCTCCTGTGTGCTGAGCGGCGTCAGGGTGCTGCTGTGGCCATCCTCCTGGGTGGGCGTGCTCAGGATCGTGTGATCGGCGGCTGTGCAAAAGGATTCGCGCTGTCCCGTCGTCTCGTCGTCGTCGTCCTCATCCTCATCGCCGGCATAGTGCTCCTCGTCGCCGTCGCTGCACTGGCCGCAGCAGCAGCTGTTCGTGTGGCACGAGCAAAAGCTCTTCAGGCTGTTGCGACGGCTGTTCGGCTGCTGTTCGGCCATGCAGCGATGACAATCGACGGCGACCGTCAGCTCGCGTGCCTCGTGATCATCGTCCAGGCTGCTGCACGAGCTGGTGCGCGCCTGCTCGCAGCTGCAGCTCGAGCAGCGGGAACAGCTGCTGCAATAATCCTGCATGGCATCGGGCACAAACCGCTTGCGCTTGATCCTGACGCACTCGTTCCGCGGCGGTGCAGCTCCGGCAAAGGCGTGTGCTGTGCTGCTCGAGCTGCTGCTTGGCTGTATGGCCGTTGACGGCGTCAGATGCTCCTCATCCTCGGGCTGCACGCCCATGTGCACATCATCATCATCATCATCATCATCATCGTCGTCGTCGTCGTCGTCGTCATCGCGCGACAGCTCATCTGTCTCAATGGTGGTATTGGAGTTAAGTGAGCCGCGTCGCCGCTGGCGATGCTTCTCGGAGAGCGGCAGCAGATTCATGGGCGCGCCACCACCTTCGCTGGCCACCTTGTACGGAAAATTGGAAGTAGCCGTGCTGCTGTTGTTCTCCGTGACGGTGGCCGCATCAATCTCAATGGCAATCGCCGCCGAGTGCAGCTGCGGCCGATGCGCATCCTCGCTCGAGTCCGGGGAAGACTTGTTGTGGTTGTGGTGCTGGCTCTTGCTGGCTGGAAGCGGACTGTGCGCGGAATGCAACTTGGACTGCTTCGAGTGCTGTGACTGCAGCTCCTGCTGGTGCGGCCGTTGCGGTCGCTGGCGGCGCTTCCCAGTGCCATAATGATGATGATGGCAGTGGTGATGGCAATGATGATGGTGCGTGGTGGTCACATGGCAATGACAGGCAGCTGCTGCACAGCAGCAGCGCTCCGCCGACGTCTGTGTGGCATTGTGTCGCTTGCGCCGCTGACAGCAACTGCCTCGGCCATGAATGTGCTCGTGGCCGCCAAAGAGGCGCGTCTTTGCCGGCCCATTGCTCAGCCGTGCATTGGGCGTATGCACGATGACCACTTCGAGGGCATCGAGGGCAACGGCCACGGCGTTCGCTGTGGTTGCGTTGCTGCCGTTGTCGTGCTTGCTCTGGCTCTTGCCGCTGCCGCCGGGCCGTGGCAGCAGCTTGTTGTTATTGTGGTACTGAAAGGCGCGATTGTCGTGGCACTGGCCAAAGTCCAGAGCCTTGAAGTGTTCGTCGTCTGCGCGTGCTGTCAGCAGATGATCGTCGCCGCTGCTGCTGAGTGTGATGGGCAGCGACAGTTGCCGCTCCTCGGAATGCGATACGCACAGATCGTGTTGTTGTCCTTGATGAAGCTGTTGTTCCTGTTGCTGTTGCTGCTGTTGCTGTTGTAGTTGTTCTTCGGGGGCAAACTGCTAATCGCCGCGCCTCAAGTCGCGCGGCTTCGTATTGTTTCGATAGATCCACACCTGCAGCAAGATGGCAATGTCCAGGCTGACCTGCATATCAACAAGAGTTCAGAATTAATCTAAGGCCAGGTGTGTGGCATGTTAAGGAACATAGTTTCATTTAACTATTATCTAAGCAAACAAACGAGAAGAAGCCTGCACTGAACGTGGTTGAACTGAAGCGCAGGACGACTTCACCCGACTCGAGTTCTTGGACTGCATTTAGTTACTGTATGGCTGTGCTTGTCTCTAAGCCAGATTAGAGTTGAAGCTATTTCCAGAGCCTCATAGTGAGTGCTTGAGTTGAGTTGATACAAATTTGTCTGCCTTATCTTTTCTCTTTTTCTAGTTCAGTCATAACGAAACCTATGCTGAGTTCATAGTCTAAGTTTTTCTTTAATTCTTAGCGACATGAAAATGGCATGAGATTGGGGTACGAAATAATAAGATTCTACTGCTTAGGAATAGTTATTATATATGAAATAGGAATATATATATTTTATATTATTTTATTAATATTCAGACGTCTATAGCAGATTCATTATTATGGCAGATTCACAGATGTGACATGAACTCGACTAAATCGACTTAACCTTGTCATTCTGATTAGGAATTTATATGCTATATAGCCTCTGTCTGTTACATAAATTTAAACAAAAAACAAAAAATAATAAACAAACATATTTTGAAGAATATTGTCTATGGATCTATATGACTTGGCTCAGAAGATTCTGATGTTTTCTTATAGCAAACATCAGTCTTGATAGACTTTATCTCGTAATAGACTTTGCTTTAGTACATAAAAATAGAGTGAGATGCTAGAGATACATATCGTGATTATAGAGTCTAAATGAGATAGATACATGATGTATCTTTATAGACTTTGTCAGCATGAAATAGATACATAATGTGTCATGATAATGTATCATCATATATCTACACATAATGTATCTTTATAGTCATACAAAGATACCATGATGTATCTTTATAGTCAAGTATCTATACATGATGTATCTCTATAATCATGTAAATATATGTGATGTATCTTTATAGTCACGTATTTCTACTTGATCATATATATATATATATATATATATATATGATGTATGTCTATAGTCATGTGTCTATATATAATGTATCTTTGTAGTCATGTATCTATACATGATGTATCTCTATTATCATGTATCTATATATGATGTATATCTATATTCATGTATCTATATGTGATGTAGCTTTATAGTTATGTATTTCTACTTTATCATCTATCTATATCTATATATGAAGTATCTCTATAGTGATTTATATATACATGATGTAACCCCCTATAGTCATGTAGCTATATACGATGTATCTTTACAGTCATGTATCTAGAAAGATTTACCTCATTCTGCTTCTATGCAAACTAAACCAAACTCTATCAGACCATACGTGGAATGATAATTGCTACGCGTTTGAAATGTATTTGGTTAAATATTTTATTTAAAATGCTATCAATATTTATTGCAGGACCTAATAGCTGATAGCTAATTCAACAAACTGAAACTTGTACTAGAACTATATTCTGTATAACAGTTTTTATTAAAAGATTCTCTTTTCATCAATTTAATTTCCTTGCGCTCCGCTTCAACAACTTTTTGTAATCTTTTTCGATTTGCATAAATGCATTCATTATCTACAGATCTTTTATTTGTTTTCTTTCACACTCAAGGCAAACCATAAATTCGTCAAATTTTAACTCTTAATGGCGTTAAAATTTGACGAATTTATGGTTGCTCGCTGAATGCTTTCTACAAGTGCCTCAAGTATTCCAAGCATCAAAGAGCAATCGAACGTGACGTGGGCACGTAGCAGACTTTGCTCCATTCGGAGAGCTTTTGAAATGCAATAAAATATTTGTTAACTAAACATTTGCCTAGCGCTGAAGCGAGCATTACACAATTATATTTCTGTTGCTCAATACTCTACGCACCTGCAGCGTGCCACAAATCCAGAACTGCGATGGCGCGTTCCTTGCGATAAAGTAACCAGTCTTGAACATATCACCGAGCGTCCACATAATCACCATGTGAATGCTCATACCGTAGGTTGACTTATTCTTAAAGTTGCGCAGAAATTGCGGCGCACCTGAAAAGCAATAAATCACAATTCATTTGAATAGAGAGAGAGAAGGAGAGAGAACACTTTACCCAACATGGCCTCTGTGAAGACGGCCACAAAGCCCATGGACTCCATGAACCAATGAACGGAGAGCATTAGATATGTGATCGCAGCGCCAACGGCCCAGACGACGAGCATCATGTCCAAATACGATTGAAAATCTGTCCAGTTCCAAAAGTATTTGAAGTCCAGATCTGCAATTGATGTGCACATTTTAATCAGGCTAAGTTGGACACTAAATTGAAGCTATTATACAAAGCTAAACCAAGTTTGTGACCACCCTTTAAGGTACAGATCAAATGTTCTACTGTTATACAGCATAAAATCAGCAGCACATGTTAAGCTGTTATACAAAATCGCACTCAGAAGTTTGGCAATTGTAAGCCACTTTACACTTTGAATAGACATAAACCCGCACTGAACTGCACAACTGTTATACTAATAACTGTTATACTAATAACAAACTGTTATACACAAACGTACTTCGAAATATGGCAATAGAAAATCCATTATGAGGCATAAAGTTATAAATAAATACTGTTATACAGTATGTATGCTGTTATATAACAAGCGCTTGAAAACTGTTATACAGCACTACACAAATGTCATTTGGAACGTTAGCCGTTAACTATAAGATTTGTTAATAGTTAAGGCATATTACTAGTTTACAAGTGTTAAAAATTTCATTATAAAACGAAGTGTTATACATACAGCTGTTATATAGCAGCCAAGCGTCACAGCTAGTTCAACTAATTTTCACGAGTGGTTTCTGGACAACGAAACCTAACATAAAACAGCTTCATTTGAAGCCAGACCATATTTATTCACAATAGATCTTTGTGACTTAATAATTGGCAGAACGTTAAATTCAACTTTTATAGCATGAAAAGATTGTGCAATTGCTGCTGTCTGAAAATCAATCTCTATTATTGCTGCCTCCTTTTGGGCGCTGTCCACATGCACACAAAGATAACAAAGAAGCCCCTGGCGTGCCTCTATAATTAGCTCAATGTTGTGCCTACGTCTGGCAGTGCCTGCCAGTTCATTGATCAATTTATGGCCCTACGTTTCCGCCTCCTAACCCAGTTTTATTGTGTTTCGCCGGAGCGCGCGGGCTGATTGATAAGCCGTATATCCTTAAATACTGCAAATGGCGCGTAAAGATAACGAGAGCTGAGCAGGAGCCGTAAAAGTCGTAAACAGAAATTGAAGCTCAAACTGGGAGTGTTATACTGGGACTCTATCACCTTTGACAAGCTGGCTAAACGGAAATTGACGTCAACTGTCAGCGAGAGAAAGTTTTCAATGAAAACTGCACCTAGAAATTTGATGTGCCTCTCTTACCATTCAGATAATGCCTGGAACGTGCACGCTTCAGCACGCCCACATCCGTGGATACGGAGACGCCGGTGTCCGTGTCCGTCAGCACTTTTGGCAAGTGCAGCTCGTCGCCTAAAAGGGAAAACGCTGTTATATTACTTCATCGAACTGTGTAGGCGCACAAGACGGCGTCTTACCACGCAGCGTGTGCTCGCCCCGCGTATTGGCATTCATGCGCTTCACCTTCACGCAAAGGTGTATCATTAGGAACATGGTCACATTCATGACGACACTCTGCACCAGCAATGGAAGCTCATAGCGACTGGAGAACCTGCAAGGGATCAATATCATATCAGTTAGCAATTGTATGGAAAAAGGCAGCAAATGGCCTTATAATTGGCATTGATTAGGCACTCGAAGGGCAACTTATGGGAGCAGTGTTGGAAAATTGTTTTTCCATACAAATTAAGAACTAGGCGAATAGCATAAATTGATTTGTGATTTGAGTAATAACTACAAATTTGTCATAAAGCCAAAATAAGTGTTGCTCAGTGTTGGAAAATCACTTAAGAGCAACAGTACTAATAAAACTTGGGCTAAAGTTCTTCAATCAGTGTTGTATAGCATTCTTCTAGTTGTTGAGCACAGTGTGGGCGAATAGAGGTATATATAAACAGCTCTTAAGAATGTAGCCAGTGTTGGTAAGTAATCAAAAATCAAACGTGTTACTAAAGGTAATAAATTTGTTAAGTGTTAAAGAATGTTCTTCTTTATGCAGCTCAAGAGCTTTGCTCAAACCAATATCAAGGAACGTAATATATAAATAAATAATACATTAATTTGCGTAGTCTCAGCGCTTTTCTTAGCCAATGTTGGGTAATAAACGCAGCGTATGTGCTAATAAAATATTTAGGCGCCAGCCAATTACCTAATTTGTAATTTTTTTTCCTTTTCGTAAAAGTTTTAAATTATTTTGTAGCATTTTACAGCACTGAAGCCTACAATTGTGAACAATAACTGCTCCATTTCGTTTAACGATGAGCCATCTGTGCTTGTGCTAAAGAAGCCCAATAAAAGTTCAAGGAGTTGGCCAAATTGCTTTAAGCAGATGGCGAAACTCAATGCTTAGAGGGGAGTTTAGTAAATTCTGAAGAAATTATTGAAGATTTGTATTTCGAATACGAGAAATATTATAATATTATCATCATTATTATTAATCCACTCAGAATTCAAGGTATTTCTTCGTCGAGACCTCTCGTGTCTAGACAAATTTCAAGGTATCTTCTAGTCGAGCACTCCCGACTCTTCACAGAGTTCAAGGTATTTCCTAGTCGAGACCAGTCGACTCTAGCCACATTTCAAGGTATCTTCTAGTCAAGGTATCTTCTCCCGACTCTTCACAGAGTTCAAGGTATTTCCTAGTCGAGACCTCTAGACTCTACTCCAAGCTCAAGGTATCTCCTAGTCAAGCAATCCCGACCCTAGGCAAAGGTATCTACTAGTCGCGCACTCCCTTAGAGCATGCTTACTTATTATAAATACAAACTCAAACATAAAAGCAAACCTCTAGGGCTTACGCAATTCAGCTATATTCCCAGCTGAGTAGAAGAAATATGGCAAGGCAAAAATAAGTTAAGTAAATATTAATTTAATGTATTTGTGCTGCATTCATTTGTCCAAGGAATACGCCTCAGACTTTTCGAACATTTTATTTATTACATTTGCCATTTGCATTAGGCTCAAGCATACTGAAACATATTTGGATTAAAGCAATTTTGCTTTTAAGTGATTTATAATGGAACCGAGTCGACTGTGGTCTGCATTTATTGGGGCACTGATATGATTAATGATTTCTATGACGGCCTAATACAAATGGACAGTCATTCGGGAAATCATGATTGATGCAGCAATGCCTGGACTGCAGAATCGATGACATACTTTAAGACAATAATATATATAGATATTTTGTTTAACTAAGCACCAATGCGGAGATCGTGCCCAGTGTCAAGCGAAACTGTCATAAATCTGACAGACGGCAAGTGTCTGCCACGTTGTGGCAAGGACTCACGACTACAACAAGAGCGAAATAAGCCAGCAGCACAATGAAACTGGAACGTGTTGAACATTTGGCAAAGCACCAAAAACTAAGCCGAAGGCAACTAAACTGAATACTAAATACCCTAAGTCATACGACTTGGCAGTGCTGTTATATGAAAGGTGTGGAGAGAGAACATAATAAGTTAGTCTGGTATGAACTTGCTTTTTACATATAGAGAAAAGCTTCTAAAATTTCTCTTGAAGATAAAGTATTCCTCGAATTCTAGTCTTAACTAAGTTATAGAAGTCAATTGCTTATAAAATTATTTAAGCATCAAGCCTGAGTTCATTTATGTCATATAGTATGACAGTTATGACAGTTATAACAGCTATGCATCATGCAACATTTACATCGAAGCGTTCTGTACACAATAATTAAGTAATAAAAATATTAAAAAAGAAAAATCTTTACGCTCTAAAGGTTTCATATAGAATTTCAATAGAGAATTTTTAGAGTTGTTATAATATTCAGTCACAGTGACTGTTATACGTATAACAAATTACTACTTAGTTTAAGCACTTTTACTGATTTTTGTGAAGACATTTGATCGACAAGACTATGGAAATAGCTCAAGAATACAAAGTAATATATATCCATATAGTTAATATTAGTTAACTTCTAGATGTTACACATTATATGTCAAAATGATAACACCTTATCTAATGCCCAAAATGCGCATGAATAGGCAACGCATTTGTTTGGGAGATTTGTTTGTGAATTGCTCGGAAGCTCTCCGAATAGTTGGCTTTTGGGTTGATTTGTGATAAGCCTCTGCGCTGTCACAGTATAGATATGACATATCTATGTATATATCCATCTATATGTAGATATTTCCGCGTCATCGGAAATGTCAGAGATGTGAACAGACAGGCAAATGAAGCGCGCCCAAAAGCAGGCAACGTTTTTCATTGCTGCGATAACAAGTTTGTCATTTAGTTGGTGCTTTGGTTTTCGGTTTGCTTTTTATGCGCTGTCAGGCCACTGTTGAGGGGTATATTAGGCTGGCAATTGCAAGAAGTGAAATAAAGATGAAAATGTGTAGCAAAAACTAGGAATATGCACTGAAGTTTTACTCAAGTTGTCTAATGTCTGCATTTAATTAATTAAGGAGAATTAACAGAGCATGGCACAGTCGCTTACACCCAAGAACAAATTTGTTTTGCATGTTTGCAGGACCAAATTGAATTACAAGTTTCATTTTGGCCGCCAAGCCCACACACATACGAGCAACGGGCAACTTTGTTGGCCATTAACTGACATGCCCAAATGGGCGACAGAGCAAATACTTATATATATATATCTATATATATGTGTATAACAGTTTGTGACTGTTATTGCTTATGAAGCGAAAATAGTTTTTTGACATTGGTTAATTCGGGCAAATATTTGTATAACAGTTCATTGGAGGCATTGTTTTCCAGTTCGTTATTGTTGTTATTTGATGTAAAGTACAAGGTTATAGCTTTTTTAAAGCAACTAGTTATAACAGTAGAACACTTTATGCTAAGTATACCCAAGTTAATATGGAGTCTTCAGACTCAGTGTTTGCTCTACCTAGACAAAAAAGCTTTAGCTATAGATTGTTATATGTTATAACAGCTGTTATACCCATAAATGCTTTTTTTCCGGTCAGTGTATAACAGCATAATAGCAATTCACAATCAGCATGAGGAACTATAAAGCAATAAGTTTAATTTATCTTTATAACAGACAATTTATTTGGCCTTATGCCATTCAATTTCCCCAATATAAATTATATAACAGTTGTACTCGTATGCTGAACAACTAAGTATATAATGTACTGACACAGAGCTCTACATTGCAGTTGCTAACTAAGTGGGAACACACTTTGTGGCAACACTTTTATTAGTCTTAATCAAAAATCCAACTCTTTTTTTGTTGCACGTAGCACGAGCCGTAAAAGCAACTGTAATTTGCAGCACTGTTGACATTTTCAATGTAACTTTGACTCTAGCTGCCCTAATGCCAGTCACACACAGCCCTGTTTACCCCAGTTTGTAACCTGAAGCAGCAGCAGAGGCAGCAGCAGCAGCAGCAGCAGCAGCTATAAAGTGCACTGGATTAAATTAAAAAAAATGTAGTGAAAAGTTAAAAGCAAACGAATATAAAATGTAGACAGGACAGGGCTAGGATATATATAGAAATTTAGAGATAAATGTGATAAATAGGAATTTTTATACATTATCTCGATTTCATAGAACTTTAGTGCTAGCCGAGCAGAAATCCATTTGCTATGCTTAGCTTTGAAATTTGCATGGTATAAAAATAAGTGTGGAAAGGCAGTTCATTTTGCACACTCGAGCGTGTAAAATATGTATGCAAAAGTCGTAAAAAATCGATAAAAAATGCAAAAGTCGACGAGGGGCGTCGAGGAGGGCGGGGCGCAGGCGTTTCTCACATTTGACTTGAGTGGAAGTGGAAGTGGAAGGGGAATGTTCGCGCTTGGCTCGAATATAATGTAAATAATTTCAATTATGCAGTCGCTATTTGCAGGAGTTCCGACTCCTGCCACACATACCACTAGCCACTTGCCACATGCCGCTGCTTGCTGCTTGCCACATGCATTCGCACCACAATTTGCGGGCGCATTTTCAATGGCAATTTGTGTAAATAGCCGTAACGATTTGACTGAATGCCCTCCGGCTGTTGGCGCTACGGATGCCCGGGGCAGGAGCCCAACGTTTATTCAAAAATAAATAGAAATTAGCTAGTTGGCGTGCTTTGGCTTGCAGATACCCTAGAAAGTTGCTAGATGCCCAGAGAAGGCAAACAGCATTCAGATAAGAGTAGTTTATAGATATGACTGGAGATACGATTTGTATAAATGGCTAAGCAACAGCCTCTAGTTGAGTCATATTTAGATAATAATGACATAAGCTATGCACTGTTATCTCGACAGAATTAGAGTCTCAGCCAAATTCTGCTAGCCATCGCAACAGCACTAGGGGAAGCCTTAGACGGCACCTTACTCAAAACCTGTGGGATCGAGCCTTGACTTACAAAATTAATCAAATATATAAGCTGTGATAGTTGCACTCTATAATCTAAGCTACCCCTAAACATTCTATGTTTCTTAGATTATATAGCCCTACAAAATATATATATTTGATTTATTTATGTTAAGATTAAGCTAACTGGTAAATATTTAATTTAAATAAAATTTAAAAAAAATATTAAATTTCGATAATTTTATAAGCAGCAAATATATCTTC